TGATGTGGGTTTTGTTGTGACCGATTTCAAACTTTGCATGAGGCCACAATATTGGTTTGATTTTGATTGGATGGGATAGATGAACCCTACCTATTACGGCTTAGCTTTAATTCTGAATCAGATCATGATGACTTTTTCAACAACTCATAGATTTAAAAAAATCTTGGCTTAATTTAATACATAAATCGAGATGATATGTCCAAGGGTGATCATTATTAAGGGCATGTTGGCACCATTTAATGCAAGTTTTTGTATATATTCACTGAATAAAACCTAGAATACTTTGAAGCAGATGTAATTCTGTAGTGCCCTTGCATATCCATAGAATCTCTTCTACCATCCTAATAAGTTTCCATCCAAAGCAAGATGGGGGAAAAAAAGAACAGGACAGAGAAAATCTGCCTTTGCTAACATACCAGAGATGATAGTGGTAGGGAAGCAGTTGCCAGCAGCCCAGCTTTAATCGTAATGATACGGTTTGCTTTTGTTCTTTTGGGTCTTATTTAATCAGCTTGACTCGTTTCTGATTTTTCTATCTGTGTGTTTCATCCTATGGCTTTTATGCCCAGACTCCCAGCTGCAGGAAACCTTGTTAAAATTGCCTTCTTCAAACACAAGCTCTCGCTTGCACTCCCCCGGGTTTGTAATATGTATGGATGGGGTAGAAATCCAGGGGAAATGAGAAGGGGGTTATCAAAGGATTTCTGTTCTTGTGTATTTTATAATTCATTGCATAGCTAACCTAAAGAATACATTTTCACTAACAAGGTCTTGAGCAGAATCTGTATAGAAAGGGTATTCAAGATGACATGAAGAGGCTGGATCTGAGTCCCTAGTCCGTTCCTTGGCATGTTTAAACTTACGGTACTTCTTGCTACTTTGCTTTAAATCCCTGCAACCTTCATCAGGATTCCCTTAAAATCAAATGTCATCTAATTTTGAATCACATCTTAATCATCAGCATGACCACAGTACATGGCATAAAATAACTGGTATTTTGCAGATGTGTATTCAGTGTACTTTAAAACGCACTTTTTTGGTGAAGTAGCTCATACGTTTTGGTATTTTATTTAACCCCTGGAATTGAGAATGCAGTCATTTTAACACCCTAGTCAGTTTTCTTTTGCATTGTCATGTTTAATAAAACTTTACTAACCCCCATTTTTTTCTGGTTGGAGCTGTCAGTGTCATTTAGAATTTATATAAATCTCAATTAAAAGCTAAAAATAAGACTAAAACATTTAGAGCAGATGGGAGATTAAAGGATTGAGTAAATAAAAATGCATTTGCTTAATGCCAAAAGGACAGAAGCTTTCAGGGGTTCCGGGATAAGATCTTAATGTCTGATGTTGGATGAAATTGTTGGTTAGAACAATTCCTACCATTTGTTAAAGAGGGGAACTTGCCTCAGGCAGCAGATTCTGGGAAGTAGTAATGATGTATCAGAGGATGCTACTTGCTACCTTAAGTAGCATGGCAAGAAGTGAGAATCAGTTTGGTCTAGTGCAGTGATTCTCAACCTTTTTAATGCCGCGACCCCCAATCGGTTGTAAGTCGAGGACTACTCAACTGGTGCAGCACCGTTTGCAGAATGGGACTTTTGGCGGGCTCAGCAGGGCAGAGACAGCCTGGACAATTCCTATTGGCTTTTTAAAGCCAATAGAATTAGACTCTATACAAGAGAGTCTATTCTATTGGCTTTCAAAAGCCAATAGAATAAAAGGGAGTAGCACAGCTAAGGAAAAGGGGAAAAAAACGGCGGACTGCGTTGTTTGGCGACCCCCGTGAAATGGTCGTTCAACCCCAAATGGGGTCCCGACCCACAGGTTGAGAACCACTGGTCTAGTGGTTAAAGCATCAGACTAGAAACCCTTGAAATAGTGAGTTCTAGTCCTGCCTTAGGCACAAAAGCTAGCTGGGTGACTTTAGGCCAGTCAATTTCCCTCAGCCTAGCTCACCTCACAGTGTTGTTGTTTGGGGGAGGAAATCAGACAAAGAGGAAGGAGTATTCGGTATGTTTTCCACCTTGAGTTATCAATAAAAGAGGTGTGTTTGTGCATATATATATAGACAGACACTGTCCCATCAGCCACACTGATGAAAGATGTATTGCCATATGGACAAGGAGAGTATAATACTGCCTTTTATCTTGGATTTATATTTATATGTAGATCTAGTCTCTTATTATAATAATATAATATAATGTAGTGTAGCATAATGTAATGTAATATCTTATACCTCTGTCTTTGGCTTTTATTTGACATTGAGATATGTAATCCTTCCTTCAGGATTAGCAATGATATGAGAAATACAGAAAAAGAGTAAAGAATAGTAAGCCAAAGAAATTAAATGTATGAAATAAGAAAAAGACAAAGAAAGGAAATACAGCTATACCTATTTTACAGTTACGGTATTCATTACAATTTACCATACTATTCCTAAGTATTCTTGTCACTCATGTTTGCTTTCCCTATGTCTGTACATCACTTTGTATGCCTTTTGTTCTTTTAACTTCTCATTTTTCTTTTTCAAAATCTCATCAACAGTTTTCATTTTTGAATTTTTTAATTGTCCTTCCTCAATCAATTACTTTTCCTTCATATATCTGCTTGATGAGTTGATCTTCATTCATTCAGCCATTGTGTACAACCAAACCACTTCAGTGTATTTCTTTCATACCAGTCACTCATATATTCAATCAGTATTCACATAGTACTAATTCATTTTGTAGTTCAATTCCACACAATTCTGTGACACTCTGTAGCCTGATTATATTCATTTTTTTCCAAGCAGCTTCCACCTCTTTTTTGTATCCACTTTCCATTTGTTTTGTTGGGAGATTAATCTACTGACTTTTTTCAAACTGGAAAAAAATTATCTTCCTGAAATTGCTCTACATTCATTCTTGTTTATTTCACTTCCTTCTCTTTCTTCCATTTTTTTCCCAAGATCCTTTTTTTAATTTTGAATTTCAGAAAAGCTGTTCTGTAATATCGGTAGGTCCTTTTGCAACACACAATGAGCTAAGCACTAAAATAGTATCTTTGCAGAAGATATATTTCACAATGTCAACCTGCGTATTGTGAAATTATTTCCTGGTATCTTTCATTTTGAGACCCAAGGGTACATTTTTCAGGAGGCAACTGGACTTTCTTGTGTTTCTTTTGAAGACGTTTCACTTCTCATCCAAGAAGCTTCTTCAGCTCTGACTAGATCAGGGGTAGGCAACCTTGGCTCTTTTAGGACTCGTGGGCTGGCTCAGGAATTCTGAGAGTTGAAGTCCACGAATCCTAAAAGAGCCAAGGTTGCCTACCCCTGGACTAGATGGTGGGGAGTGGAAGGATTTATATTGCTTGTAGACAGATGGTCATTTGCATTCCTTTAGAGAGTCGTTGAACCATTTTGGATGTTTACATGTGTCCTCAGGGTACCCTGAGAAGTGCAAATGGGTGTGGAGCCTTCTTGGCCGCAGGAAGTTTTCTGCCCTGTGTCCCTTCACTGTTGAAAACAGGCACAGGCTGTTGGGGATAATTCTGTGCTGTCTGAATCTGAAACTGAAGCACAAATCATTCCTGCAGTCCTTCCACTCCCCACCATCTAGCCAGAGCTAAAGAAGCTTCTTGAACGAGAAGCAAAACATCTTCAAAAGAAACACAAGTCCAGTTGCCTCCTGGAAAAAGCACCTTTGGGACAACCATACCTGGTGACTGAGAATCTCCACAGACACTTAAGTTGAGAAACTTAAATTCCCAGAATCGATGAATTTCCCCTACACTCACCATCTGACATTTTTGTAGAGAGAGGGGGCAATATATTTTGGCTGGCAGGTAACAGAAGGAGACATCCAATAAAATAAAGCTTGTGAGGAAAGGAGATTCCCTCAGAAAGTACCCTGCGATGCACCTGTTATAAAGAAGTGCTAGTTTATGAGTTAGTTGTAAGTGATGCACAAAAAAAAGGGCCAAAAGAAAATAAAACTTTGCATTAGCACTTTTCCTGCTTATTTGATATAATAATAATAATAATAATAATAATAATAATAATAATAATAATAATAATAATCCTGTAAGCAAAAACTGGTGGGATCATAAAACCTGTAAGCAAAAACTGGTGGGATCATAAAATAGAGAAAGTCATAGAAAATGATAAAATTAAACTGCTCTGGGACTTCAGAATTCAAACAGACAAGCACCTGCAACATAACACCCCAGACTTAACAATTGTCGATAAGAAAGACAAAAAAGTCTGGATAGTGGATGTGGCAGTGCCTGGAGATAGCAGAATAGAAGAGAAAGAACTGGAGAAGATAACAAAATACAAAGACCTACAAATAGAAATAGAAAGACTGTGGCAAAAGCAAGCAAGGGTAGTACCAATAGTCATAGGCTCCTTGGGTGCAATCCCAAAACAACTGGAGCACCACTTGAACACAATTGGCATTGACAAATTCTCTATTAGTCAGTTGCAAAAGGCGGCCTTATTAGGAACTGCTTCCATCCTGTGACGATATCTGTAATACCATCAAACATCCATATCTGCCTATCCCAGGTCCTGGGTAAGGACTCGATAGGTAGACAAAATGCCAAATCCAGTCTGAACATCTGGCTGACTGTGCGATGATCAATAATAATAATAATAATAATAATAATAATAATTAAGTTGGAAGGGACCTTGGAGGTCATCTAGTCCAACCCCCTACTCAGGCAGGAAACCCTATACCATTTCAGACAAATGGCTGTCCAGTCTCTTCTTTTAAAAAAAGAACTCATTAGATGTGTCTGGGATTGTGATTTTCCAAAAGTTAAATTTTGTGTGAGATTTACTACAGTAGAATGGATTGCAGCAAAAGCAATATTCTTTTTCAGTGCTCTTTCATATGATATGTTCCTTCAAATAAAAAACTGGCACGGTGGAAGGAGAACTATAACACCTTCTTCATTTAATGAGATTTGGCTTACTTTTACCATGCCAAGGCTCTGACCCAGCTTGTATTCCTGTAGGAGTGTATTCCACTACAAAGCAGAGGTATCTACAGAGAGATGGTGAAAAAAATCAATACGGGAGCCACTGCCATACAATGGAAAGCCAACACATTGTGAACACTCCTGAAGAAACTACAAGGGAAATAGGACCAAAATTGCTACCTTGGAATAACTTTCTCCAGTGTGATATTTTCCAAATGGCTATACTGACTGTAGCGATGAGAGGTGTTACAGTTCAACCCCACTGTAAGCGGCCAGGTGAACAAAAGACTTGCATTAATCTATTTATATTCAATAAATAAGTTGTACAGGGCCACCTAGTTGATTGGCAATTCAAAACAGTTTCTGGCAATTTAATCCTTTGTTTCTCAACCTTGGCCGCTTGAAGATGTGTGGACTTTAACTCCCAGAACTCCCCAGCCAGCAAAGCTGGGAGTCGAAGTCTGTACATTGTCAAGGGGCCACAGTTGAGAAACACTGATCTAACCCATTTGCTGTTGCAGACAGGCTACAAACCAGTCTATGCTGTTCTTAACATGATGGATTCCATCTCATCTCTAGATTCTTCACCTGAAGCTCAGCCCAAATACATCAAGAATGGAAAGCGCTATGGGAGGCGGTCCTTACCAGAGTTTCAGCAAACCGTGGAGGAATTTGCAGAGGTGACAGTGATTGAGCCTTTGAACAAGGATGCTCTCTCATCCCATCTCTCCAACAATGACTGTGATGAGGTAAGGATTTAAAAGCAAGCGAGGTAGATAAAGAGAAGGGAGACTGGAATTAAGATTGAAAATCCTTCTATACGCATATGTGCAAAGTGTTTTAATGTTTCTTTCAAGAATTATTAAATTTTAAGATAGATGGCCTTCAACTTCCAGAATTCACTAACTTGCATGCATAAGGTCAAAGTTGCTGAGATTGAGAAACACTGCTGTAGACCATGGGGCTGGAGTTTTGTTTCCTAAAGTCTATCTTTTCATATTACAGCTTGTTGGTTTCTGGCTTTGTAGGCACCATGGAAAAGCATATTGAAAATACATTTTAGAAGGAATTCAAAGTGAAGCAGAGAATGCAGGATGTAGAGAAACTTAAGTTGAACTAAAACAACATAATTATGTTGCATCTTAAAATCAATAGATTAGACTGGCATAGGTCTATTTGGATTCTGATCCACTTCATAAGAGAGGCACAGTTATATAGGTAGTCCTCAACTTACAACAGTTCATTTAGTGACTGTTCAAAGTTACAATGGTACTGGAAGAAGTGACTTATGACTGTTTTTCACATGAGCGTTGCAGCACTCCCATGATCATGGTCACATGATCAAAATTCAAATGCTTCACAACTGACTCATTTATGACGGTTGCATTGTCCTGGAGTCATGTGATCCCCTTTTGCAACCTTCTGACAAGCAAAGACAATGGGGAAGCCAGATTCACTTAACAACCATGTCTCTGACTTAACAACTGCAGGGATTGACTTAACAGCTGTGGCAAGAAAGGTGGTAAAATGGGACAAAATTCACTTAACAAATATCTTACATAGCAACATAAAGTTTGGGTTCAATTGTGGTCATAAGTTGAGGATTACCTGTACTTTTGAAAAAAGAATATTGTGTTAGGGCTGTGAAAATCTGGGAGGGGCACTTTGATTCACTCCCAGAGTTTGTAGAGTGAGCTGTGGTGGCGCAGTGGTTAGAATGCTGTACTGCAGGCTACTTCTGCTGACTGCCAGCTGCCAGCAGTTCAGCATTTCACTTCTCGCCATCCATCCGAAGTCAATAAAATGAGGATCCAGATTGTTGGGGGCAATATGCTGACTCTGTAAACTACTTAGAGAGGGCTGTAGAGCACTGTGAAGTGGTATATAAGTCTAAGTGATATTGCTATTGCTATTGCTCAAATTCATGTTCATTGCATCAATGATACTATTGAATCATCTCATCCTCTGCTATCCCCTTCTCCTGATGAGAAAAAGATAAGCTGATAAATGCAGCAGCAGGCAATCAACAGTTAGAAAAAACTGTGAGTTATTCTGGTCAGTTACTAATACCAGAATTGCCATCTTAAGTCTCGTTCTACTTCTAGGTACCTCCCAAAATTCAAGGAGGATGAGCACTTACAAAATGGTGCCAAGTATTAATGGAGCTATGGCCCAGGACAATCACTAGTGGCTTTTAAACTTATGCTGAATTTCTTCTTGCCTTATCTTTGCTTATCCCTTGCCTCAAAATGGAATGCAGTTCCAGTCTTATTTTGCAAAGAACATCAAGAGAGGACAGAAGCAAAATAAGAGAACTCTTATTAACGCAGAGAGAATTTTATTACCTGCCAAGAGTGAACTGCTCGAACTGCACATGGACCAGGAGCTACAGACAGTGATTTATTTGATGATTATGGGAAAGATTATCTTTGGACAAAGGCCAGAGTTACAACCACTGAGCCTAGTCCATGGTCTCCTCATAGTCATGGAAGGTTACTATATGATTTAGGACTAGACACTCTTTCTCAGCCAACCTACCTGAAAGGGTTGTTCTGGAGAGAAATTGGAGGACATATGTTTTGAGTTGCTGGAAGAAAATAGGATACACATCAAGCAAATAATAAATTTAGCAAATAGAAGGAGTAAGAGAAGGAAATAAATGATGGGATGTTCTTTTTACATCCCTATCCATCCATCGTGGAGTTGGAAAGGGCCATTAGGGCATTGAAAAACCTTTGTTCAGTGCAGGAATCTAAATTAAAGTATTCTTAATAGATGTATGCCTGGTTTCCATTTGATCGCACTCATCATCTTCCTGGATAATTGGATCCATTGTCAAACTATTTCTTATCATTTGGTATTTTTTTCCTGTATGTTTGCAGATCTCTCTCTCTCTCTCTCTCTCTCTCTCTCTCTCTCTCTCTCTCTCTCTCTCTCTCTCTCTCTCTCTCTATCTCTCTCTCTATCTATCTATCTATCTCTCTCTCTCTATCTCAGCAGTCACCTGCTGAAACATAATCAAGATCTTCTAGAATTAACACAAAGTCTAGTTAGTTGTCCCAGCAGTACAGTGGTCAGACAGTTGTCACCGGGAAAGCTCACAAGATGATTCAGTGCACAAAACCATGCCTCTGCTTGTTTGCTCTAGGATCCACCAACCTAAGATATGCAGTCTCTAATTATAAGATTTGGCATATCAATTAGACTATTTGAATGGATTTGCACAACATGTTTAATTGTTTGTTGGATTGATCTATTGTATGAGTTGGCACAATACTTTTCACAGGCTCATATGCTAACCAAATGGGCTGAATACGCATTACATGCAAAACCACCCCAAAAACTAATCTTGTTTAAAGATAATTTTGTGTAGTATGTTGGACAAATGCAGTTGTTAAACTGTTAATCTTGCTGAATGTGGCAGATTGGTGTCTTATGATTGTAAAATAGCCATAACAAGACAGCTGGATATCTTTGTCTAGATTTAGAAATTAAGCAAGATCAGCCTGGTTAATACTTGGGTGGAAGATCAATAGAGAAGCCCAGGGCTATTTTTTTAAAATGCAATAGGAGCTGAGCTTCACTTAAAGGCACTTTGCTTTTTTATCATTGTAAAAAGCTGTGCACGTTTCACATTATTGTGATTGCTTAGGGCATCTGGAATATAACTCCATAAAAAAGGTTCATTACAAAATAAATAATCCAAGCTAAGCTTAGGCTTTTTGACCTTTTTTTGACCACAAGGCCTTAAAGAACTCCTGTTTTTGCTAAGGATCTGAGATGGGGAATGGGATAGTTTTGCTTTTTGCTTTTTCTTTAGAGACAGCCATAAACAATGGCTTCATTTAGCTAGGGATTAACAACCCCTCTGAAAGGAAGATGGACTCAAGGTCAGTGTGTATCAAGAATGGCTCATTCAGTGTATCAAAATGCAAAATACCCGTATGTCTGAGGAATTTTTGGAATCAGCAAGAGTTATATTTCACTAAAGTGCAGTGCAACCAAGAGATATTGATGCATCCTGAAGGACATTTTATATCAACTGGGCATGATTTTAGGCTTGTGTCTCAGAGTCTAAAGTCTAAGTGCCTGGACATCACAAAATAACAGCATGGTATCTGTGCATTTGATCATTTTAATTAATGATACAATCTGGGAGAGAAGAAAAGGCTGTCATGCCACAGCAGATGGTCGGGTGGAAAAGGGAACGCTGAAAGAAGGGAGGAAAGATTGCATTAAGGAATTCTCAACCACAGATGCTTCTGTAGGTTTTGAGTTTGGTCATTGTGAAACTTTCAGCCATCTGTTCTTTGGGCTAGCAAAGGTTTGGGTCTATCGAACTAATATATTCCTGGAATCTGGCATGGGCAAGGGCTGCCCCCCTCCCTAATGTGCGTGACCCTCATCCAGCTGCAGAACAATAGCTGTCTGTATGAAAGTACCTGGCATGGCTGGGGGAGAAGGAGGTTTATGGTCCACAGAATCCATAGAGAGTGTCCCCTTTTGTCTTAGCTGCAATCTGTTGGCTTGCCTTTGGAGGCAGCCATTTTGGGTTTAGTGACCTCTGACCTCATTTGCCTTCCCTTCACAATGAAGCTCTTGTTGAGCATCGGGTATGGTAATGAGGAAGCGTGTGTGCAAAGGAGATCTGCCAGCTGAGACTGGTGTGGCAGCATCCAGATACAATGGGGGGCCCTTAATCTGAATTGGCCAAGTGGAGATGCTTGTAAAAGAACAGACTTGCCAGAGCTTTGCCATTTGTGCCGATTAGTCATCAAAATTAACACTTTTTCTGGAACTTCACACATTTTTTTCTTCTTCTTGCAATGTTCTGCTCTGTAAGTTGCAGATATCTAAACACCTTTGGGCCTGTTCGAGGCTTTGCATCTCCCATTACAAACCTATCCAGTTGTTAAGATCTACGAAATAATTTATTTTAAAGATCTCCTCATCAGAACCCTATTCCACAGGGGCTTTGACAGCTGATGCTGCCCAGGGTGAATTAACATCATCATGTTACTTTATTTTCCTGTGATGTGATGTGATAGGATGTGGTGATTTTAAGAGCTAATTTGTTGTAGTAGTTAAGGCACAAGGGTAGAAAACTAGAGACTGTGAGAGCTCCTTAGGCAAGAAGCCAGCTGGGTGACCTTGGGCCAGTGACACCCTCTCAGCCCTAGGAAGGATGGCAAACCACTTCTAAAATCTTGCCAAGAGAACTGCAGGGACTTGTTGTCAGCGGTCAACACTGTTGCCAGGAATCAACACTGCCATAAAGACACCAATTTTTTTATATGATTTTACTATATTAATTTATGGTTTCAAATTATGTTTAAAATTAAATATGTTTGAAAACTATGGTGAGTCAATTGATTTTAGTGGTATATAAAACTAACAAATATTTTTGACATGCGGGGAAGGACCTGCTTTTGCATTGCTCCAGGCAATGAATGCACTCCTTTGGGAACTGTATCTGTTCTCCATGTTCTTTCAGTAGAGTATTTCTAAAAGGTATAATCAGGCTCTTTGTTGCATCACTGGAGATTTTTAAGAAGAGACTAGACATTCAACTGTCTGAGACATTATAGGTTCCCCTGCTTGAACAGGGGGCGGGACTAGAAGACCTCCAAGGTCCCTTCCAGCTCTATTCTATTCTATTCTATTCTATTCTATTCTATTCTATTCTATTCTATTCTATTCTATTCTATTCTATTCTAGTTGCCCACAGACAAGGTCTCTTTAGCAAGATTTATTGAGATGAAAGAGATAGGGGTAAAAGAATTTCAACAAGTGAAATATTTTTAAATTCAAAACTAATATATCTCCATGTGTTCTAGGGTAAAGACTTTTTTATTCTCTTTCTTACAGCCTTCTTGTGAACCGGGAAGAGTGGTTTGCAGTTGGTGGTTTATATTAATAGTCTCCAAATTATCTGTCTGAGAACAACTCTTACACTGTGTCTCTGTCACCAGGTTTTAAACTATTCAGTGATTTCAGAATCTATTTAGTATTAATTTGAATATATATGTTTTTAGTATTTTACATTCTATTTTTGGTTTTGAAAAATAAAGTGCTTGCCAAAGTAAAAAGAGAATTAATAAAATAATTTCTGTTTGCATTGAAGAAAGAAAAAAAGATTGATAAATAGAAGGAGGAGCTATATATAAAGCCAAAGATTAAACCATCTTACAGTTTAATGCAAACATTATCCTGTGTGAAGCTTGTGCAAAGACTTTATTGTGACTATTTCCAAAACATTACTGCTGAGAAGACTAGCCTGTTAATATCCAGAATGGTCAGAGGTAATGACATAATATAAGGCAGTGTTTCTCACCATGGCAGCTTTAAAATGTATAGACTTCAAGTCCCAAAATTCTCCACCCAGCGTGCCCTTAAGATTGCTAGAGTTGAGAAACAGTGATCTAAGGTATGTCTTTCTAATCTCATGCCATCCAGATGGGATGGAATTCAGTTCCCTTATTTCTCCATCCACTGTGGACATAAATCTTGCAACAATTCTCTCATCCATATAAACCTGGGAACAGGGAGAGTTAGGAATATTGGAGTCCCAATTCCTTCTCAGCTTTTTGGATAATGAGTAGCAGAAACTATAACGCAGAGGTTTTTAAAGGCAGAGGACCTGATCCAGTTTGTATTATTCTCCTGGTAGCGTAGTAGGAATAAAAATGCCTTAGGCAGCAGTCCCCAACCTTTTGAGTACCAGGGACAAGTTCCACAGACCTGGGGGGGGGGGGATGGCATGGTTTTGCAAGCTGCACATGTGCAGATGAAGCTTCACTCACTTGCATGGACCAGTTCCTAATGGACACCAGACCAGTACAAGTCCACAGAGTGGGGGTTGGGGACCCCTGCCTTAGGGCATTAGTACTTTTCCTGGTATTTTGCAACTCTTCCCTCGGATCTGTTTTTCATATACACTCAGCTTCTTGTTTCTTTTGCTTTGTTTTTCCTAGATGCTGCTTTAAAACACTGCCACCTAAATATCCTGTTGAATATATGGGCCTTTTTTTTGCAGCTGTGGGTATAAACAATGAATTACTTCATAACAGGTGCAGAGGCAAATGTCCTAGACCACAGGTGTCAAACTCGTGACATCATGTGACGTGTGGCGACATATCACGACTATTTTTGCATTGCTGGAGCTGGGGTGGGCGCGGCCTCTGTATGATGCAACCTAGACGCATTGGGAGATATTTCATTACAACTACTTGAATGCCTATTTTATGATGCCTACGTTAAAAATAAACCAACCGTTGCCATCACTTGTCACATCAGCTGAGCTGTCAGATTCTTACAGCTCAATGCTGTCCATATGGAATAACAGATGTTGAACCAGAAGAAGAAAAACAAGCTTCCAAATCCTTGAAGCAATAATTTGTTCTAGTTCTAGGTTTGTAGGGATTAGTTACAGAGTCCTCTCTTCCTATTGCAGTTTGGAAGTAGCATGTGTATTTGAAAACTAGAAATGCATTTATTTACTCTTCAGTCCTGTCCCTTTGCAAAATGAGATAGGGGTCTAAATCTTGCAGGAAAATCTGAGTAAAAGGGATTTTCTGCTGAGGGTGATGAAGCCTCACCAGCCCAACTGCTTCGGTTCATCTTTTCAAAGGATTGCAGAATGACAGTGTGCATTGATCTCATTCCTTTCTCCCCCTGCCTTTTTAATGTAGAAATGGACCTCTTTTCTGCTATATATATGAATGGGGATAGACATGTAAAAAAAATCCCATATCATATTTGCCACTTAATGCTTTTTTGAAGGGTTTAATGAAGGAGAAGCACTCAGGATCCTGATAATGCAGAGACCTTGCCTTGGTATTCAACCCTGTCCTTACATGACTTGTTTTCTAGGTGGTGACAGGAACACCTGGTTGTCTGATGTCTATGGATATTTTCTATTATCCAACTTGTAGTTGTCTGATCGTTCTTGTGTGTGCAGGAAACAAGGGGGGTAGGTGTTCCCTAAACATCTGTAAACAGCATTGATATATTTCTATGCTGTAGATCAGCACACACACATAATAATAATAATAGTAATAGTAGTAGTAGTAGTAGTAGTAGTAGTAGTAGTCGTTGTCATCGTAAAGTTGGAAGGGACCTTGGAGGTCATCTAGTCCAACCCCCTGCTCAGGGAGGAAACCCTATACCATTTCAGACAAATGGCTGTCCAGTCTCTTCTTAAAAACCTCCAGCGTTGGAGCATTCACCGCTTCTGGAGACAGGTTGTTCCATTAGTTAATTGTTCTAACTGTCAGGAAGTTTCTCCTTAGTTCTAGGTTGCTTCTCTCCTTGATTAGTTTCCACCCGTTGCTTCTTGTCCTGCCTTCAGGCGCCTTGGAAAATAGCTTGACTCCCTCTTCTTTGTGGCAGCCCCTGAGATATTGGAACACTGCTATCGTCCCCCCTCGTCCTTCTCTTTATTAAACTAGACATACCCAATTCCAGCAGCCGTTCCTTATATGCTTTAGTCTCCAGTCGCCTAATCATCTTTGTTGCTCTTCTCTGTACTCTTTCTAAAGTCTCAATATCTTTTTTACATTGCGGTGACCAAAACTGGATGCAGTATTCCAAGTGTGGCCTTACCAAGGCATTATAAAGTGATATTAACACTTCACATGATCTTGATTCTATCCCTCTGTTAATGCAGCCTAGCACTGTGTTGGCCTTTTTGGCAGCTGCAGCACACTGCTGGCTCATATTTAGGTGATTGTCCACTAGGACTCTGAGGTCCTTCTCACAATTACTACTATTTAGCAAGGTACCCCCTGTGCATTTGGTTTTTCTTGCCTAAATGTAGAACCTTGCTTTTTTCAACATTAATTTTCATTTTGTTAGATAGCACCCAATGTTCAAGTCTGTCCAGATCCTTCTGTATCTTAAGCCTGTCTTCTGGAGTGTTGGCTATTCCTGCCAGCTTGGTGTCATCTGCAAATTTGATGAGTTCCCCATCTATCCCCTATATATAATCTTTCTTTCTGCTCTTTCCTCTGTTTTTGTTGTGCTATGACTTTCTTCTCTTGCATGCTTTTGTCAAGGGAAGAGATGTGATGTTTGCCTATCCATAGGAAGATGTACTTTTTCCCATGGGACTGTGAAACATTTTAATAAGCTAATTGGAGAGAAAGGCTGTCTGTTATTCAGGCACTTACATTATATATGAAATCCTTGCATATTACATCATTCGTTCATTACTGGCACAATGCCATCATGTAATCTACAGAAATGACATAAAGCAGCACAAAATTACACAATTTGTCATATGCATATGATGTATTAAGCAAATGATGTAAATTCTCGCCAAAATTGAGCCTGTCAAATGTAGAATCTGTTCTGCTAAGATCCGGTAAATTGAATTTACCCTGTATTTTAAATCCATCCATGCCATGTGAAGTTGTATAATCCAGGACTCTGTAATAATCCTTTTTGATTGTTCTATATCCATTGGGGGAATATCCTTTTACTGCTCATGATCAGGTTCTGAATAGATTGTCTAATCCTGGCCAGGTGACACTGGTTCTACTGTTTGCATATTTGCATTCCCAGGGCTTTGATTGGGGAGGAGCAAGGAAGAAGGGCATTTATTGTGGCATAATATAGCAGCTGTTCTTGAAAATCTAAGAACACCGCGCCCCTCCTTCACGGTCACCTCTCTGGGGCAACTTCCAAGCAGAAAGAAACTAGCCGTAGGGAGCAGAGGTCCACTCTCGCACAGCCATATGCTGCGGGCGCAAAACAGGAAGTCTAGCATCCACATGTATTAATTGTGGCCGCCCTATCTAGCAGATTATTTTTTAAATAGGCCCTTCTTCAGCTCTTTGTATTTCAAGTATTTTTATCGCTTAAATAACAGCAGCTTGGGAATGGCAAGAGGGGAAGTAACTTAAAGTCTACTTTGCAGATGATCTTAAAAGAAGATGTAATCTTTTGGGTGAAAACCAGAAAGGCTCTGTTTCAAGAGCCTTCATGAAAACTTCAGGGATGAAAGATAGGGTAGCAGAGGGATACAAGTAGTTGGTAGCACAATTTCCATTGCTAAAGAAGGTGGAAGTACCGTTGCCAAGCACCTGAATTTTGATCATGTAACTGTATGGGTGATGTGTGAGAATCAGTCATAAATCACTTTTTTCAGTGCTATTGTAGGTCAAGGATTATCTGTATTTCTATTATTGGTAATGTGTATTTGATTTTAGAATTGCTTTTTCAAAATACCATGAAACAGACATTTTCATGGGGAAGAAGCTAATTTACTTAGCTAAGTGAATTGAAGTGCTCTAATTATTAAATGTATCTACATTTGGAGTAGGAAACTATTGTTTGGTCTCTATCACAGTCATCTGTTACATTTTTAAAGGGTCACCAGATTGGCACTAGTGACCCAAGAGATTAATGTGACTACTTTATTCCTATTTTGGGTGTACACATTTACTGTATTAAAATAAACTCTTTCTTTCTTTCTCAGCATTGGCAATCACAAGACAGTGAAGAATATGAAGCTGAAGGTAAGAGAAGATTGTGCCAGTTTCTTCTGAAATAAATGGAATAGAAAATGGACTGGGAGAAGGATTTGAGAGCAGGGAGAAGAGGGAAATTTTTTATTTGTTTTCTACATTTAAAATTGTTTAATTTTCAGAGCTTCAAAATTGCTGTTACAATCCTATTTATTTAATACATTACAATTCTGCCTTCCCTTGTACTTATAATTTTAGAGTGTGTACAATTCATTGTAACAAAGAACAGATGCAATAAGAAAGTAATTTTCTTGGTTCAGACATTGTCAAGTGCTTTTGAACAACATATTAAAGATACTGTCAGGCACAAAACCAAGAATGACACATGAAAATTCTTTCAAGCTGAGTCCTTTATTGCTTCATATCTATAGACAAAATCTGGTAGACAGAGCACTCTAATGTCATATCTGTATCTACAATATACTGTGAACTATTAGGGAGGAGCTGTCTTCACCCCCTCTCTCACACACAAAACATCCAGACTAAGTTGCCTCTTATTCCTCTGGAATGCACCCCCTCCCTCCTGGAAATCCACCTCCTCACTATATTTCATCACAGATACAGTCTGTCTTCAAAGTATCCATATTGAGCAGAAGCCAGACTAGAAGAGGCATATAATTCTGTTCTGCATGTTATTTGGAAAATTTGGAACTGTCCAGGGTGGCCCATAGGAGCTAGATTAGGTCTGCAACAAGCAGTATTGGAAGAAGAGGAGTAGAAGAGGAAAACCGAAACAATTTTCAGCAACAAGCAGTTTTATCTCAACCAGAATTAGAAATGAAATTAAAGCAACATCATGATGAAAAAACTTTGCATGAAAGAGCTGTTCATGCCATAGTTAGAAGGATGTGAGCTTTATGATAAACATCAAAAATGTTTTCTTTAATCCAGATCTTAATTTATTTTAATTGTTCAAGGAGTCCATTAGACATTATAGTATTGACTCTCTATAATAAACAATATAGGATCTGTAAATTATTTAAAATAAGCAGTAAGGAATAGCAATAGGCTTTATATTAATATAATTAGATTTTCATCAGGGGGAACATTGATAAGAGTTTACACTTTTTGAAAGATTCACTAGCTTTATTTGTGGTTTTTCCTCTGTTTGCTTTTCTAATTGTTGAGTTTTTTTCTCTCCCAAATCAAGTTTTGTTGCTTTCTTTTTAGGCCAGTTGAGGTTCTGGAATCCTGATGACTTGAATACATCTCCAAATATCTTCCCTTCTCAGGATTGGATAGAGGAGAAGTTGCATGAGGTTTGCAAGAATCTTGGAATCTCCCGAGATGGTCACTTGAACAGAAAGAAGCTTGTCTCCATTTGTGAGCAGTTTGGTTTGCAGAATATTGATACTCAGGTACCTAATGAGAGTTAAGCCCTAGGTCAATATAATGGCTGGGAAATACTATTCTTATTTCCTTAACTTTGCAAATTTGAACATAAATATATTCTCATGGCTTGAGGGAAATATTCTGAGGTTTATAGACTGAAGGCAGCCCTCAATCAAGTTTTTATAGCTCTCCAACGCTTTGCTGAAATTTAGTAGCAAATCACCAATGTCATGGTTTCCACTAATTTTTGCGGAACATGAAATAAAGCAAGTCTATTAAGCCTCCAATAGGCTCAATACGAAGTACCCTTAGGGAATAATGAAATGACCATTCTCCCCTCTAACTCTTCAGGGACATCAAAATCTCCCCACCCCATGCCCTGCATCCTTCAGTTGACAAAATAATGTTAACATCATGATTTTGTTACCCCTGGAAGTAAAACAAAGACAAACAGTATCTCTCCTGTCTATTTCATAATATAGGTACATTTTGGTCTGATTTAAGAAGTTTTTCACCATGCTTCTTTTCCTTTATGTGATCTACTTTTCTAAAACTATAGGAATTCTTAAAAATCCCATCTTTATATTACTTTGGCATGAGGGTTTTTTTTAAAGCTAGTCCTTCTTTAGAGTAGGAAGGTTTCCACAAAACAGAGAAAAAGCTGCAGAGACTAATATGTGGTTGTGCTATGCATTTGTGGAAACTTTTATTAAAATTGAATCCTCATGAAAACAGAGATACAGAGCCATTCCTTAAATAACACATGATCCAGGTCTAGCTGTGTAACATTAACTCTATTCTCAGCTAGATGTTCAGCATTTAGAAAAAGTTTTAAGACAGAGTTCAGTAACCTCTAAAAACAGAAAAAGACTTTGGGGTTCAACTTAATTCCCAATGACTTCATGGATGCATGTGTACTGTTTTCTTGGCCACAGTATGGGTTTGTCATTGCCTTTTGGGATGCTTTGGGGCTTCCCAGTCTACCCTACAGCCCCAGGGTTCTCAGAGAGTTGCCCATCTACAGTAACCATTAACCAAGATCAACCTTTCCTAAGCCCAGATGAGGTTAGTCAGATGCTGCCACCTGCTGTTTCCTAGTCTTTTTTTCCCCCTGGGTTTCAGACTTCAGTTAAAGTTGGCATCCTTCAGTCTCGAGAGACTATGGTATAGTGCTCTGGGAAGAGGTCCTAAGGCATCATCTGGTGTAGCTAAAAAGGCCAATTTGAGAATGGCAGTCCCTTCCACACTGAGGGCAGATAAAATCTGTCCCCTGTCCAGTGCCCAGATTTCACTGGTTCCGGGACTGCCTCTTTGCCTCAGCCTGCCGCACAAGTGTCTCTTCGAATTGGAGAAGGCCATGCTGTGACTTTAGCCTCCAGGCTGAACGATCAGAGGTCAAGAATTCCCAGCTGTTAATGTCCATTCCCAAGGCTTTTAGGTCCCTCTTGCAGATATCCTTATATCACAGCTCAGGTCTCCCTCTGCGGCACTTTCCCTGCACTAGTTCTCCATACAGGAGATCTTTCGGAATCTGACCATCAGCCATTCTCATGACATGCCCAAGCCAGCGTAGATGTCGCTGTTTCAATAGTGTATACATACTAGAGATTCCAGCACATTCCAGGACTGTGGTATTTGGGACTTTGTCATGCCAGGTGATGCCGAGAATACGTCGGAGACAGTGCATATGAAAGGTGTTCAGCCTTCTCTCCTGACGTACCAAGACTCACTGCAGTGCAAGAGTATGCTCAAGACGCAGGCTCTATAGACCCGAATCTGTCAACTTCTTATTAAGCCATACTCGCTTTGTAAGTCTGGAAAATGTGGTTTCAGACTGCATCAGTGAATTTCAGTCACTCCGAATTTTCTGAATTATACTAGGATGTTTTCCCCCATGAGGCCCTGCACATTTTCACTAATTTGAAACATTTGCTTCCCCTCAGATGCTGGAGGAAATGTTTCGCAACCTTGACCACAACAATGGCACAATGAGCATTGAAGACTTTTTCTATGGGCTCTTTAAAATTGGGAAGCCTCTCCCACCTTCTGCCTCCACTCCATACAGACAATTGAAACGGCATCTTTCTATGCAGGTAGGTCTCTTAATATGCTTTCTACATGCATGTCACTAAAATATTCTGCTCTGATTTCCAACCACATTTAATTCAATCTATGTCACGTTTTCTTGAGTTTTGTTTTGAAAATAACACTTTTAGCACAACTGTTAAAGACAGTGAGGAAAATATCCTTATCAGATACTTGTATTATCTCGTTGCTTTTTGGCAACATGTTTTTTTTCTCTTGACTGAGCTTTCCTATCCCCAATTTTTCTTTTTTATTTGTCCCGGGAGTTTATTGGATATTTATGGATGCTGCTGTTTAATTGACTGCAGTTGGCCTATATATATGCCATCTTCATCAACAAAATTGTAAAGCTTATCTGGAAAATGAAAATTCAAACTTCTGTTTGGCCTTTATAAAGCAAAGTAGCTCAATCTTAAATATTATCCTGAGGCCTTGCTGCACACAAATATCATAGAATTATAGAGTTGTAAAGAGCCACAAGGATCATTTAGTTCACTATTTTTCAAATTTGGCAACTTTAAAATGTGTGGACTTCAACTGCTGGCTGTAGATTTTTGGGAGTTGAAGTCCACATGTCTTATAGTTGCCAAGTTTGAAAAACACTGATCTAGTCTAGCTGTCTGGAATGTACAGGAAAACCAATTAAACTGTCCATGACGGTAGAAAGCCTCAAGAGACGGAAAATCTAGATATGCTCAGGGATTGCTCATTTGGATTTATTCTGAGAGACTAAATCATATCTATAGCTTAAGTCTTACTGAGAGGTGAGGCCTTTGGGCTATAGTCCAGGGGTGGGCAACCTTGGCTCTTTTATGATTCGTGGACTTCAACTCCCAGAATTCCTGAGCCATAAAAGAGCCAAGGTTGCTTCCCCCTGGGCTACACCATTACAAATGTGGGGATGCTCATATGAAAAAACTTGCCTTTTTCTAGAAATCAAGCCCATCAAGAAGAAAGGTTCCAAATTAATGTCCTGACATGATTGGGGTTTTTTTCCCCAGAGAGCACAATTTACAGCTAAAGAGGTTGGGGATGCTTAAATGAAAACACTTGACTTCTTCTGGAAATCAAACCCATCTCTTTTTCTCCCCCTCCCCATCCAGGCCTTTGATGAAAGTGGGAGACGTACCACCCCTCCCTCAGCAATGACAAGTACAATCAGCTTCCGTGTCTTTTCCAGCCTGGATGATGGGATGGGCTATGCTGCAGTGGAACAAATTCTTGATGCTTGGCAAGAACAAGGCATAGAGAATAGTCAGGAGATCCTGAAGGTAATGTATTCCATAGTTACGCAGTTACTAATGCAGTTTTAGAAATATATCCGAACCGCAGATTGAAAGTAATGTTCAGAATCCACAAAGGATTTAAATGGGATGCCACACATTTCAAACTGGGGATGATGCTTAGAGCACTTCGTCAGAAAGCTTTCATCTTCCCCAACAATTACACCCCCCAGGGCTTCCGGGCGAACTGATGTGGTGCAGTTAAAATGTGGATTATTCAGGCTTTTGTGAGCAAGGGGAATTCCCTATTGCAGTCTTAAGTTGCTCATTTCCTATGCAACTCCCAGCTGTTTCTGAACCTCTTTTAAACATTTCAGCCCAGCATGCAGTTGGATTGATATTCAGTCAGGGCTATGAGCACCATAGGATTTGACTGGCTTTTCTCTTGCTTCTTGTTCCTCCCACCTGTGCAGGGAAGGCAATCCTCATTGGCTAGCCCTTTTCTTTGTAGAGCAGTGTTCCTCAACCTCAGCTACTTTAAGATGTGTGGACCTCAAGTCCAGAATTCTTCAGCCAGCATGCTGTCTAGGGGATTCTGGGAGTTAGTCCACACATCTTAAAGTGGCTGAGATTGAGAAGCACTGTTTAGAGATTATTCCTCCCCCATTAGTCTCCATGCCTTTGCTTTTGTAGGAGACAGCTTTCACAGATGTTTGTACATGGATGGCTTTCCCTGCCTTTGGCACAAACAACGGTTCTTCTGTTTTCTTCCCCCCCCCCATATTGTACCATCAGTTCTCTGAGACTTCAATAATCAAAGGAAAGGGAACAGATTTTCTTTTCATTCCTACATGCAACTATAGGCCCAAATAAGCTTTATGGCAAGGAAGAACCGACAATTCAGCATCATAGAAGCAAAACCAACATTTTTTAAACATTATAGCTTTATTCCAACATGTGCATTTAGATTTAAGAAAAAAGACAAATACTCTGAATAGAGGTGGGAAAACGAAAATAAAAGGTTTTGACCTGCAACTTAAGAGAAGTAAAGTTAGTATGGAGCAATGACCTTCTAAAGCAGGGGTGTCAAGCTCGCAATGTCACATGACATGTCGCGACATATCACGACTTTTTCCCCATTGCCGGAGCTGGGGTGGGCACAGTTTTGGCATGACGCATCCAGCCCACAGCTGGAAATTTGACACCCCTGCTCTAGAGCAATGTTTTTCAAATCTGATAACTTTAAAATGTGTGGACTTCAATACCCAGAAGTCTGGGAGTGGAAGTCCACACATCTTAAAGTTCCCAAGTTTGAAAAACGTTTGTTTAGAGGCTGGTGGGAAGCAACAGGACAACTTAATGGGCCATCACTGAATCAACTGCAAAATAATTTTTAAAAGGCAACCCCTGACCAGCAGAGAAGATTGGAGCCAGGGCAATATGGCAGAATAGGGCAGCAATCAGCTGCTGGAGTGGAGAGGGTGTGCCAAGTACTGTAGAAAATCAAAGTTATTATTATATTGGAATGAAGCTCTAAAGACCAGCTGCTTGGAAGGGTTTAAGATTGCTTACATAGTACTTTTAAAGTAGATTCAAAATGCATGTAATGGGGCAAGAGCAAAGCAGTGAATGGTATGTTCTGCAATGGGGCAAGCAGAAAATATGGATCTTCCTCAATTGTCCATCTCCAGTCAGAGATAAGTGTACCATTTTCAAGAGCAACCATTATATTCCTATAATATTGTGATGGCACAACATCACAGATGGAAACTGTGTCCAGAATCCACCTAAGTATATATTTGGCTGCTGAACTCTGCTGGTTGGTGCAAAGGGAACATCTGGTCTGCATTTGATGTCCATGAAATCAAATTAACCATTTTTCATAAGATCTATCCATTTGGTATCCACCCCAAAATTTTATCAAACTTTGCCATACAAAGAATCGTTCTATTGGAACTGCTGAGATATGAAGGTTCCACTGAGGTCCTGAGCAAGACCCATCTTATAGTTCCACTCATATCTTTATATAGTTCTATATAAAGTTCCACTCATATCTTCCTAAACAGTTCCACATCAGAAATCAACAACTCTTGTAAGAATAATGGCATCCTGCAGCTTATCCTTTACTATCATCTTGTCTTCTTCTAAAACAGAAGAGACAAAAGGGAAGTGAAGTCATTTTTAAAGGCATAATAGGCTGAAACATTTTTTCTCTGGCACATGGGGGTTTTATTTGGCTTTTGGAGTGGGGAGGCTGCATGCAAAGGAGAACTAGAAAGAAAGGAAATAACTTTTTATCATCTGATTCTTCTCCAGGGATAGATTGAGGGGGGGGGGAAGTTGAGCCAAATCTCATACTCAGGTAGAAGGAAATGAGAAAAATCAAAACTAACATGTGGGGTCCTTGGCGCTCTCTAAGCTTGGTGGTTTCCTTGCAGATGTTTCCTTACTAAACTAGGTAACATCATCAGACTGTATGATAATGAAATGTCTGCAAGAAAACCACCAAGCTCAGAGAGCACCAAGGATCCCACAGTTCAACCCTGAGCTACAAAAATTCTCTTCTATCAAAACTGATATGTTTGTCCATACCAACTTTCTTGCAGGCCTTAGATTTCAGTTTGGATGTAAAAATTAACCTGGCTGAACTGACTTTTGCCCTGGAAAATGAGCTTCTCATAGCCAAGAATGGGATATACCAAGCAGCCCTGGCTGCTTTCAAAATGGAGATTCGGCATTTGATGTGAGTATCTAACATAAATATGTATATGATGAGATGGAGATAGTAAATCAGCTTTAACAAAAACCTGAAATGTAGGGTGGTGGGGATTCCCCAAGGAGGATTTCACTTTGACCAAGATTCAAAGCACTCTTCTAGTGCTAGATCAGAGTTGCTGCTTTCGTCTGAATGCTAAGCACAATGGCCCATATCCAGCTGGATGAAGTCTTTAGCTGGAGGGAATCTTTCTGCTTTGACTCAAGGCATTGCAATAGCATTTAGGCTTATATATTCCCTCCTAGCGTTTTACAACACTCTCTGGGAGCTTTACAATGAAGATGCATTATTTGCATATTGCCCCCAATTATCTGGGTCCTCATTTTTCTGACCTTGGAAAGATAGAAGGCTGAGTCAACCTTGAACCCCATCAGGATCTAATTCCAGGCTGTGGGCAGAGTTTGCTTACAATACTGCACTGAAGCACTATGCAACCTTGGCTTGTTTGGCATTGCAACAAAGCAACTGATGAAAGGCGTAGAAAACTCTGCATAAACCAAGGCTGACCACATCAGTGAAATCCAGAATTGTTCTTCATTGCCTTAAATGATTGGGACAAGAGAGAATTAGCAGACTGTAGCCCCAGAGCTTCGTGTTTTCCACTTTCTTGACACTCATAGACATATGTCGGCTCAGGTGGCAATTTCTCATCCTTACAAAAGCTCTGACCTGGGCTAGCCTGCTGGCTGCAGCATTTCGTTCAGAATCAGAGAGAGTTTTTGGCAGGGGAGGGGAGCTCTTTTAAATAGTAAACCCATTTGTAGCAGAACCAAGACCTTCTTAACGTTGCTTAGCCATTTCTTAGCCAGTCTGTTACCCCAGCAAATAGGGATACGTAGACTCATGCATGCTCATTTCTCCCATCTCTGTCACTGCCACCCTACTTTGACTCCTGTCAATCCCTAGAGCTTGCTTTCTAGCATAACCTCACAGCCTGAAATATTTCACTATTTGCCTAATAATGAGTTATAAACTTCAATGAGATATTTGTGCATCTGGGTAGACATGTTCACGGATATGCTTGGAAATGGTCAAACTGTTACGTTCTCTGTTGCTGGGAAGCTCAGCAAGCATTATCTGACAACCGAGGTTTATTTTTTTAGAGAACGGGCTGATCTAGTTCTAAGGGAAAAGGACAAACTACTTCTGGATTTGGAGAAAGTGGAGAAAAGAGCATCCCTAATGGCCACCGAAGTGGATGATCATCATGCTGCCATTGAACGCCAAAATGAATACAATCTAAGGTATGCTGCCTTTACTTCAGGATTCACAATCTCTCTTCATGGCAACACTGTGACTTAAGTGGCAGCTAGGTCTCTTGAAATAACAACTGACAAGGCTAGCCATAGGTTCAAGTCAGCCATGTGTATTAGAGACAGGCTGGGAAGTAGGTCTGTGAAGATATCTCAAATTAGCTTCTTGACAAATTTCAGAATATCAATAGGGAGGATAGACTAAGAACTCCAGGATGAGGCATTTTGAGGAGATTTGTAACACCCTCGAAGGAGGGTAGGAAGACCATGTGCTGCATACAACCCCTCAAATCCATTTTTACCATTTCCTATACCCCAAGGATCAAAATTAAATTGATTATTAGTGATATAATTTTTCATATAAAAACATCTTAGAATATATGTATGAAGCCTTCAAGTGACTTCCTTTCATTCCCATATTCAATGACAAAGATGAAAACAATAAATGATTTTAATAAATGACAATACATAACAATCTTACAACCAAAAAACAATAAAAACGTTCAATTAAAACAGATACTAAAAAGATCAACCTTACAATTTACTAGCCTTCCAAAAGCATCACGTTTTAATGGCTTTCCAAAATCCCAACTGGATTGGGACTAGGCAAATCTCAAGAGAAACACTGCTGTAAAGAAGTGGGCAGAAACTGAGAAATATGACAATCTGGATCCATGAAAGGAATTGTTAAGAATCTGACCTGGCTCACAATTGCTAAACTGTGTTTCATTCTCAAAACCACCTGTGTTGGATACAGCTCAGATATTCTTGTGCTGATGATTGTGCTGATAAGTGTGAATAGGATCTAGCTTACTGTTTTTGTGGTGATACAGATCTTTGCAAAATGTTTGGTCAAGAATATCCATCCTGAAGTCAGTTACAGACTACAGGTAGTCCTCAACTTACAACAATTCATTTAGTGACCGTTTGAAGTTACAACAGCATTGAAAAAAGTGATTTGCAACTTTTCATACTTATGAAATCCCCTTGGTCACATGATCAAAAATTCAGATGCTTGACAACTGATTCATATTTATGATGGTGTCCCAGGGTTGTGTGATTTCCTTTTGCAACCTTCTGACAAGCAAAGACAATGGGGACGCCGGATTCATATAACAACCATGTTACTCACTTAAGAACTGCAGTGATTCACTTAACAAATGTGGCAAGAAAGGTTGTAAAATTGGGTAAAATTCACTTAACAAATGTCTCACTTAGCAACAGAAATTTTAGGCTCAATTGTGATCATAAGCCGAGGAATACCTGTATAAAATTCTCAATTCATCCAAATTTCCACATGCTGTCTTGGTGTGATCCAGGATTCTGTAGTAATTTCAAACATTTAGAAATTCATATGTATCATTTGTCTTGAGAATGAGAACTTTGCTTTTAAATCCTCACAAGTGAGGATGTCCTGGGATTTTATGAGACCATTTGCATTATCAAGAAGATCCCAATGGGAATGACCATTTTACTGATAAATACCAATGAATCTATGAGATTTTGTTAGGTTGTTGCCACCCACTGATTTCCAATATTCAACCCCTGATTTTTCTTAATCTGTGTGTATAGCAAGCTGGATGAGGAGTACAAAGATCGTGTTGCAGCTCTCAAAACAGAGTTTCAGAAAGATTGTGAGCGGATACAGCAGCAGGCCAGCAAGCAACAAGCAGAACTGGAGCAGGAGATAGAGAAGATGAAAACCGAAGAGAATTATCTCCAGGACCGCCTTGCTCTGACCTTGAAGGTAACAGCTACCTTAAAGCAGGAGGGCACAACTTATTTCATACTACAGACTATGTTTGGCTTTTGAATGCTTGTAGGGAGCTTTATGGTAAAGACCATGACAAAAATTAAAATTAAAATAATCTAAATACAATTCTTATTACTTCATGTGTATTAAATAACTTTGTCACACTTATATTTATTTGATAGATGCATTTATTTAGAGGCTGTACATGCATCTCAGGGCTTAAAAAAAGCAACCCAATTCCTTAAAAAAGATACCAGTGTATATGAATGCGTGTCTCCCCATGTGGACGGCTTTTATTACATGCACATAATTTTTAATGTGCAAATCAATGGACTGACATTTGGACTGATGTATTTTATTAAAAAGCTTGATGTAAGCTTTTTAAATTATGCAAAAAATAATTCTTCTGGGGGTTGAAGGAAAGGAAGTGGGATCGGAAAGATGAAGACCTTCTTCTAACATGATATTCCATGCGGCACGTGTAGATTCATTTGAATGCATAAACTGAAAGTTAATTTTAAGGCAGTTAATTAGGTTTTAGAACAAGGCAAGGGGTTTCTCCTTTAAATATTATAATGATCCTCCAGAGACCAAGCAAGAAATGAAGACATACAGTACATTCCCTTAGATTTTTAAACTAGTCTCCTCTGGATCTGAATAGCAGCCTTTTAAATATTGCCTATTTTGATCTAATGTCACTCAACCTGGTGCCCTTTTTATTTGTTAGAACTATAATTACCAGCATTTTCAGTAAGGCTGCATGAAAAATTCAGACTTTGTTAATAATATCAGGGTGAAGAAAACTGAAACTAGGAAAAACACAGTCACTTTATGTATTGTTTGGGAACCAAACTGGATATTTTTGAGACCCTCTCAATTTCTTTTTAGGAAAATAGTCGCTTAGAGCATGAGCTCCTGGAAACTGGAGAGAAATTGGTGAAGTATGAAAGCATGATGAGCAAACTGCAGAATAATTGGGAAAATGTCTTAGTAGACAAGGTAAGATGCTGTTGGTGATTAATTCAGCAAAATCCCAGAATATATTACAAATGTCATTTGACTTTATGAAGATGTTAATAAGGACTTCGGGTCCAGATTAATCTGGCACAAACAAAGCCAAAGGAAATGATGCAGAGATTTTGAAAGTTAGTAAGACTGATACAATAAAAGTCCACTCAGCCATCCAAAATTCTGCAAAGATGTTTGGAACTATATTTTGCAGTTCAATCATTTCAAATAACTAGTTCAACCACTTTAGCAAGTGATTGCAGGAATAAGGACTGTATTACTACCATCACCCTAATTATGGAGTGGTCATCCTAGAGAGGCACTTTTTCTGGTGTTCAAGTTTTGATTTTCAGGAGCTTCATCATGTATTGTTTGTAATCCGGTGGAGGGTAGTATTTTGAATCCACAAATCACCATGTAAACATAACCAATACAGCAGCCTATAAATACACCATACTGTGGGGCACAATGGGTGAGTTGTAGATGTTTTCAGTTTTGTTTGCCATTTTATTGCTTAATATGATTTAAAGGATAATGTAAGAGGTAGTCCTAGCTTAATGACCACTCATTCAGCAACCATTTGAATTTATCAGTGCTGAAGGAGTGGTACTTATAACCATCCTCATACCTATGACGGTTGCAGTATCCCTATGCTCACATGACTGCAATCCGGGTGCTTGGCAGCCAGCTCACAGTTATGATGTTGCAGCATTCCATAGTCATGTGATCATTTGCAACCTTCAGTGCTGGCTTCTAACAATGGGGAAGCCAGCAGGAGGTTGCAAAAGGTGACCATCATGGTTAACAATGTTATGGGATTCATTTAATGATGGCAAGTGGAAGTACCACAAGTGCTGTCACCAAGTGGTGCAGTCACGTGACATCGTGCTTTATGATTGTGTCACTTAGCAATGGAAATTCTAGTCCCAATTACTTACTTACTTAATGTTGTTAAGTGAGGACTATATGTATTATTTATTGGGGTTGTCTTTAATATGCCACCCAGAATCATGAGTTTGAGTTGGAGACAGCCATATACATGCATAACCAATTAAATACTACATATATCTATATATGTAAGATAGCCTGGTAGCAGCATTTGCCTGACATACCTCCAGATTTGATCTCTGACATATTTTCTAAAGCAGTATTCCTTAGCTGGGTGTCCTCCTTTTATTCAGTGCACCAGATTTCCTTTCAAATCCAATAATAAAGCTTCATTCCCTGGACCATCATCTAACTGCTGTACCAGTGAGGAAAACAGGCTGTCTAAAGGTGGGGAAAAGATGACCATGTGTCCTTTGGTTCTAGTTTGGAGACCTAGATCCTGGCAGTGCAGAGTTCTTCCTTCAGGAGGAGCGGCTGAGTCAGATGAAGAAGAAATACGAACAGCAGTGCAGGGTAAGAATAAAATTAAGTTTTTCCAAGGCCTATGCCTAGAGACTCCAGCGAATCACTTTTCTTGATGTTGTGTGTCTACATAAAGAGAGCTAGAAAATCATTTTATCAAAGTGACTAGATTTCACGTTCCAGATGTGGATTGGCTAGCTGGCCATGCAAGCCTCAGAGCTTCATTTCTTCCTCCTACCCCACCATCTACAGAGAAGAGAACTGATCTACTTCCCAAATGGCAACACCTAGCCAACCTTGCTTGAGCCCTCAAAAACTAAACAGTCAGACCTAGTTAGGATGTTAATGGCAGCCTCCCATGAATGCCTCCCATGAATGCCCAGGGGTTTAGGATATAGAGAAATTGAAGAAACAGTGAAGAACTGTTTCCATACTGTTACCGGGAAAACTGTATGGATAAGGACCAAGAATCAAGAGAGACAGTTTGAGTCAATCTTTACACCCTTCAAATAATGTCATAGAACAGTGGTTCTCAACCTTTCTAATGCCGCGACCCCATAATACACTTCCCCATGTTGTGGTGACCCCCCAACCACTTATACATCACCGGGTGCCAGGGGCGTGGCCAAAGAAAAGGGGGAAAAAATGGTGGACAGCCTTGTTTGGCGACCCCCATGAAATGGTCGTTCGACCCCAAATGGGGTCCTGACCCACAGGTTGAGAACCACTGTCATAGAACTTGCTTTCTTTTCATTTTTAATTTGTCCCTTCTCACAAAAGTCTTCAAAACTTTAGCAAACCTCTTTCGTAAGTCCAATCTAGGAAAGCTATCCAAGTTACTTTCTTAGTTTGTTTTTGTATATCCCATTTAATTATGAAGACATCAGCTGGTTTCTTTTGTATGGCCATTATAACATCTTTTTTCCTGTCATTTTTACATCAATTTTCAAATCAATCTCAATATTGTCAAGTAAACTTGTTTCTTTTCTATAAACTATTTTAAAGACAGTCTATCTATACAGGCAGGGATTATTATAATTAATTTCTAGGTCGATTGTTCAAAAACCTCCTTCAGTATATCCATTGTTAACTATTTTGCTTCATTCTGTAACAGTTGAGTTTGAATGTTCTCCTTTAATTATAATTTTTTGTTCCCTCTAGTTTCCTTTAATATCCATTTTTTAAAGTCATATCTTATGATTTTGTAAATTCAAAACAAAAGCATTTTCCCACATGAAAGATTCTGTATAATTAGTTCAAAAACCTTATTTCAAATTTATATGGACCTTTAGTCCATTTGTAACTTTGTAAAAAGTTTTAATCATCCTTTTGCTGTTTATTTGAAGTTTTCTAAAATTTAAAATTTCTTTCTCTGTGGGTTGTTGAAAACTCACCCAATGCTGTAAAAATGTTGATCCAAAGATTCCTAATAGCTGAAAAACAGTTAACAAGCAATTTCCAAAAGTGATTAGAAAAAGAAGTATGGAAACTTGGTGTCCTTTCAAAGGTATCATCCCCAGTTTGAGCAAGATAACAATTCCCTCATCTCTTAGTGCTCTAAATTTTATGGAAATTAATATCTTGCAGTCTCCTTGTGAGGTGCAGCTGTCTTACAGCTGGACTGTCTAAGGCAGTGGTTCTCAACCTTTCTAATGCCATGACCCCATAATACAGTTCCCCATGTTGTGGTGACCCCCAAGTGGGTGTGGCCACCAATAAGAGGGAGTAGGACAGCTAGGGAAAAGGGAAAAAAATGGCGGACAGCCTTGTTTGGCGACCCCCGTGAAATGGTCGTTCGACCCCAAATGGGGTCCCGACCCACAGGTTGAGAACCACTGGTCTAAGGAACTTCCTCTCCTGTTAGAAACCTGCCTTTGCTATCAGAATCTCATTTTTCTAGAATATAAGAATCTTTCCTCTGTGTTGCTCCCAGCCTATAAACTATCCTCTGGAAAGAGTTGCTTTTGGCCTCTCCTCTTATCATTTAAGCAATACATAAAAGATCTCTCTCTCACTTTCACAGTTGTATTTTAATATGTACTTAGATTTTACCTTTCATAAAAAGTGAGATATATAGAAATACATAAATATCTCTGAAGTCATTAGCTATCCAAGAACAGAAGATTCTTCATCCTGACCTGAAACTTACCCATGAGTTTTTCCAAACCTGCTCATTTTATGTTGAGCTCAAGCTGAAGAGATGGGTCTAATGCTTAGTCCCCAAATTGCTCTGTTTCAAAAGAAGCCAGGGTTCAGTTCTTGCCTAGCATATAAATATATGCACATTTGCAGCTGTTCAGTCCTCCCAGGCCATAAAAATATTGCTGTTCCAGTTGATTGTTTGGCTGGGTTCGTCGTGATGAGATTGCATCTTGTTTTCAGGAACTTCAAGATCACATAGATGAACTTCAATCTCAACTGGAAGAATATCAGATACAAGGCAGAATTATCCGACCTTCACTGCAAAACACTCTCTATGAGGAGCTCAATGATTGTGGAGTGCAAAGTAGTCAAGGTACAATATGTCCTACCTACTGTGTATTATGTGAAAGTTATTTTTGGACAATCAAGCTGTCTTTCCAGTTTTTATGTAGCCTGTATTGCAAGAGTGTACCAACACTTCAGGGAAAAGCTAAAGCAAGTGAGCAAATCTCTAAAAGTGTGAGTCTGGGGAGGTCAGGGCAGTATATGGAAAAGAAGTTGGATCTAAGGATTAAACAGATTAAGCTAACAAGACTGCCAAGTGTCCTGATTGGTGCTGCTGAGGGCAGCTTTCTAATACCTTAAAATATTTTAATATTTATGCTAATGTATTCCATCATTGACTAGCTGTCCAAAAGAGCTTCATTTCTTTTTTCCTATCCTGTATTTTAGAGCCTGCTTCTGAGGACTGCAGCCATCTAAACATGAGCATAGAAGCCGAAATAATTATTGAACAACTAAAGGATAAGCTTCACCAGGATGTCTACAACTTGCAGCAGGAGCTTGAAAACACAGTAAGTTTTCCCCACTTTAGCATGAAGCCAGAAGTGCTTGCATCAGAAATTGTTATTACACTTGCCCAGAATGTTTTTATTAATTAAAATCTGTTGTTGTTATAATCTTTAATTTTTTTCTCGAACTTAGTTTCTTGGCTTTCTGGAGCTTCTGGGTAATTAGTGGTGAGCTATGAAGTATTCAAATGAACAGAAAAATCAACTGCAGCTAAGACTGGACCAGTGACTAGACTGGTCCACATAACATCTCCAGATAAGGAGAGAATGGAAGATCATTTACTTATGCTCTAGATAGCTGCTCCTTGTAAGAAGACTACAAGACAGCACCAGAACACAAATGAAATCATCATCATAATGCTGTCAACTGCGGCAGAAACTACTAAAGGACACTGAATTTACTAACCCACTTTCTAATTACTTTCTGAAATTGCCTATTCAATTAACTTAAGGACATTAGACGTTTTCAAAATAACAAGTTTCATTTTTTGAATAAAACAAAAAATAACAATCAGCTTAAGAGCTTAACAAATTAGAAATATTTGCAAACAGCTAAATTCAAAACTAATTTAAGAAAGTTATAAATAAGGAACAGACAAACTTGGAATAATGGAAAATTAATACTTTTGGTAAAAGAGTTTGGAAATAAGTGTAGAAATGAACAGCACATGTGTGGGAACCAAGCTGTTTAGTTTATCTTGAATCAAAACAGCAACTTGAGACTATTATTTTAAAAATCAAACACTAGAGGGGACTAAAGATTCCAGGCAGAAAGGGAAAAGGGGGAAAAAATGAAAAGTGTCTTTGATCAGCCCTAGAATTTGCGAAATGGCAGAAAATGCTTTGATATTTGAAATGCTTCAGTAGATTGTTGAAGAATGGGGTCAAAAAATAGAAGCTTCAGTCTCAGCAATGATGCATGCATTCATGAATAGATTATGTCTTAAAGATATTAAAGAAGTTCTGATATGAAAGAGAACATTGTGGAGGATTTACAAGATAAAGAGATGAAAGAAAGTTTGCCTAATGTAGAAATATCAGAATATTAAAAAAAAATGCAGAAGTACTGAAAAATAAAAAATGAACTAGGAAACAACTAAAGTGGAAGTACAAATGACAAACCAATAAATTGACCTAGATAATGATCTTTTACTGAATTTACCAAAGAAGTTGGTTAAAGTCTGAAAGAAATTTTCAAAATGGGAAAAATAAAAATGGAAGAGAGATCGAACTCTATAATAGCATCTGAATGAACTAAAGATTAAGATTGTTAAAAGCAGAAATTAGAACAAAGATAGATTGTTTGACCAAATTTAAAATAAGACATGTTTGTGTAAATTTGGCATTCTTTATGGACTTTTTCTTAACACTGGGAATGTAATGATTTATGGTTTTGTATATGGGTTATGAGGCAATGTAATGTAATGTTATGGGTTGAGAAATTATTAAGTTTGTACTTGTAATGAAGATCAAAAGCTTCAGAGAACTGATGATGGTTTCATGGATCACTTTGCAGACCTCTAAATTAAACTTAAGAGTCCCACCAGCAGAGAACCTATTATTGAAGACAAGCTGTTCATAAAGTAGTTCCTGAGAGGCAAAAGCATAGAGTACTTATTTCCTCCCCTCTCAAGATCTTTGTTCCTGATGGACACAATAAACAGAGAAGGAAACTCTGTATAAAACATTTACAAAGGCTTATTGAATGAAAGTTTGAATGCAGTTATCTCCTTAATAGATTTTTCCAGTTCAAGCACAACTGATTAGAGATACATAGCAATCAGTATGATTTGCCCAACTGAAATAAGAGACGTTACCTAAATTACAAATCTAATAGTTACAAACAGTTGTCATGTTACTTGATTCTAGAAAGATTTTTCAATGCAGAAAAATAATGGAAGAAGTAGCAGACAAAATGCACCAAACAAAATAGTAGGTTATAAAATGGAAATGCTTTGCCCAGTACATGCAGCCACTACATCCTTCTTACATAACTCCTTTTTGTCTCCTATTTTATACCTAAATGCTTTGGGTTCTGACAAACTAGTTTTCATAAGCCTTAACATGATTGTGGAAGTTCTTGTCAAATTCTTGTCTGACTCTTTTGTCCATCAGTTATACTTTGATCTTCTCCTGTCACTTGCCACGTCATTGTTTTAGCATCCTGTTATATTTCTATGCACCTATGCATTCAGATGGACTGCATGAGACTATGTATTCATCATAATAATTCATTATCCATCATAATCACTAGCAGAGGTCAATGCTGGGCAAACCTATAAAGAGGTTTCATTCTGTTCATGCCAAGGATTGTCTCTGATTCCCTTGGTTTCTGTATCTCCAGGTACTCTTCCAACAGTAGCTGGTCTAAGAATTGGTCTATGTAGGCTGCTGCTACATAGTGAGCCTGTCACATAAATTATGCTGGCTGGACATATTGAGACCTATATTCCTACACATCTGCCTTTTTCCAGAATGCTAATGTGACCTCTTTATAACAGATTAAAAAGGATTATGAATGGTGGAGTTTGCATTCATTTTCAGTTATATCTGCTATTGAACCAAACTGTCTGCAATGCTTCTATTGAGTTATGCGGAAATGCTCATCATAATCTTCCCCTTCAATTAGGTATGCCATTATGAAAAGCAGCTTGAGGAGACCAAAGCCAACTATAAAGAGGGACAAAAGAACTTCCAGCAGGAGTACTGTCAGGAGAGACAAGTGTTAGAAGAACAAATTGAGTGTCTGCACATCCAGATTTCTGAGCTTCAGGGACAGCTGGCAAGCCTGAGGCAGGCCAGCTCCCAGCAGAGTGTGGAAGGGAACTGTCTCCAGATATGCATGGATGAGAAGGCTAGCCTTATAGAATGCCTGAGGATTGATCATGAGAGGGAGCTCCAAGCCAGACTGAAAGAGGCAGAAGAAAACTTTAGTCATGAGAAGGAAGAGTTGATTCAGTCTAAATCCTGGCTGGAAGAAAGAATGAGAACTTTAGCACAGGCCATCCAAGAAGAAAAAATGGAGCTAGAAAATGGGTTCCATGAGAAGTTGCAAAGGCTGATGGAGAAGCATGCCCTGGAGATGGATCAGCTACAACAAGAGCTACTAAGAGTGCATCAGCAAGAGCTCCAGGAACAAAAGTGAGTAACTTTTTTTTTTTTAACAACAGCATAGAATTTACCTTGGATTAACTCATTTTATCTTAGGAACCCTGACAACTACAGTTCTGGGGTAAGCATTGGATAGCTCTAGGTCTCTAGTAGAAGCTAAAGCACATCCTTGCTAATGAGTGATATACAGAATCTTTTGGAAGATTTCTGAGTCAGCATTTAGGAAAATCCAGTAGGAGAAAGCAAAAGAAGAAGAAGCCATAATTGTATTTGTATCTGATAAATTATTATCTATCTATCCATCTATCTATCTATCTATCTATCTATCTATCTATCAAATTTTGTGACTGTCCATCTTTTGAGAGTGTATACTATAATTGTATCTACGTTAGTTACATTGATCTGGTTGCTTTGTATATTGTGGGAGTATACTAAATTTATATTCATCTATATATATATTGAATTGTGATAAAGTATATTTTAAACAATTTATGCAACTATATCATTATAACAAATCACTATTTTTGCACTAGTTTTGTAGTGTGTTTCCGGTCTTAAGTGATAAATTTTTTGTTTGTTTTTAAATGGGTTATTTCTACCTCCAAAAGCAAGCTTTGAATCAAAACGTATAAAACCCTGCAATGATGGCAAGATCCTAGAGAGATAACTTTTATTGTTCCAGCTTCTGACAAAATTGGTTGTGAACAATTGAATGACATTTTCCATCTGTGTGAAAGGATCTATAGATCCCATCACATGCAGCATATATTAATATTTTAAAGGGGCCACTAATTTCTTTTAAATACTACTAATTATTCATTAATATTTTACAGAATAAAATATTTTGCAGAATGAAAGAAAGGTCCTAAGGCAACAGGCCTTTGATTTGGAGTTTTGCCCTGTTTTCTCTGGATTACAGTATTTTCTCCAGCTTCATTGCCTGTATTGATAAATGAATGAGGGCAAGTGAATCTTAAATATGAACGGGGCTAATAAGCCTTACATGAGGTCTCAGTTTTGGGATGCTTGACTTGGAGAGTCTTATAGATCACAGCCTATAAGGGACTTGAGGTCTCTGATACAGTAGATTTAAATTCAGGACCAGTGACAACATAGGGCCTGAAATGGTTTATATCAGGCATGTCAAACACAAGGCCCGGGGGCCAGATGCGGCCCATGAAGTGGTTTCATGTGGCCCACGAAGCCATCCTGGAAACAGTGAGGGAACGGCCCCCGCTGCCTTGGCCCTGGCCCAGGCCAGCCGGGAGCCAATGTACAATTTTATGATGGCCATCTATGCTGAAACGTATTCAGTCTTAGCTCCACAAGGCCATCTGGAAACGGCTTGGTGCCGCAGGTGCTCGAGAGCCAGGCTGGGCGTTTGACCTCTGCTGCCCAGGGCTCTGGGCAGCCCGCGTCACATCCAGCCCTCCCCCCACATGGCCTGAGAGGAACAATGAGGCTCCTCCAGTGGACCATGCCTTGGCACTTGCCCTGGTCCCACCCCCTTCTGCCAGAGACCCTCAGATCTGTCCCACTCCTGCCCAGGCCCCCACAGGGACCCTTGATGTGAATGATGTAGAGCTGGCCACGCCCACCCAGTATGCCACACCCACTCCATCCATGCCCACCCAATAGGTCGCATTCACCCTGGCCACACCCACCCGGCCCCCCGAGGGCAACCACAATGCTGATGCAGCCCTCAATGAAATTGAGTTTGACACCCCTGGTTTATATCAAGTGAAGAAGCCTTTTGTGGCCAGAGGCCATAATTAACTACTGGGGCAACACCTTAGTCAGCTTATATGTAGACACTTGCAAAGGGGCTGCCTTTGAAGAATACTTGGCAGCTACAAATGGGCCAGAATGCAACATCTTTGGCCATTATAAGCACATCTTGGTATGCTTCCAGATGCAATTCAGGGTGTTGGCTATGAAGATCCTTCATGGCATAGGGCCTGACTGAAGAAACACCTTTCTCCTATTGCTTCTGCCTGACTGGTAAAATCTGCCAAAGGGGTCCATCCTTAAAACCATTCCATCTGATGTGACTTCGGCAGCATGCCTTCTTTGTTGCAGCACCTACTCTCTGGATCCTATCTGAGACTTGAGTTGCTCATTGTTTGTGATTTTAGTCCCTAATTTATTGCTTTGTATTATTTTTTTTATTTTTATTTTATTGAAAATTTTTAAAATTTTACAAAAAAGTTCCCTTCCCCGAACCCTCCCAACCCTCTCCCAACCTTCCCAGAGCTGAATACAGGCTTAATTAAAATTTAAAAGAAAAAATTTTAAACACAAATAAACCATATACAAATTTGGTTACAATAATTAAACAAATCATAAAATACTTTAACACCAATATTTAAAAAACAGAAAGAGAAAAAGAAAAGAAACAAGAAAAAGAAGAAGAAAGAGAAAAAAAATTAGAAAAAGAAAAAAAATATATCTAAAAAATATCTTAAACTTTAAATATAAATTATTCAAAAGCTAAATAATACTTTTTTATATCATACTTGTATTGTATAAAATTTATCCATCTTTTCCATACCAAAAGGTACTTCTTTTGCGATTGATCTTTCAAGAAAGCCGAAATCTTTGCCATTTCCACTAAATAAGAAACTTTAAGAAACCATTCTTGCAAAGTAGGCAAAGATTCCTTCTTCCAACATTGCCCTACTAACAACCTAGCTGCTGTAATTAGATTTAACATTAATATAGTTTCTTTACTGTCACAATCGGAAACAATACCCAACAAAAACAATTGTAGAGTAAATTTTATCCTTCTTTTAAAAATTCTTTGAATATTCCACCATATCTTAATCCAAAAAGCTTTTATGTTTTTGCATAACCACCAAATATGATAATAAGTGGCGTCCAAGCAACCACATCTCCAACATTTAGGCTGCAAGTTTGAATACATACGAGACATTTTTTGTGGATCAAGGTGCCATCTGTAAAACATTTTATAAAAGTTTTCCCGTAAATTTTGGGCTTGTGTAAATTTGACATTCCTCACCCAAATAATCTCCCAAGTATCTAATGGAACCAATTCATCAAAATTTTGTGCCCATTTAACCATACAATCTTTAACTAGTTCTGCTTCTGAATCCAATTCCACTAACACCCCATAAATTCTTTTAATATGGGTTCGTCTTTGATCTTTTATTTGTTTTAACAAATTCTCATCCTCTCTGAGCAAACCCACCTTGCAATCTATCTTCCACCTTTCCAATAATTGTCTATACTGAAACCATGAATAAATGATGTTTTCTTGTATTAAATCTTCCATAGATTTTAATTGCCAATTTTTACCATCCCATCTAAGTAATTGTGTATAAGAGATACTATCCATCTTAACTCCTCTCCTTATCCCTTCTATCGCATGCCATGGGATAGCCCATAATGGAATTCTAAAGTCACTTCTATAATATTTCTTCCAAACCCAAAGTAAAGAAGTTCTTAAGATATGAGACTTAAAAACCCTATCAACCTTTTTATTAAAAATTAAATAGGCATGCCATCCAAAAAGTAAATCCCATCCCTCCAGAAGGAGTACATCTACATTTGTTAAGTTAACCCAATCACTAATTAATGTTAACACCACAGCATCATAATACAATTTCAGGTTCGGTACCTTGAGTCCACCTCTCTCACGAATATCTTCTGTAATTTTAAGTTTTACTCTTGTTTTTTTCCCTGCCCAGATAAATTTATTGATACCTTTCTGCCATTCATTTAAGTTGGCCTCATTCTTTAAAATAGGTATCATTTGAAATAAAAAGAGAAACTTTGGCAAAACATTCATTTTAATCGCTGCAATTCTCCCCAGTAGGGATAATTGCAGCTTCTTCCAATTTTCCAAATCCTTTTGTATTTTAATCCACAGCCTTTCATAATTATTTTTATACAATTTTGTGTTGGAGGCAGATAAAATAACCCCCAAATATTTTACCTTATTAACAACCTCAAAATCTGTCAACCTAACTAAAGTCTCCTTATCCAAATTGGTCAAGTTTTTAAGCAATATTTTAGTCTTATTATTATTAATTTTAAAACCCGAAACTTGTCCAAACTTTGTATTATTTTTATATTGCATTGAAGGTGGATTTTCAGGCGAGTTGGCCATTAATATGAGCAATAAAGAAATAAACTGTAAACACGTTTTGGCAATTGGATGGGACTCTTGGTCTTACACAAATCTGGAGCTTCAGGATGTTCATCCTTGCTTTCCAGCATCTCTTGCTTCCAGTTTTACTGGTCCGATAAATTTGGCTACCTCTTTTTGTGATTCACAAATTGAGTATGGACTGCAGTAATTCTAAACATCATTAATATATAAATATGAATAAACCTAAGAAGACAAAAACCTCTTTTTCTTTTTGGATTGTGGTCAGGCTATTTAGGAGATCAGTGTACTCTAAGCGGATAATCTATTTATTCAAAATGTATTTTACCTTTTAGATGATAATTTATTATATTAAATAGAATATCCTCTATTAAGAAAATCTGTAGTTATTTTGCTAGGTCATTATTTTTAACTTAATAGGCTGTAACCTGATTGGACATGAGCCCCTTTTTAAAAGGAAGAAGAAAAATAAGCAAGGGACAGGAATTAATCAAAACAGGATTAAAAATAAAAAATACCAGGCTAAAAATTACAAATGGCCATTGTTGCAATTTGCTACTAAAATTGCATTCCAGGTCTAAGACAACTAAAAACTAGTATAGTAGGTGGTCTACAATCCTTTGTCTCTGAATGTGTAGAGATTTCAGTAATGTGTTGTGTTGACCACATTTAGGATAAAAATGGAAAATGAGTATAATGGAAGAATATTTCAGAAAGAGGAATGGTTCACCGCTGAACAACAAACACTTACAAGGAAGTATGAGGAAACCATAAACAAACTTAAGGATCAGCATCAACAAGAATTGCTGAAGTTCTCTAGGCTGCAGTTAGATGAGAAATCCCAATGGGAATCGGAAAAAAATGAAATTCTCCAGGAAGGCATTGAGGTCCAAGCAAAATGGAAAGAAAAACTGGAAAAAGAGAAAGCAATATCTTTATTACTGGAACAAGACAAGAAACTTCTAGAGACAAATTACAAGGAGCAAGTGAACTTGTTGATCTTGGAGAAAAAGCAACTTCAACAAGAGATTCAGGACATGAAAAAACAAGAAAGTGAATTGTGTGAGAAACCTCTGAAGAAGTTTGAGTGTGAGATGGGGCTAAGGAAAAGAGAAGAAATGCCAACATTAGAGGAAGAACAAAAGCAACTTAGCAAAAAGCTTGGAAGACTGGAAACAGAATTTGCACATGAACAAGAAGAACAGAATTCTAAGACTTTGGAGTATTTGAAGCAAGAGATGCCCAGCAGAGCAACAGAAGAAAAAAATGAATTGAAATCAAAGAGTTTAGTGCTTGAAAATAAAATAGAAGATCTACAGCAGGAATTGCAATGTCAGTCCAAACTGCAAAGCAATCTTGTTTCTTTAAACAAGGATGAGGAAGCAAAAGAAAGTGACTTTCTAGAATCCGTCAAGCCCCAGGACCCTGGAAAGGAGATAAATGTTCTTTCAAAACAAGAAATAGTTCAAGATCCAGGAGAAGAAAATAGTGTAGGAACTACCTTTCTGATGGATGACTCATTGAAAGAACCAGAAAAAGAATCATCCCAATGCCCTGGATTCATCCCATTAGTTCCAGAAACATTTGTAAGTGCACAGCTCCTAAATGTAACTGACAAAGACAGCAGTCAAGTTGTAACAGAAGATGGAATGAAAATATTAGACAAAATTGCACTTCCAAACATAAAAAATGGAGGGACAACAGCTGAAGAAACCATGGAGACTTCACATGTCTTGCAGAAGGCCTATGAAGAAATTTTGGCAGAGAATGAAGCCCTTAAACTGCGACAGAATCAGCTTTTGGAGAGGATCATTCTGCTAGAAACTGAATGCAATCAAGCAGCTCATGCTCGACAAGACATGGCTTCACAGGTTCAGAAGGAGCTGGAGGAGATCCTTAAAACTATTCCCCAGCCTAATGTGTTGGCATGTGAAAGTGATGAGAAGGGGGGAAGTTTACACTGGGAAAAATTGCCTACTGGCTGTGCAACCAAAAACCAAATGCTCTTTGCTGAAGCTTTGGATGCTGATTTAAGTGTTGAGGAAATGAGTGCCTACTCTCTTTTATTAGAGGCAGATCATGGAGAAGCTAGAACTGACAAGGGAGACCTCCATGATGTAGTATCAGGATTTTGGGATGTGGATATGATGGAAGATGCAGACTCCAGAATAGGATCTGAAATCTTCCAATTTCCAGAAGAACTCAAACTGGAAAACCAAGCCCTAAAAACAGAGATAATCAAATTGTTAGAGCGTAACAATAAATTGGAGGGATACATGCCAATATTTATAAGCCTGCAGTCCAGGCTAGATGAAACCAACCAAGACTGCTTAACACTTAAGGAGGAGAAAGGGCAACTGTTACAGAAAGTGAAAGACCTGGAAAAGAAACAGGACCAATTGGTGATGGAAAATGCCAACCTGCAAAAGTCAAAGCTGATTTTGCAAAGCCAGCTTGGCAAACTAAATGAGTTCATGCTGAATCTGCAACCCCAGAGGAGTGGACGGCTGAGCCGTTGTGAGAATGTCACCAAAGATGCAGAAGTGGACAGGAAAGGGCTTCATGAGCTGAACAAGAAGCTCAAAGAGAAAATAGCAGTGCTCCTGAAGCAGAAAGGCACCCATACTCAGGAGAAGGAGAGTCTGAATGCTGTTCTTCAGAGTTTGCAGAGCACCTACAATGAGCAGCTTCAGAAGATTGAGTTTTTGAGGTAATGTGGAATCCTTCCATAGTCTAAATCCTGCCACTAGGCTCTGCTTTTTGGAACTAACTACCTAATACTTCATTGTCCACCTCGCATGACTTGGATTAACATATAGATTAACTTTGCCTAGAAGACAAATGCTCAGTGATTTCTAACATGAATTAATAACATTTCATAAAGATTTGAAGAATAAGTAATCATGTATAACTTTTATGAAGTATTAGAAAGCTGAATTGTTTAAAGGGCAGGCTTATCTACTGGGAGCTGTGCAAATGGCATGAGACAATCGTTTTTGTGTATTGCTTAGTTTAATGCTTTTATATACCGTCATTACAATGCTACCTTTTGTATCATTCCTCCTCTTCCTCCTCCTCCTAATTCCTTGTTTATAATTGTCATAATTCTGATTAGTTAACCATTAGCACTTTAATGTATTCTGATTCAACATAATATTATTGTAGACATTTCCTATAAAATATAGCAAGTTCTTCTGTTTGCTAACAATATAGTAAGAAAGGCATCTTTGCAGATGGGTGGCCTGCATCATAAAATAATATCCGAGTAGAATTCCTTCAAGTTAAGAGCAGCTGATAATTTCATAGAGGTGATAATGGTGTTTTCAGGCAATAATATGGGAGTGATTTGCTACTGAATGTTTTAACTTAGTCTACAGATCTAGAATTTCCTAGTGGTCTCCCGCTCAGCTACTAACAAAGCTTAGAAGCTTGGCTCTTCAAGATCATCTAAGATTAACTAGATGATGCTACCTGCCACAGGCATAAATAACATGCATTTTCAACTAATTTGGGCTGAGATAGTTCAAAGTAACCTGAGTATCCCAAAGAATCTATATTTTTGCATCCCAGATGTGAGCATTCTAGAGAGGAAAATATTGCCAGGAAGAATGAGATTTTCTTATTAAATGAAAACAGGAATCATCCCCAACAATGTAACTGAGGGAGCCTAATACAGGTAGTCCTTGACTTATAACAGTTCATTTAGTGACCATTCAACGTTATAATGGCACTGAAAAAAGTGACTTATGACCATTTTTTACACTTATGACTATTGTAGCATCCCCATGGTCACATGATTTACATTTGGATGCTTGACAACTGACTCACATTTATGACGGCTGCAGTGTCCCAGGGTCATGTGATCCCCTTTTGCAACCTTCTGACAAGCAAAGTCAACAGGGAAGCTAGATTCACTTAACAGCAGTGTTATTAAGTTAACAACTGCAGTGATTCACTTAACAAATGTGACAAGAAAAATCACAAAATGGGGCAAAACTAACTTAACAAATTTCTCACTTGGAAACATAAACTTTGGGCTCAGTTGTGGTCATAAGTCAAGGACTACCTGTACTTAAAACAACATTTCAGCTGTTCTGCGATGCTTTTATAGTTCCTATTAATATTCACCCACATACGCAGCAACCTTCCCCTTTCAGGTACATTGAGACTTCACTTTCCAAAATATTTAGGCAGACTGCCATTCAGCCCCAAAGTACTCAGATGGATCTACCTGGGAAACATTATTGTACTGTAGAATGTGATGGTTCTGTGTACTGTGCATTTTTAGGGAAAAAACAGAGGCCGTGCTGAAGGAGAAAATGGTCGTGCAGAAGATAGCTGAAAGCTTGAAGAAGCAGGTAGGACTTTCTACATTTAGGCAATCTTTGTTGGCCAAAAAACCCTGAATTCACATCGATTGTAAAGCTGATTATAATGTATGTAAAACTGTATACATTTTCATTCCTATACTTGTAATTTTATTCATTCCTGTAGTAGTAATTTCACATTAATATTTTAATGTAAATAGTGCTAATAGGTTCAAATATAAACATTACTTCCAGTAATATGCAAATTGGAACTCAGCTATACCTTGGCTTTATGCTTTTCTCATCATAAGATAGGATTCATGAGTTAAACCTCCTCCTTTCAAAGGGCACTTTTTTTAAAAAAATATTTTTTCTGGATATTATGTTTCTAAGTAATTATTTAGCGATTAGAGTTAGATAGCTGCCCATCTCCCAGAGACTCTGGGCAGCAAGCAATAATTAGCAAGAATAATAAAAACAAGAAATGTATAATATAAACCCCTTATTAATAAATATCATAAATATGAAAGTAGAAACTACAGGAGAAAGAGGATAAAAGTAGCCACCTCAACAATGGAGCTATCTGAACAGGTCACCTGGGAGCCCCAGTCCTGACAATATAGCCAAGGCTCTGGGGAATATCAAAATGGGGATGGAACTAGTCTAATTTCAGGGGGAAGAATGTTCCTTAAGGCAGTTGCCATGGCAGAAAAGGCACATCTTGTAGAGCTCATCAAATGAAGGGCCTTGGCAAATGTTACTGCTATACCTACTGGGGCAGGTTGATGTAATCGGGGAGAGGCAGTCCCTCTGATACCCCAGGTCCATGCCATAAAGGGCTGGAAAGGTTAAAACCAGCACTTTGATTTGGACCCAGAAGCAAACTGGTAACTAATGCAACTTGCAGATCAGAGTTGTAACGTGTTGTTCCAGGAGCACACGTAGATTTTTATATGCCAGCTTTTTATTGCATGAATCTTAGAGGTCAAGACCAAGAAAGGTATTGATATTTTGGTTGGGGAATTATGGAAAAGAAAATTCTGCCCACTGGGAGAATATCAGATTGGTGTTAAAGCGATGGGCAGTAGTCTTAACTATTTACAATCAATGCTAGCTTTTTCAAGAGAGCACAGTATGGCCCAACTCTCCTCATATCCTGAAACCAATTACTGTTGATTGAAGAGTAACCTTCATTCCCTTCTTCATTTCCTTTTACAGAAGGAAAGAGGCTTGAAAAGTATAATTTCCTTTGTCCAAGGAAATGTTTCTTACCATTAATTTTTTGGGGGGTTCTTGTTTCCTAATTAGGTATCTGAACTGAAAGCCAGGAATCAGCAATTAGAATTGGAAAATGCTGAACTTGGCCATCGAAATTCTCCAAGTCGAGCAGATATTCAAGATTCTAACCAGCAGCTTATGAAAACATTTCGGCAAAAGGAAAAGGAAGCTAAGAAATACATGTCAGAAGAATGGGAAAGAGAGAATTCCCAGCTCAAAGAAGAACTGGAGAACTCTAATATTCAGGTACAAGAGACTACAACGAGTACTAGAACCAAAGTTGAATAGCAAGAAGGCAGATTCAGATCCTACTTCGACCTCTATCATTCTCCCACTTCCTCTAAATCATATTTTAAGAATAATAATACCTGCCACCATTATCATCATGGTGCTGCTATATAGGCTGCTTAATCAAAAAGGGACTTAATGTGACATAAAAAACAAAATACAGCACATTTTAAAGGAAATGTTATTTTAGCCAACTCTTAAGCTGCAAATTAACCAATCTTTGAGGCGTTCTGAAAAGAGTATTTTCCTCCACTTTCAAATTCAATTTAATTTTTTTTCCAATTTACTCTTAGTCCTCTTCATTGGTCTCATCCTTGGAAACAGAGCTGGGTCAGCTCAGAATTCAGGTTCATGGTCTGGAGCAGGAGAACCATTTCCTCAAAGAAGAACTGGAGAATGTAAAACAGGTAATGGTGGGCAGAATACCTTTCTTCCCAAAGGGAATGGACATCTGCTTCTGGGGATCAGTTAGTTTATGATGGTCACTCCTGAGATGTATACAGTCTCCATTTAGCTGCAAACTTTTCATAGACATTATTGGGAAGTTTTTGAATACACTTTAAGCATACTCATCTCAGAAATTAAAACAGAGATTTTTCCATAGCTACCCAGTTGCCTAGATCTCTCTGAGCTGGAGAGTGAGATTTCCAGTGTCATCATAAAAAATCAGAAGCTACTGAAAGAGAAAGAAGCCCTCAGTGAAGAGCTGAACCGGTATATGGAGAAGGTAAGGGCACAGAATAATGTCCCATTCAAATACACCCTTTATTTCAATCTATAGATACAAACACATTACTTTTAGGGACCTCATTGTGGTACTCATAATCCGCTTTAAGTTCAAATAGAAATACGGGACAGATGCAGTCCATTGCTTTAGCAGAAACATACCCAACCATCCAGAAAATAATAATATGTTAGAGGAGCCAGGGCTACTATCTGGATAACTGGAGACAATGGCAAGATGAACAGAATGCTTTTTCTTTTTCACCATATTATCCCCTTTTACACACGGTGACAGCAAAATTATGAAATGTGCATTGTGACATCATAACACAAGTTTTACCTCTTATGTATTTATCTGCAACATCATGATGCAACTACAGAAGGATGGAATTTACATCACAATGTTATGATGCACATTTCCCATTAGACCTTTCTTGGTTCCCTTTTATAGATGTTCATGCCTTAGTCTTTCCATTAAGATGTTGCAGAGCACTGAGAGTTCAGCAACTCAGGAGGTTCACGAACATAATTAGATCAAACTATTTTGGTGTAGACCAGTGGTGGCGAACCTATGGCACGTGTGCCAGAGGCAGCACTCAGAGCCCTCTCTGTGGGCATACGTGCCATTGCCCCACCAGAGTTCGCCAGAGTAGCAAGCACATGGCGTTTGGAAGCGACAGGGCAGGAAGTGAGCGAGCAAGCAGTGTTGGTCCCCCGGGGATGCCCCAGAGATGGCAAGGGACTGGCCTCCGCTGCCCTGGCCCCAGCCATGCTCACCCAGTCTGCTGTGACTACTGCAGCCACACCCACCCAGTGGGACATACCTCCTCCCCCCCCCAAGGGCACCACAATGCTAATGCAGCCCTGGCACTTTGCAATAAATAAGTTGGGTTGCAGTTTGGGCACTTGGTCTCTAAAAGGTTTGCCATCACTGGTGTAGACTGTTGAGGCAGAACAAAAAACTAATGAAGGCTAGGCATAGATGGTACAATTTGTAGACTGCTGGAGCCTACAAATAGCAGTAGCTCCAATAGCAATTCTGCCTGGGCTTTACTATCTTTGCAGGCAACTAAAGTGGCCTTCCTAGAGAGCCTCACTGCTTCTCTGAGAGAGGAGAACTCATCTTTGGAGCACCAGAATCAGCATCTGAAAGCACAAATGGCAGTATCACAAGACAAGGTGTGCTATTGTCCTGTTAAAAGATTTATGTTTTTGACAGTGGATGCACTTACCCACTGATAAAAATATTTTCTAATTGGCTTAGAATTTAATAATTCATTTGATTCTGCACAGTTAAGCTGCATCTATGATTTCTCTCCCACAAAAACATTAGATTAGCATAATTTCTGTAGAGATGAACAGTATCGTCATTATACCTTTGGTTCTCTTATGTTTGCTTGGTTCCAAAATAAACCAAAAAATACTTTTTCCTCTGCTCTTGCCTGTGCATTTATGCATGGATGTCTCTATCTGCCAATTAAAGATGAAATTTTATTGAGCAATAAAATGTTCTTGATAGTATTATATATTCATGTCATGATTTAAAAATACTTGTTTAGTAGATCATACTGATTGGTTCTGATTTATCTTTTCTTTCAGCTCCCACCTCTACTGAAATAGTCTGTTCTGTATTACTTTGATTGCTTCAGTTTGAAAAATATCTCAGGAACAAGAACTGTTTCTATACACTCTGCTGCTGTAAAGGAGAGAAACAACCCATGTTTCTTTACTTTCAAGAACAGAGAATGTGTCTTTGATCTTATAAAAGTTTTTCTCATCCTGAAATACATATTCTGTGCATATAGTTTCTAACTGAGCAGGGAAAATGTGTGTGGAAACAGCATCTTGTCTTTGCTGGAATAACAATCTATTCAATGCCCCCCCTTCTTTTTTCTTTGGCCCTTTTAGATCCAGAATTTTGATGATATTGTGCAAAATGTCAGCCTTCAGGTATCCAGGCTCAAATCAGACCTGAGGGTTACCCAGCAGGAAAAAGAGAATCTAAAACAGGAAGTGATGTCATTGAATAAGCAACTGCAAATGGCCAATGAGAAGGTATACATGGGTGGGACGATTTGATTTCAATAGTTGTTGAGTCATCCTAATCTTTCTTTAAAGGAATTTTGTGCTGCTATTTAGAAGCAGAAGTCTTCCCATATCTTTAAATGCAGGGCAAGGTTGACATGTTTAAATAAATTGACATGTTTCAAAACCCATCTTTTTATTCTGGCCTATCCTGCTGTTGATTAATATATTTCTTTTTAATGAATAATCTTTGTTCTTTATTTTCTGCTCTAAGTATAGCTAACTGCTTCAGGATCATTTATGATGAAAAATGACATATATATCCATAATAGTACCACTATCACTAAACCCATTGCGGGATTTAGTAAAATGACAACAATTTAATATTTGTTCAGTTACCATAAGATCAAAATAGCTGCATGAAATGCTTTATAGCTGTTCAACACTATAATTAAATATTCTAAACCGATTAAATTCTTCAATCAATCACACAGCTGGATTGAAATCAAAATAATAAATAATAATAAACCCTTTATTATCAAAGTATAACATGTATACAGACAGTGAAATTGGCTGAGCCTCCCTCTGTGCCGCCCCTCACCACAAACTCGCGGTGACTACAAACCCCCAACTTATTTCACCGTGAACTAATTGCACATCACGCCAGCCTCACGAGCCTGTCATGCATAAAATACTTTCAGAGTCGTCTTTATCATTAGAGTAAATGAACAATGTGGTTTAAATAGTTCTTTGTATTTGGAAAAATATCTGTTTAGATTGAGTATATTCCATCTTTTCTCTTCAGAAGTCCAGGTGGCATATGGAGATTTCCTCTTATTTATTCCCCAGCCAGAATTTTATGAGGTAGATTAAAGACCAGTGTTTCTCAAATTTGGCAACTTGAAGATTTATGAACTTCAACTCCCAGAAATGCACTGCCAGAGGAATGGAAGTTTCAGAGTTGAACTCCATATATCTTCAAGTTATCAAGGCTGAGAAAGCATTGGGTTAGACTGAGACAAAGTGATTAGCTTCTCCTACTTTAAGGATTCCACGCAGTTCTCAGATCAAGTGACAGCATGAGTGAAGTGACAGGTCTCTTCAGTTCTAAACTAGATGTCTTAACCACTCCCCTGGTACATACTATAGTATGTGTGCTTTTTTTTCAAATTAAGTTCTAGATACATGTCATAATTATCTTTTTTCAATGGATAGCAGTGTGAGAAATTGACTTCCGCATTTCTTTTGATCCATGAATATAAGCAGTTGCTAATCCATAACCTACGTCCTGAATGTTAAAATAATTTCATATACTTGATAAATGTTTATTCACTTTTTAGCAATTACATGCATCACATCTGGGTTTGATTGTCTGCACTTTCAAACTATTACCATCCTATTCAAAATTCTTCACCATAAGTCTCAAATGAACTTACTTGTAGGCTCATGACTATAATAATCTTCAATTGCAGAAGTTAAACTTTTGTTTTGTCTTCCAATAGTCCTATAAGGAAGCCCTTTCTACTTCTTATGGTTTTTATGGGAATGTAGCCAAGTTAAAAGGGACTGACTTGCTCATGTCCATAAATATAAGCCAAGGTAGAAAATGGCTTTGAATCCAAGCCTCTGAGTAATCAATCTTCCTAGCTTGTATCATAAGTCTGACTCTGCAGTCTGCTTGCTTTCTTGCTTCAGAGTCGGTTCCTGGAAGCAGCCATGCATTCATCAGGGATACAGAATCAGCAGAAGAAGCTTTGTTGGGGTGAACTGGAGCTGATCAAGCAGGAGCAGCAGCTTCTGAGGCAGGAGAATGAGCAGCGGCAGAGGGAATTCCAGGATGCCAAATCGGAGCTATCTCATTCTAGGGAAAAGGTGAATTGGAATACTTGTCAAATGCTAATATGTAGGCAGCCCACCTTATTCCAAGATCTTAGAAAAAGTAACAGCAGTTCAGAGGTCACGTCTCTTGGTAGATATTTGAATGACCAGCACTAGATTGACCAAAAATTGCTGACATTAGTTATTTCATCATTATAATTTCTACTGCTGAAACAAAGGAGTTGAATAAAGAGGATGGCAGGGAATAGGAAGTTCTGTTTGATTCCAATATTTAAAATGATTTGCCTTTAAGTCTTATAGCTATATCTTTTTGCACGACGCTCTGCTTAGTGAGCTTAAATAAATGAGAAGAATAGCTCCCACAAGATTGAATTACTATTCATTCCTGTATAAAATCATTTCTATTCCTATTTTATCTATCTTAGTAAGTTACCATGGACCTGGGACTGATACAGAACGATTAATACAATAATGTAGTGAATTTAACTGCTTTGGGGTCCCCTAGTCTATGGAGATTCTCGATCATGCAGATGATGGTTGTCCCAAAGGTGCTTTTCAAAAGACAACTGGACTATGTTTTTTTTCTTGAAAATATTTCACTTCTCATCCAAGAAGCTTTTTCAGTTCTGACTGAATGATAGGGAATAGAAGGATTTATATGCTTTTATGATCTGTTGTACAGTAAATCATTTAGATTTATTAATAGGTCTCAGTGTACCTCCTCTTACCTGTTCTCTCTTTCTCTTTTTCTGTGTGTGTGTGTGAGAGGGGGGTATTTAAATTTAGATAGAGTAAATAAGAATATTACCAATCAGACTTAAATGCATGTCTGATGCTTTGCAGCTTGCCTAACATCGGTAAATAAAATCTTATTTGGTTATTGCTCTAGCCAAATATGGTAGCTGGAATCTGCTACTCCAACCATCAAGCAAGAAAAATACCAAAGCCAGTTACAGATTGTGAAATTCATTGAGCAAGAGAAGCTGAATGTGAATGGCTGCAGAAGGAGCTAGCTTTGGCCAGCAAGATCAGTTTTAGGTGGGGGGGGGGTGGCCTAAAAAAATGCACTTTCATTTTGCACTATTATTTTAAACTTTGAATTTATCACTTAGTTTTATTCCATCTTTCAAAATCTGTCAAATTATAAATAGTTTGTTAATTCCATTTATTTTTACAGTGCACATCTTTGGGACACATGTATACCAGTAGCTTCCGTCAAACTAGTTCCCATGTTCCAAAAACACAAGCACTACATTCCCAGTAATGGTTTTTATAGCTGGTCAATTAGCTGCAATCTCTGCCATAAGCAACCAAATGGCTGTCTATTACTATGTAGACAAATGGATAGTGATGCATAAATCAAGCAACTGCTACAAGCCATGGCAGAAGGTATCTTTATGATCAAAAGCAATCTATACTTGTTGCTACAGAAGGTCAGAAGCAAGAGAAGGATACTGTTGCCATATCCTTCTTGTTTATTTCGTGGAGATCAGGGAATGTTGGCGAAATGATTATTATACTTTAGATTATGGAAGTTAATATACAATTCTGGTTCTTTTCACCAAAGCAACATATGAGAGGTTATAAAATCTAGACCAGTGATGGCGAACCTTTTAGAGACCAAGTGCCCAAAAACTGGCCCTGCCCCTGCTCCGCCCCCCCGTCCCCCACCCCTCCTGCCAGCAGGGCCACTCACCGCCTCCAGGGCCCGCCGCAGATCACCCAGGCAGCTCAGCAGTGCCATGGTGGCCACACCCTCTGCCCATGCCCCACAGCATCAACTGTGCGCGATGGGGTGTGAGGGCAGAGTCTTGTCTACGCTGCCTGGCTGCCATGTCCTTGGCTGTGCTGCTCCGCGTGGGCCATGCTCAGGGGCAACTCTCCTCCAGGGGGGCTGCTGGTGAGGGGGTCGCAGGGAGAGATGAGGCTGGGGCAACAGCACATGTGCCCACAGAGAGGGCTCCGAGTGCCGCCTCTGGCCCGCGTGCCATAGGTTCGCCACCACTGATCTAGACCATGCAGACTTTTGACCTGTTTTAGCTGGGGATCTTATATTCTCAATTTCTGTATCTGCCAGTGATCCCCTATTGGAAGGATGGAAGCTTTATAGACAATATTTCATTCCCATCCCCATAAGCCTTGCAACTCTAGGGATTATGATGAAGTTCTAGACCAGTGGTTCTTAACCTGGGCAATATCACCCCCCAGGAGGCAATTTCATTTTTCAGGGGGGCGATGGAACGAAAAGGGGCAATGCGGGGGCGAAGGAAGGAAAAGGGGGCAATATGGGGGCGATGGAGTGAGAAGTTTTGGGGACACTTTTGAGACTTTTTTGTACAGTGAATTGCTGTATATCTGTCATACAAAAACATCAGATCACTCGCTATTAGCGGATTGAATTGTGTTTTCAAATATTCCTCCAGCTAGCTTCAGTACAGAATGCCATACATATGTGAATACAAATCGCTTATCTTCATGCGTGTTGCACAGCAGCCTCTACCCATACAGTGGCACGCCATTGGCCAGAATATGGGAGATATGGGAAAAAGACTGGAAATAAATTATTTGCATTGATATGTCCTGATGACAATTTTAAAGAACACAAAAAAGGGTTTGCATAAATTGAAGAATTATTTCCTATGTTGTGATTGAGAGGTTATGTTGGGGGAGGGGGGCGATGACAACTTCCTCATTGGCTCAAGGGGGCGATTCGTTCAAAAAGGTTAAGAATCACTGTTCTAGACAATTTGCTAGATAACCTCTCTGTTGAACTAGACTGACTATTAGAAAAGATCTATTTGGTTACAAGTTGTCTATGTCTGCAGGTATGTTTTGTTATCTTTGCTTGGCAGAGTGGAAACTAAATAAATCATGCCACAATTTTTTTTTCTAAAATGATACTAAAATCCTCGGGCAAATCCAACAGAGATTTTCAGAGTGGCAGAAGAATTAGCTGAATTTGTCTTGATTTAAGGATTGACACTCAGCAAAGGAACAGAATCTTCTCAGCCATGAGTGAGACTGACCTTGCAGTTTTCACCAATGTAGATTTTGCCGTAAGAGATGTGAGCATAGCTGAAACCAGATTTCAATTCCTGTTGGCTTGTGGATTTCACTGAGTGATTTTAAGCTAGTTATACCCTAGTTATATTATTAGACTGGTACAGTGGCTCAGCAGTTAAAACACTTGGCTTGTCGGCTAGAAAACAAACACCCCAGGTTTGAGACCTGAGTGCACACAACAGGGTAAGCTCCTGTCCTTGCCCCAGCTCCTGCCAACCTAGCAGTTTGAAAACATGCAAATGTGAGTAGATAAATACCACTTCAGTGGGAAATTAATAGCACTCCATGGTGTCATACTGGCCACATGAGCACAGAAATGTCTTCGGACAGCGTTGGTTCAATGCCTTGAAAAAGAGACAAGCACCACCATATACCCTCTAAACCTTACTACCTCAGAGTGATTGAAGTAATAAAATTATAGGAGATCTTAAAGTAAGTCACCTTGAGTTTGGACAGGATATAAATGTAATAAATTAATATTTTTATGGAGAAGGGAGCCACTGGGGAGGGGAGAGAGTGTTTGGAAAGTCAGGTTCAACAGAAAATAGTTTCATTAAGCTTAGAGTCTGAGCTCAAGTATTTCATTTTCAGTTTTAATCACAAAAAGATCTAAATTGTCCCTCTGGAACAGACATTTTACTGCTGAATTTTAATGGCACAAAAGTTCAAGCAGCTTTGCTTTCAATCAATTCTTAAATTGAAATTTTGTCTCCAACAATGGCACATTTTGTGATCCAAATGAATTCAGAAAAGAAACATGTTGCACAATTTATTCTGATTCTACAAATTGCTGTTTGTAAGGCCAACAACAGTCACCCAAGGTTAGGAAGTTGCCCCAACCCACTGCTGCTCTGACCATTAGAAGAGTGATCAGAAATATTGATTCAGCTCCCATCGGCCCTTTGCTTCTGACATTTAATTGGACGCATCTTCACATGTTCAAACACCAGCCATAAGATATTGAAACCTGTTCTTGCTTTTAACTCAAACCAGATCTCTTTAAGAAACTGAGTTCTGTGCATATTAAATGTGCAGGACACACTTAGCCCAGTCTACGTTCTCTTGAAGAGAATAGACTCAAAAGAGAGTCTCCATTGACATATCCTACCAGCCGCTGTTTTCTGTTTCTCTGAAAAAGTCCTTGTCTTTTTGTATTTGATTACTCTTTTTCTGGGCAAGTTTCATTTGGTCTTTTTTTTGCCCTTTAATTCCCATAATTGTCTTTCTATCTTGTGTTTTTTCCTTCTTTCTTTCTGGCTAACCTGTGCCTAGACCTTGGTGGCTGGAACTAGCAGAGACGAATGCAGTGCTCTGCCTGACTTAACATGTGAAGGTAGAACCAACTCTTTTTTTCTGTAATCCCACTGCATGAAGAGAAAAGAAATGACATTACCAAGTACCTGCCATGTCATCTTTCCTTTCATTTGTTACAGACTTGAACATTAAGGCAATAACCTGCCTGATCTGAAGGAGCTACTCTTCATTTAAATGACCATTAATGGTCTTGCTCAAGTGTCATAGGGATAATAGGCAAAAAGGGAGCTTTTGCAGCAAATAATTTCTCTAGTTTTAGAAAGAAAGAGAAAAAGCTTATTTTTAAAGTCCAAGAATATGAGACAGGATGCTTAATACAAAACCAAACTTCAGGAAAAAAAATGAAAAGTGGCTCTGAGATTCCATTTTCTTTTTTTACCCATTTTTTGTTAATTGTTGGATGGATTGTTTATTTTCGTGAGATAACTAGAATTGGTCGTCCTTCCATGGTTTCCCAATTGCATGCTCTTAGTGGAATAGTGGGATTGATATTTGCATGGCCAGGTTTACTGATCTTTGATAATCTCCAAACTATGTAATTTCCCCTATGTTTCTTTAATTTGTACAGCCCAGTGAGCCATATGCTCAGGGAAAATGTTCTTTGTAAGTTAATTGTGATTACAAAATCTTTCTCCAATGGGTACTACATTTTGAGCTCCAGCTAAATTTCCAATGAACATTGTGCTGATGATGATTATGGTGATTGATAGCTTGTATGGTTTTCCACAAAGTTCAGAGCATGTGAACTGGATGTGCATGCAAGAGAACAGTTGCACATGCCCTTTCCACTTCATTAGGCCTCCATTCTACCACATATAAAAAACATATAAAAAGATTATTTATGTAATTCCAGTAAGAAGTAATTACAAGTGACTTTTCCCAAAGGAACCATCAGTGGAACCTTCATGATTAAACATAGTACAAATGTCTTATCTGATGCTTCATATTTGATGTTCTAAAAATACTGATTTGTATTATTTTTCTGTAATAATTCTAATGCAACCTCAACCAACTTGGTGATTTCCAAATATGTTGGAATGTAACACTTAAAAACTGGGAATTTTGTCTGGGAATTCTGGAAGTTGCAGCTGAACCAAAGAGTATCAGATTAGTTATACAAAATTGAATAAAATTGTACCTAAGCTGGTTCTGATATTTCGAGACAAAAACTAGTAAAATATTCTAGCAAATAAATAACATATCAAAAGCTTTCTCACATTGTTCAAGATTCTAATACTGTAATTCACTACCACTTTAAAACTATTTTTGTTATATTGCTGTATTGCCTTAAGAGCTGCAGGTCCCTATAGAGCTTACAGCATAAAATTATTTCTTTTGAGTTTGTGATTAGCAAAATGTATGGCTGGTTTTATAATGAGAAAAATCTCCAACTAAAACTGCAATTATCAATATGATCCTAGAGTTCTTTTCAAAAGGCCTGAGTTTAATACTATTCATTCCAAAGTAAAGATATATACATTTGCAGTCTAATCTGGGGAGTGGGAGTGGGGAGGTGAATTCTTAATAACATTTGGCGATCAATTATTTTTAAGCTACATCCTAAAGTCAACTGCTTTTAGCTGTCTTGGTGATGTCTAAGTTGGGGAGTCATAACACAGAACTGGAAAGGTATTTTTGCTTCCTTATGAATTTACTGTGTATGTCTTCAATATATTTTCTCAGCTCAATAAGTTAGAAGAAACAATAAAAATATTACAAAATGTTATATTAAAATAAAAGCTTTAGGGATATGTGATGCTTCAGATCCAAAGCCAATAATGTACTTTGCAGGGACATGGATGTGCACATCAATCCTAAAGACTGATCGTTTCTATGCCATCAGATCAGTGTTGAGTCTGAGCAATCACACAGAAGGCCCTTTTCAGAAGGATCTGCCTTTCAGGGCTCCCAGCAATGTTCCCTGTTCCCCTTAAAGAATTCCTTAAGGAAGCAACATTTTTTCCTGAGCTAGCTTTGTGAATCTGGGAGAAGATGTATTGAAATTAAAGAGGCACCAAATGTATGTCCATACCACTCCAAAGTCTACTTTGGGCTTCAACTCCAAATTGTGGCACTATCTTATGAAGCATGAATGGACACAGCAAACCTCCATTTAACAGAACAGCATTAGAAAAGTATTTTACTCCTGTCAAGGGCCATAATCTCTTCTTTACAATCTACAGCAGTGTTTCTCAACCTTGACAATTTTAAGGCATGTGGACTTCAACTCCCAGAATTCCACAGCCAGCATTGCTGGCTGTGGAGTTCTGGGAGTTGAAGGTCCACATGCCTTAAAATTGTCAAGGTTGAGAAACACTGATCTATAGACAGGTGACCCTCTTTTCTACTTTCCTCCTAAGGTTCTTCCAAAATGGTGTGCTTCTCCTAAAGAGAGTCTTCCTAAACTAAACACTAAATGTGTTCAGCTGAAACTCCATCATCCCCAGCCAACTTGACTGATACTGTCTGGCGCTGATGGCAATTATAATAAAATACTCCTGGAAGGGACCTGATTAGATAAAGCATCTTAAAACAACAAACATAATGCTGGGGGGGAGGTGTTAGGGTCCATTCCTCCTATGGTCTGGAGCATGGCAGAAGGTGGTTGAGTTTTTTTGGCCTAGATCTCAGATGAGGAGCCTTTCCTCTTCCTCATCCCCATGCCTTTTCTTCCCTCTCCTCCTTGACCCCTTTGCAGAAAAATGTTACTGCATGGGCTGTGACAGTGTGTAGAAGAGTAAAATTGTATGAGTGGGCACATACAATCTAGAGCAGTGGTTCTCAACCTGTGGGTCGGGACCCCATTTGGGATCAAATGACCATTTCACGGGGGTCGCCAAACAACGCATCCGCCATTTTTTCCCCCTTTTCCTTAGCTGTGCTACTCCCTTTTATTCTATTGGCTTTTGAAATAAAGCCAATAGAATAGACTCTCTTGAATAGAGTCTAATTCTATTGGCTTTCAAAAGCCAATAGGAATTGTCCAGGCTGTCTCTGCCCTGCTGAGCCCGCCAAAAGTCCCATTCTGCAAACGGTGCTGCACCAGTTGAGTAGTCCTCGACTTACGACCGGTTGGAGGTTGCGGCATTAAAAAGGTTGAGAACCACTGATCTAGAGGGAACATTAGACACGTTACTGGGAGTCCACCTTTGCATTCTTCCTAACTGATCTTGGTGCTCAGATGATGAGAGGGGGTTCTTATCAACCCTGCAAGGCATCTCTTTTATATTTCCCTACCCATCTTGTCTGATACAGCTGCTTCACTCAAACTCCAGCATGATGCTTAGCCCACCCCAGCACCCTCGAGAACTGCAGGAGATCCAGCAGCAAGGATGTCCTGTTATCCCATCTGAACAATACCAGCAGCTCCAGCACCAGTTCCTACAGGCAGAGAGAAGGTGTCAACGCCTGCAGGAGGAGCTTGAGAATCGGCCCTTGGAAACAAACATGCCCCAGGTATGTTACAATCTGTTTCTTCTTCACTGAATATAGATTAGTCATTTACCACTTCACTTTTTCTTCATTGTGTCCCTTTCTCTGTTTATGCCAGTTTCAAATTTCTAATTCTCCCCAAGTACTTAACAGATGAAATCCCTCCATATATTGCACCAAAGCATGCTTTCTTCTTCATAATCAGCATTTTCTCATCAGCTGACTTAGGTAATTATGTCCATGAACTTTCAAAACCCCAGAACTGAAGGACATCAGAAAACATCTAATGTTTCTATTCAGTGCAGGATCTGCTAATGGCTTTGGACAAATGGATATCTAATATCAGTTAGGACACGGGTCCCCAACCCCCAGGCTGCAGCCCAGTAGTGGGCTGCAGCCCATTCAGAATCGGGCCATGGAAGTGGTGGATAACTGTGCGTGTGTGCAGCTCCGCTTTTGTAAGCAATGGGCAAGTGAGCAAAGCTCCATTTGTGCAAACAGCAGATGCGTGCACCCGACCCTCATGCAAATGGAGCTGTGCATGTGCGTGTGCCTGCCACTCACACAAATGGAGATGCACACCCACTCGCCCACCACTCACATGTAACCATGCCCTCTCCTCCCCCCCCCCCCCCGGCAGGTCTGTAAAGCCGGAAAGGTTGGGATCACTGAGTTAGGAGACCTCTGGGGAAGGGAAACATGCCACTTATGATGCAACTTATTCTATTGGTTGACAGCCATGCCCTCAAAAAAATTCTCCTGGTGCCAGGTTTGAATTTATACCTCTGTAGTTTCATTTCATTGGTTCTTGTTCTACCATCAGTGACAGAGATAATTTCTCTCCTTTCTTTATATGACAACCCTATGAATATCTGAAGACTCCTACCATATTTCCTTTTAGTCTAGTCTGTTGCAAGCTAAACATATCCAGTTCTTTTCAATATTCTTTGTAGGACTGACCATCTTAGTAGCACCCTTCTGTACATGCTCCAGTTTGCAATGCCTAGAAGTGAGCATAATAAGATAGCTGTTTTAATAGAAATGGAAGAGCAAAATCTTCTATTGGATTATCTATATTGCAAAATTCAGTAGCAATCTAAGCTGCTGGAATTTTTCAGCTGAATATGGCAATCATTTAATATGAAGACATGCTGCATAAGTCAACTTTTCATTTTGCAGTGTGTCTCTGCATCAAAATGATTCCTTCTTTTATAATGAAACATTCAGACAATCTGTAGCCATTCAGATGTTGGAATCCAATTCCAGTCTGACCCCAGCAAGCCTGCCAGTTAGTCAAGATTCATGAGAATTATTCTTTAGTAACATGTATATGGCCACAGGTTTCTCCCTCACATACAATTCTAGAAAATGGACTGGGCTTCCTTGTATTGTTTATTGTATCATTTAATTACAAAATGCTAGCAATCTGACATATCACTACTAATTCATGGTTAAGTAACCATAGATAAAATGTTAATAATAGAAATGGAGGATCCAGCAATAATTCTGATTTATGGTAATTGCCAATACACAACCCTATTCTATCTTCTATTTATGAAACACTGGAAGATAAGATAAGGGCTTTTTACTTAACTTATTAGCTGACACTGACATGTTGAATTTCATCTAAATTTATGCTGCATCTTCCTCCTTCTCCTCCTTCCTTTCTCTGCCCAATTCCATCTTTTGGATAAATCATTATGACTATTACGTCTGAAATAAGATACTTTGGTTCACAATTTCCTCTAAACCTTAATTGAAAAGCAAGATTTGAATAGGCTTCTAGTTTTGCAGTGTGGGCAAACTACAACATGTGTAAATGATCGCATGATCAGTTTGGATGTAACAATAAATGTCGGCTGACCTAAATAAGAAACGGGATGATCATGCAAAGAGAGGAAGAGATGTATTAGCCTGAGACTTAGAATTGGCAATGAACCTCATCCCAATGTCAGAAAATAAGAGTCATTGGCTGTGTGGTGCTTGCTCTTTTTAAAGAGCTATTGATCTTTAAAGAACTACTGTCTGCAATGCATGACCTATGTGGGCATGTGTGATTTCCTTGTTTTTGTAATGGGCAGTGACAATAACTTTCAGGAACAAAAGGACAATGGTCAAAGAAACTTGAGTTCAAGAAGAAATGTAATTTGAGAAAACATCTCAGACTTGACCTCCCCAGTTTTCTTATGGATAAAGGCAGGGAGTGGGGAGATGCTTTCAGACTCGCGAGAGTTTGCTAAGGCAACCCTATAATAAAAGTAGAATTCATAGCTTTTGTTTCCTAGTCTGGTCTTACTTGAAGGGCTGGCATCCATCTTATTAATAAAAGAATTAGGGAGGGTCATGTTTGACATGTTTTCTCAAACTACATTTCTGCTTTGGACTCAATTTCTTTTATCTGATAGCAATAGCACTTAGACTTATATATCGCTTCACAGTGCTTTACAGCCCTCCTTAAGGAGTTTACAGAGTCAGCCTATTGCCCCCAACAATCTGGGTCCTCATTTTACCGACGTCAGAAGGATGGAAGGCTGAATCAACCTTGAGCTGGTGAGAATTGAACTGCTAGCAGTCGGCAGAGTTAGCCTGGAATACTGCATTCTAACCACTGCGCCACCATGATTCTTCTGATCACAGTTTTGGTTACAGCTCTTCCTCCTGTTCCTCAAAGTTAATCTCACAGCCCATTGAACTTCTTGTGTTTGTCTGTCTTGATGTAATGCTTAAATGGCACTGAGTGTTTGTGCTGCTTAAGTGTGATGTTCTGTTTTCAAAGGCCTGCGGGTCAAGTGTGTCCTCCTTGCCTTCTTTCCCCAGGCTTTGCTTCCGGAGCAACGATCATTGCATGCAGATACGTACAGGCGGATTGGTCATCTCTGACACCCCTTGGCTTCTAACGCACCTCATTCCTTGCTCACAATAACTGGCATAAGCTGAGAAACCCAGGGATCAAATCACATTTCTTGTTAATTTAAAATCATCTTTTTTTATAAAAAAATAATTTGTCTTGTATTTTTCCCCATCCCTTATTTATTTGTGTCAGAATCTATTTTTATTAGGGGGAATGGGGAGAGAAAGAATCACATCTTTTTTATTTCAAATGTTTTTAATTTTGTTATAAGTCAATTTCATTATTTATGTTATTTAAAAATGGCTTAACCACAGGAGTTTGTAAAGAGAAAAACTTATTTTCCCCCATCAGTTGTATACTAAGTGTTTTTTAAATTAAATGGTACTAAATTTTTTATATATTGGATTTGGAGAAGAAATTTTGAGTTATTTATACAAAATTTTGTACAAGATGTATAAATACTTTTTAAACAAGGAAAAAGCAAAACTTTGGGGCTTGTAACTTGATAAATAAACTACTCATTTTTAAATATCTCCTTGTCTTTTTGTCTTACTAATTAATAGGGTTTTTGGATGCATTTCTTGATGAAGCTGGAGCTTTTATTAGGCTGAGTCATTTTGCCATAGAAGTTCAATTAAGGGTATGCTCCTTCCCTTGGCAACTTCCAGATGTGCCTATTGTAGTTCCCAGAATTCTTAGTAATAATCATTGTAGTAATTTCTGGGAGACAAAGTCACACATCAGAGAACTGCCAAGTCTGGAAAACACTGAATTAAGGCAAAACCATAGCTTAGTGATAGAACACATATTCTATATGCAGAAAGTCCTAAGTTTTAGCTAGCATCTGTAGTTATGAGTAGAATACTCCACTCTGAAACCCTGGAGAGTTGCAATTAGTATCAATAATGCTAATGTCTGTCTATCTATCTATCTAGAACTACTTAAAAATAATCTGCAAGAAAGTGCACTCAGTTTCCCTAGATATACAACCACTTTGTGGGCAGCATAACCATGTTACCAAATCCTAGATGACAAAACCATGTTTTTGGGCAATTCCAGAAGGTGAAGTAAATATGACAAGAGAATGATACTGCAAAGAATAGGCACCACATCAAAAAAAACTCTCCTCCTGGGTCCCATCAGATAACTTTGGATGAAACCTGCAGACCTGATGGGACAAATAGAAGTGATTGGGGAGAGATGGTCTCTCAAATAAGTATGTTCTTAATAAAATCTTCAAATAAAGAACCAACCAATGGACTCTGATTCATCTGAAGGAACTGTATCTTTGAGGATAAATTCAAGGGTAACAGAATAAAGCAGCTAGGGCAGGGGTGTCAAACTGCTGGCCCATGGGCCGGATGCGTCATGCTGAAACCGCACCCACCCATTTGCCGGCAATGGAAAAAAAGGTGCGATACGTTGCGACACATCACGTGACATTGCAAGTTTGACACCCCTGAGCTAGGGTAAAAGCTTTTCTTTTTTAATTTAATACCAGTAGTAGGAATGAAATGAAGATTGTAATAGTAATGGCAGAATTGGATTGGGTCCTAGCAAGATATGACAATAATAAACTCTTAGAAAAGCCTAACAATTTGAAATATTCATATAAAGCAGCTATCAATTTGTTATAGGCAAATTTATTCATGGCAACAAATTATTCCAGATTACAATAACAAAACTGCAAAAAAATTCAAAAGGATCTCTTCAAAATGAATAAACACTAAAATGTAATTACAAAATATAGAAAATTGGGGGACAAATCCTATCCAACCATCCATCTACATACACAACTACATAATACATACAGTAGCAAGGAAAAGAAATTTTGGGATGAATATGAATTAAAACATTGACTTTTTTGGTGTTTATACAAAGGATAAATATATTTTAGGATATGCTGGAAAAGCATCTGAAAAAAGAACATGATATCCATACACTTTGAGAATATCTTTACAAAATCTGGGGTCTGATTTCACTTGGAATATTGCAAGTGGAAAGCTATCACATCTTACCAAATGTATAATATTTCTGGAAAGGATGCAGAAAGACTAACCAAAATGATCAAATTTATCAATTAAATCAAAATTATTAATAGAACACTATCTCAAGAGCCACTAATTTGGACATTTTTAAAAGAGGATTGAGAGCAGTTTGGTGTAGTGATTAAGGCTAGAAACCTGGAGACAAAGTTCTAATCCTGCCTTAGGCACAAAGCTACCTAGGCTGGTCACTTACTTTCAGCCCTAGGAAGGAGACAATGGCAAGCCACTTTTGAAAAACCTTGCCAAGAAAACTGTAAGGGGCTTGTCAAGGCAGTCTCTGAGAATTGGACACAATTGAAGAAAAAAAGGATTAGAAAACTGAATGCAGCATACGTCTACATGCACCTTCAGAATCATAGGCACTACATCTCTGAATACCACTTGCTGGTGAATAATGAGTCAGAGAGCCACTTGCTTTGAGACTCTGTCTAGAGACTCTTTCCAGAGATCTAGCTGACTGCTGTAATTGAGCCTTGTGTCTAATCCAGCAGACTTTTATATTCAAAATTTCTACAGAAAATATAGTTTTAGTTCAGCTTGTTTTCTTGAGTTTATGTGCTCAATTTCACATGGCAGACTGGAGACTGGAGACCCTTCCGGCCAACACAATTATCCATAAATCAATGAAAGAAGATTGTTGCTTTAAGTAGAAACTATCAAACAGATGGAAATTGTTCAGCCCATCTAAAAACAACACTACAGCTGCTTCCACATCCTCAATTTCTGCAAAGATTTTGAAGGGTATGGTGTCCAAATAATTAAGATAACAGTTGGGCATGTTTCTACAACCCATTTGATACGAATCCTGAACACTCAACTCTGATTTCACAAAATACTTCAACCTGATCAAAGCAGGATGGGTTTGCACAATAATCTAAACTACAAAAAAAAATACCGTGAAACTTAACTCTTATCCAAATTTAATATATCATGCACATATATTATTAAATCCGGACCTGACTCCTTGTGACTTTTTAATTACTGTAGGATCCAATAATTAACACAAACTCAACATCTGTAGAAGCAATGTAATTCTGGCAGCACCTATTTAATTGTTTGTTCCTGGAAAGCCAAGCAATATTAAATTTAGTGCTACTTGGATGGGAGGCTACCAGGAAATATAAGGCCATAGACCTGACCATGAAGTCAGGAAAACGCAGCAGCAAACCACCCGCACATGGTTGACAAGAAAACCATATGGACATGTCCATAAAATCACCAGAGTCAAGCTCGACTTAGAGACTTTAGTTCTGAATACCATTTTGGGGCAAGGTAGACAATTAGAAATAGCTACTACCTTCAAATTTGATCTTGCAGATGGCAATGGGAAAATGAGATGCTAATAAAGTAGACTTTGGGCTGATCCAATAGGGTTTTTAAGCCTTTTTAATTTCAGCTTCAGATTCTCAACATCTCTCCCAGATCATTCCATAATCCGTTAAAATGTAGAGCATACGTGCTTGGTACATCCTGGAAAAATGGTAGCACAAAGGATTAGTTGTAAAGCCTTCACACATTCAGTTTGATGGAAAACCCTCATACTGCTCAGTTATCTGCTGTTTCCCTGTGTGTATGTATCATGTCCATCTCGAAAGAGGCTGGAATGTGCCCATTCCTTTAAACACTTTTCTTGTATCTGAATATATTTGATAACTACCATATTGCCCAGTATTTGACATTCCTTTTCTGGGGAAAACTACATCAATGCAGTGATTGCTACCATCTGCTTACTTTCATTTTAAGCATTGTTTTTAGATTTTTGTTATGAATTGCATTTATATACTATATATAGGGTTTTTTCCTATTAATATTATATTGTGGACATTTTAATATACAGTAATCTTGTCAGCTACCAAGAGTTTTTTGATTGTAACAAATCTAATAATCAACTAAGCAAATTTGGAATAATCACATGTACATAAGAAGTCTGTGTCTTTGTGTGCAGTTATGGCTTGCTTTGCTTTCAGAATATTGTTTTTATCTGTACAAATAACCCAACTATTTCTCAGTTTCTTGCTTTCAATGTTTTTTCTCCTCTGTAAAGTTTATGTTGCAAAAAAAATAAACCCAGCCAATCACCAAGATCTTTTGAATATTTTAATTTTGATTTCATGCACACATGCTCCATTACAGGGTGGATATGAGCAGCTACTACAGACTATGGAGAAACGCATGATGGATGTTGAACAACAGTTGAGGCTGGTAAAACAGCTTCTCCAGGATAAAGTCAACCAGCTGAAAGAACAGGTGAGCATTTTAAGTGGTTCCTAAGTCTAGGGTCACTGTGCCATGATTCATAGATAATACCTGAGGATTCCTTGCACAAAGTTTGAGGTAACATTACAATCTAAGGCTCGATTCACACTAATTCATAATGTTTGGCAATGTATTGTTTGAAACCAGCTAGCGCTCTGGCCAAGCACTATGAAAGGAAAAAATATATATCTATCAATATCTTTTATATCTGGTTCAGCACCTTGATTGATCTAAGGACTTGTTGATCAAGAAAAGGCCCTGTGCCTTTACTGAACCAAAGTTTAAACTATGGCTTTCTGCAGAGTACTATGGTTTGTAAGATTGTGGTCTATATGCATTTCTTCTGGTCCCATGCTTTCTGGTTCCTTTCCTATAAATATGAGGGGGGGCAGGGGGTATGAGAATTGAGGAACTACCCTTGCAAACAGGGCACCTTTTGCAATAGTACATGTCAAAATGGTAATGTGGAAAGTTGTGGTGAGAACAAATGTAGAAACATTGTGGTCAGGACACGAACAAGGAACTGACTCTGGTTAGTTTTAAGGTATAAAAGAGTGGCACTAAAAGTGGGTTGGGGCCAATCAGCCGCAAGCCGTCCTTCTTGACTGCTTGTACGATTGACTCTCATTGCAATGGGTAATGGTAGGTAAGTACTTGTTGTATGGTCTAAATCTCAATAAACCTCTGAATCTTGAAAATGAGATGTTTGTGGTGTGATGTCTCTTGTCTCTAACATGTTTTTCCCCTGATAGCATAGAGATGCATATTGTTCCAGACAGATTCTGAAACCTCAAAGCTCTCTTCCCTAGAGCTTCCAAAAATTGTTTAAAGTCAAAAATACCTTTAAACAAAATGAAATCAAGTATAGTTTTGTCTTTAGCATGATTTGAAAAATGCAGGCAGTAGTGGTTTAGATAATAAACTAGGGTTATGCAAATCATGGCTTAATATATTGTGTAAATGCAGAATGAGATTTTTAGGGGTTGATATCAAAATACCTCATCTCAATCCTATGTAAATATAAATAGTTTTCATGGTGGATGAGTCCCAAATTATTTCATTCTAATTGTGCTGAATGATCACTTGTTAGCTATTTATTCTGGATGGTACATGCTTGTATCAACACTTGTGTTAGACATAACATTATGGGAAGAAAATAGTATCTAAAGCATTATTGTTATTTACACATAACCCACTCAATGTTTTGACTGGATTTGGTACTTTTGACTATTGGATCCTTCCCAAGGATCTAGGATATTTAAAATATCATTGTAATGAATTTTATGTATTTATTTTATTAATATGCCACCAACTCAAAGTGGCAAACATATTTAATATCCCTTCCTCCTCATATTTTCCTCACAATAACAACTCTGTGAGGTGAGTTGGGCTGAGTGAAAATAACTGGCCCAAGGTCACTAGATGGCTTTCATGAGTAAGGCAGAATTAGAACTTATGGTCCCCCAGTTTGTTGTTGTTGTTAGTTGCAAAGTCGTGTCCGACCGATTGCGACCCCATGGACAACGTTCCTCCAGGCCTTCCTGTCCTCTACCATCTTCTGGAGCAGTGGTTCTCAACCTGTGGGTCGGGACCCCACTTGGAATCGATCGACCATTTCACGGGGGTCGCCAAACTACGCAGTCCGCCATTTTTTTCCCCTTTTCCTTAGCTGTGCTACTCCCTTTTATTCTATTGGCTTTTGAAAGCCAATAGAATAGACTCTCTTGAATAGAGTCTAATTCTATTGGCTTTAAAAAGCCAATAGGAATTGTCCAGGCTGTCTCTGCCCTGCTGAGCCCGCCAAAAGTCCCATTCTGCAAACGGTGCTGCACCAGTTGAGTAGTCCTCGACTTATAACCGTTTGAGTAGTCCTCGACTTACGACCGGTTGGGGGTCACGGCATTAAAAAGGTTGAGAACCACTGTTCTGGAGTCCATTTAAGCTCATGCCTACTGCTTCAGTGACTCCATCCAGCCACCTCATTCTCTGTCGTCCTCTTCTTCTATTGCCCTCAATCTTTCCCAGCATTAGGCTCTTCTCCAGTGAGTCCTTCCTTCTCATTAGGTGGCCAAAGTACTTGAGTTTCAACTTCAGGATCTGGCCTTCTAAAGAGCAGTCAGGGTTGATCTCCTCCCCCAGTTTCTAGCCTGGTCCTAGCCACTAGACCAAGCTATTTAAATTAATGCAACTGTTTATCACTGGTAAGTTCAGATTCTACCTATTCCCATTATATCAAAGTGCATTTCAGATATTTTGGTATTATTATTTATCATTTGTCTACTAAATGTATTTAGACAATATACAAAAGGATGACTACAGTATAGATCCTTTATAGAGACAGCTTAAAAAGTAATACTGAATTTAGCCACAACTGGAAAGTGCATGATTTGTTTCTTTGTTTTGTCCTCAATGTGGAACCAATGCATTTTTTCTTAACTATGTTTCAGCTTGTAAGAAACACAAAAGCTGATGAAATGGTGAAGGATCTCTATGTTGAGAATGCTCAGCTGCTAAAAGCTTTGGAGTTGACAGAACGGAGGCAAAAGATGGAGGAGAAGAAGAACTATCTGCTGGAAGAAAAAATAGCCAATCTTGGCAGAATAGTCAAGAATCTGACCTCCAATGTAGGATCATCAGCTCAGCTGGGATCTTAGTGCCTTTCTTTACTTGCACTTAACTATAGCACAAACATGTCTTGACCATTTATTTTCTGCCGTATTGCAAGACATAACCTTCAACTCATCACCAGCCTATGTGTGAAACTTCTTAAGTAATAGTTAGCTATACCAGTGTTAAAATAGTATTTCCTTACTTATTTTGACTGTAGGTTCAGCTCAACACATGTACAATTTGTTAGACTTATTGGATTATCCATTACTTTAGAAGAAAGTCAGATGACCAAAATGACTTGAAACAAAGGCAATAGAGATTGGATAAGGATGGGCAATTGAATAGCAAATTTCATGCTGGTATAGTCCCCAAAAGGTGTAGATAGCATTTCAGGGGTGGGGAAAGGCCGTAAGCTAATTACCTGTTTATGCAGAATTATGCACTTTATTGAAAGGTGAACATTTCATCTATTTTAATGCTGCATTTTGATAGTTGAAACTTTGGGACTGTTTGTTCTGTGGTCAGAAATAATCTCACTACACACACCAAACATAAATCCCAAACAAAGTGCCTTACTTTATATTTTTTTGGTTTGCATAATAGTTTGGAATGATGTGTGGGGGCACCACGGCCTAAGAGGTTTCATCTATTATCCACTCACCATACTACTGATTCACTTTCCATGAGCCTTCTATCCATTGCCCTGAATGCCCAAAGCTTCCATCCACTACTGAAGTTTCAGAGACAGTACTAATATGAACACACTTGGAAGAAAATTTGGAAAAGTGTACATCTTCTGTTTTCCCAGATCCATTCAAAAGAACAATGGTAGCCCAAACACCACCTTTTTGCCAGTTTTTAGGATAGCTAGACTAGAAACTCTCTGGTCTTTCAGCTGACAAACACTAGAAGAGACAGGTTAAGAAAGTAGGTGGACATCAGAAATGGAGAAGAAAAATCAAAGGAACACCAGAGCAAGGATCAGTGGTATAAAGCAGCTTGACTCTTAAGGGAAAACCACAGATAGCTCTCTTCACTCCCAAATTGTCCCACTCTCAAGGTAATCATCTCAATGTCACTAAGGGGTAATTGTACAGGCTATAATCAACTTACAACCATTTAACAACTGTTTGAAGTTACAATGGCACTAAGAAAAGTGACTTAATATCAGTCATTGCACTTACAACCATTGCAACATTTCAGGGATCACATGATCAAAATTTGGGTGCTCGGCAACCAGCATGTATTTATGATGGTTACTGCATTCCAGGGTCACATGGTTGTCATTTGCAATTTTCCCAGATACATCTGACAAAGTTAATGGGGGAAGTCAAATTATTTAACAATTGCAGTGATTTGCTTAACAACTGTGGCAAAAAGGTTGTAAAATCAGGCACAACTCAATTGCTCTTCTTAGCAATGGAAATTCTGATTCCAGTTGTGGTCGTAAGTCAAGGACTATGGAAAAGTTGCGACATAAGGCTGTAGGATATGAAAACTGCTGAGAAAACAAAGAACAGTTCCAAAATTCTGATGCTATCTGGCACCAGTGATTTTTACTGTCAGCATCCCCACTGCTGTGTTAATGGTTGCAGAGGACAGGAAAAAATGTCTTAATTTGCAGGACAAGCTATTAGTTAGTCGTAGAACATTCTTTGCATGCAGAACATTCCTCTTAAGAATCTTAAATTCCAATAGTCTGTATATACAGCAGCAAAGCTTCATGTGATTATTAAGGATTATAAACATCAGGGCTGAGAAGTAACTGACCTTCAGATACTAAATCTGAATACTGCTTGTATTTTTACTAATATTTTCAGGAACCAAAATTTCTGATGTATACATTTGAAGAAAGTAAACTGCATTCTTAAAGAGAATGCTTCTGTTTGAAACCAGAAGTGACTAACAATGAATTTTGGACTGCCAAATTACTTGGCTTGTTTTTTGTTTTAAATTTCATGATTTTATTTTAAACATCAATTTCATATTTGACAATCTGGATTTACTGTGATTTATTGTAGTCAGAGTTTCTATTTATACATATGGATTCTTAATCACCCGATCATTGTCTCTTAGCAATGGAAAAAGAATAGTTGCTTGCTTTCTCCATGCTACAGCTACACTGAATGTGTGACCTGTTTTTGCCACACTACCATATAACTTGAATAAAGAATGCAACCAGTGAGACTAAGGCTAAAACATGTTGTAGATCAAAATATCTGCAGAACATTTAATTAGCCAATTGTGCCTTATCCTGTTTGTAGCTGCTTCTACATGTAAAGCATGTTGATTCCACCTCTATAATAGATTCATTCAGAATTCTGCAGATGGAAACCTAATTCCTTCTAGCGTACCAAATAATGGTCAGTAGCATCAGAAAAAGGTCAGGGATCTCCAAGTAATTTTGATGCACTTACTTTTTTGTAAAGAACACTTGTGGAAAGAACTAACCACTGTTGGTAGTTCTTATTTAGTGCTGGCTAAAATGGACAGCTTTTTTGTGGATGGGACCAGAATTTCTTGGGAGAGGTTGTTGCTGTGGGGAATGGGATTAAGAATGTTGTAATTATTATTATTGTAAATAATATTTAACTGTTTTACACTCAGTTTAGGGTTTGCACTACACCTTCCAATTCTTTCCCACTTCAAATAATAGAAAGCTATGCCAGCAATTTTCAGAAATTATGATTAGAGATGGATAAACAGAAGGGGCTACAAAAATGGGTTTCAGGAGTCTGACTCCTGCCCCTAGGCAACTTTCCCCAACTGGATGCAAGTCAGATATTTTAAGATCCTTTAGAAGTTTAGATTCTTAGCATGGTATCTGGGAATCCTGAGAGTTGCACTTCCAAGGCATATTGACAGCATCAGATTGAGTAATGGTGTCTCTAACTTCTCTAAACTTTGAACAAGTTCCCAAAGGGTTGCACGTGCACAGAAAATTAGGTGATAAATATGGTAAATTTGTCATGCAAACACAGCCATTGTTTTTGTTTTGCATGCGGCTGAAGAAAAACTGACTCAGCTAAAATAGAACTCTTTTTTTCACTTAGTTTTTTTTTTTTTTTGCATGGATATGTATCATTCCAAAGCTTTTTAAAGCAAGAGTCTCTAAACTTGGCAACTTTAAGACCTGTGGACTTCAACTCCCAGAATTCCCTGGTCAACTATACTATACCAGCTGGGGAATTCTGGGAATTGAAGTCCACAAGTTTTAAAGTTGCCAAATTTGGAGAGTCCTGATCTAAAGCAAGCAACTTAATATGGTAGGCTGGTTAAAATGCTAGACTGAAAGCATGGAAACCTACTCCACCATTATCACTCCCATCCATGGGCACTCACACAATATCTCAGACTAACCTACCTCACAAAGTGATTGTTGTGAGGATAAATTGAAAGTAGACTCCGATGTGAAAGAAGGATAATCCTGTGGGCTTCAAAACTCTCCTCCAAAAAAAATGACTGATGCCATTGCTATATTATTTGGAGCAATGTGGTAAGGCATTCTATTTGCCAGATAGCTTATCTTGTTATGATGTCCCAACCAGCATCATAGGATTTCTATAGCTGCCTCTCAGATTCATTAATTGAGATTAATGTTGCCATTTTATCAGATTTGTATTTGATATAAATATTTTGTTTCTATTGTACACTGCCCTAAAATTAACTGGAGGATAAACAGTATTAAATATGTTTAAATACATAAAACCAACCTTTGTTCCTATATTGTTAATCTCCTATTTTGCAGCAGGAGCCTTATTTTACTCCCATTATTTCTGCCATCAATTCACAGAATTTGTATTTCATGATCCCTTGGTAAAACTTCTTTCTTGGGTATATCTGCATGGTCAGATATGCATACTGGCTGGAACTTGCACTACTATCAATCTGGCACTGTAAAGTACAGTGTCCTGTGAGTTCAGCTCATCTCCTAATGAATCCATGGATATGTCTGTGTAGTTTTCTTGACAATATGGAAGTAGCTTGCCATTCCTTTCTTCAGAGATGTATGTTGAACCAACACCTCCACCCCTGGAGCTCTTGCCTTTTTTCTGACCTCTGCTACAAGATGGGATCAAAAATGCGCGGAGTACAGGCATTATAGCTGTGTTTTTCAAAGTTGGCAATATCAAAATGTTGTTGGCTGGGGAACTCTGGAGTTGACGCCCATACTTCTTAAAGCTGCTAAGGTTGAAAAACACTACATTAGAGCACTGGCCTTAGCTGTGAGACAGCTAAACCATGGCTAAAGCTGGGTTCACATTATACATTTAACCTAATCATTAACCATTTTTCTGAGCTTGAACAATACACTATATGCTACAATGTACACTATAAACTATACAGTAAGCAAATGATCTGAGTTCAAACAATCAAGTAAACCTCCCCAAAATAAATCAAGATAAAATAAGTTTAACATATTTGAATGAAGCTGCTGTGTTGTAACTGATTTGCTGTCATAAATGGAGATATGTTGTATTTTGGCAAGAATGGCAATTGACACAAAAAACAAGATCATGGAGACTTTTATGCGTTTTTTTCTACTATTTACAGTGAAACTATGTACAAGTATTTATAACACAGCCCCTGTTCACCCAGAATCAGGTTTCCTCCTGTCTCCCACCCAGAGACTCTCCCTCTAGCTCTCCTGCTAACAGTCTTGTTTTCCTCCCACTTTCACTCAAATTCCCTCCCCAATTTGTGGGCTTAACAAAAGAGACTGGGGGGGGGGGGAGAATGGAGCTGGAATTTTACTGTCTGATGCTCAGCACAACTTGACTTCATGAAACTGCTCAGTTGAATGCTGACTCCTCCACTGAGGGAAAAATCTCTCTCAGGATCTTCTGCCCAGTCCTTCCCCAGAGACCAACAATCAATTCTTCACCACTACTGCCTACACTCAATTGGGTTCCTCCTTCTCAACTTAGATGGAGCTTCCGTCTCTCTCCATTTTCATTTCCCTTTTTTCAGGAAAACCACTCCAGGAATCAACTGCTCTGCACACTTAATTTCTTTTCCAACTCTTCTCTCCAGCCATTAATGCAATGACTTTTTCTTGCCTTTTCTCTTCAATTTTTAGTCAGGCCAGTAGCATATCCCTCCCAGCAACGGAGAAGGCAGATGTCTCTCCCAGAGCTCTGGTCCCCAACATTTATATACCAGGCTGATCAATAGGGCTCCAATCTCAAATCTCATCACAATAGCTCATCAGCCCTTATGATAGCATAGCTTCACTTCAAGGTCAAAACTGGGCCCTTCGCTCCTTTTACTCATTCCATATCCTGGCTCATGGCAGCAGAACAGCAGTCTTGTCAAGGCATTACACCCCATATGTCATAGCTGTTTGAATGTGTTGTATGAACACAGCAAATAAATTACGAACTACTAGAAATTTAGTCTAGCACGCTATGCAAAATATATTGATTTGTCTTTTTTTTATTGAAAGTTTTTTAAATTTTACAAAACAAATCCCCTCCCCAAACCCCCCCACCCTCCCCCAACCTTCCCAGAGCTGAGTACAGGCTTAATTAAAATTTTTCAGAAAAAGAAAAAAAAACTTAAAACACATATAAATCCTAAACAAATCTAAATACATTAAATTAAATAGGTTATCTTCTCTAAAAAATAATAATTGCAATCATTAAACACATTATAATATACTCTAAACATTTTCTAGTATCATACTTATATTATTATCCATCATTCTGTATAAACTCCCTCCAAAACACAAATTTAAACATTACTTTCTTTGAATATCTATACCTACAATATAAAATCTAATCTCTCCCTCTTTCTTTATCCTAGAACACAAAAATAAACATATAAACCTTCATTATACCATTAAAACTAAATACTCTTTGAATACTTAAACTAAATACTTAAACTTAAACTTCTTATCTAAGATTTTCATTCAATCTCCATAATCTTCTCTCCTATCAAAAAAAAAACTTAAAAGACATATAAATCCTAAACAAATCTAGATACATTTAATTAAACAAGTATCTTCTCTTAAAAATAATAATAATAAAAAAACCCAATCATTAAACACATTATAATATACTCTGAACCTTTTCATATCATACTTATGTTATTATCCATCATTCTTTATAAACTCCCTCCAAAACACAAATTTGAACATTATTTAAAACATTAGAATTCCCTTATACACATTTAAATCTTTACCAGTAACAAATTCCATCCACAATAAACACATTCCTTATCAATTTCTCTTGTCCATAAACCATTAAAATTCCCTTATACACATTTAAATCTTTACCAATAACAAATTCCATCCACAATAAACACATTCCTTATCAGTCTCTCTTGTCCATAAACCTCAAAAGAAGTGCTTTGAAAACTGCCCTTAAAGCTAACTCCAAAAAGTTTGTAAATCTTGCTTTTCCCACAGACTCAGTACTCTTTTGAATACTTAAACTAAGTACTTAAACTTAAACTTCTTATCTAGAATTTTCATTCGATCTCCATCCTTGTCAGTCTCTCTTATCCATAAATCTCGAAAGAAGTGCTTTGAAATCTGCCCTTAAAGGTAGCTCCAAAAAGTTTATAAATCCTGCTTCTCCCGCAGACTCAGGAGCCAATACTTGTGAGGCTTCCTTAAACTCCTTCTTCTGTTGCTCTTTTTCTTTACGATTATATGTTGCACGAGTTGTCCTCTGCTCCTTCATCTCGACTTGTTGAGGCCCCTCAAACTGAGATTTCCCATTTTTCATTAATATAGGCTCTTCAGACTGCAATTCTACCCTTAAAGGTTGCTCCAAAAAATTTATAAATCCTACTTCTCCCGCAGATTCAGAAACCAATAGTTGTGAGGCTTCCTTAACCTTCTTCTGTTGCTCCTTTTCTTTACAGTTATATGTTGCACAGGTTATCCTCTGCTCCTCCATCTCAACTTGTTGAGGCCCCTCAAACTGAGGTTTCCCAATTTTCATAAGTATAGGCTCTTCAGACTGCAATTCTACCTTCTTTTCTTCCAAAGCTTTAAACTTAATAGATGGCGATGAACATACCCCCAGGACCGAAGTATAAAAGTCTTTTGCTTGAGAAACAGTATTAAGTCTATAACATATCCCCAGGTAATTCACCACCATTCCAATCGGAACATCCCATCTGAACAAGATTCGTCTCTTTTTAAGTTCATCTGCTAAAAAAACAAACTCCTTTCTTCTTCTTAAAATTTTAGATGGGATCTCCTTTAGAATTATAACATCTTGTGAAGCAATTTGAAATCTCTTCTTATAGAAAGCTTGTATAATTTCGTTGCGCAGGGATCTTTTCCCAAAGTAAATTACCACATCTCTTGGCAAATTCTTTTGCACTGCCACCACAGAGTTAACTCTAAATAATTTTTCAATTTCACTAAGTATTTCCTCTTTTTCTTTATTCAAAATCACAGCAAAGTCCTTTGCAACCATCTCTCTCAGATCTCCTTGCACAGACTCTCCCAAAACTCTGATTCTTAAGGCATATTCCATTTGTCTATATTGAAGCATAAGAATCTCATTTTCCATTTCTTTTTCCATGCTTTCAAATTTTCCCTCCATCATTTCCACTTTTTCTGGTACCTCTTCTACACGAGAGTTCAGCTTTTCAAGAACAGAGGCAACTCTTTTTAGAGCCAAAACTATCTCTTGCCTCAAAATCTTATTATTTTCCTCTAAAATCTCTTTCATTTCTGCCCTAATTTGAGATATAACATTTCCCATCATATCTTGCAAATCCTTCACAATTATTGGCTGTACCAAGGAAGAGGGTGAAGCTATTGATTTAGGTTGCTGCACTGATGATAACACCGAAGAAGAAACCACCTTAGGAGCTATAGGAATTACTGAACGCTTTGGAGCCATCTTAGAAAAATCTTTACTCCTTCTTAAAAGTTACAAAAATTAAACAAAAGAAAAAGAGAGATTAACTCCAAAAAATCAAAAAATCCTTCAAAAGGAGATCATTATAATAAAAAGAAAGGAGTTAAAAAAAGAAAAGGGAAGAAGAAAAAAATAATTAAATAGAAAAAATCCATTCCATTTTTTTTAAAGTACAAAAAGCAAAACAAAGAAGTTAAACAAAAATAATAATGCTTCTAAAATCCAAACCCAACATCAAAATCAAATCCACATTGCGTTCCAATCATTAAAAAAAAAAAAGGAAAAGGATAAAAAAAAACACCAAACAGCCTGCCAATCGCCATTCTGCCTTCCCAAAGGAAAAAAAAAAAAACGAAAGGCTTGCCGATCGCCATTTTACTTTCCCTTTCAACAAAAGGAAAAAAATAAAAAGAGGGAATATAAAAGTAAAAGTAAATCTTTAAACTTAAAATCCAAATAAAATCAAAGAAAGCAAAAGCTAAATCCTCTACTCAGCTCTGTCCGCCTCTAAAAAAGAAACTCACCAGATCACTTTAATCGTGGAGGTGGTTGCAGCGGCTTGTTTTGTCCCTAGGGACAAAAGCAGCTGGGAAGCGGAGACAGTCTGAACTCCGTGGGAGCACTCCTCCCACCCCCCCAAAAAAGCCTTGGGGTGCATGAGAGTGGCTCTACCACTATTCAGACAACCCTCTTCCCCCCCCCTTTGCCCAGGAGGGGGATTTTGAACCGCTGAATAGCTGATGGCCACTGTTCATAGCGATTCAAACACTTACCCAGGAGGACGGCTACAAAGTAGCCGCCATCGCGCGCGCAGATCCACCGGAAGTCTCTCGATTTCTCTTGATATGTATGAGAACCCAGCAAACTGAGTTGAGTTAATCAAGGGAAAGTATGTGGACAAACACAACTACATTGTAAAGCAAATGCATAACGTGCAATAGTCCTGCTCACAAATATGCCTGCATAAGTTGTCAGAATTACTTAGGCAAATTCACACTACATATTGTCATAATATAGTTTGCTTGCAGTTTAGCGTATGGTGTGCACCCAGGCACTGTGGTTAATAAATGTTTATGGCTTGACTTATGAACCTAATTATGGTTTATTCAGTAAATCATACTTATACAGACTTACATTTTATTTGAAACTCTTTCATCAGACCACAAATTTGTACAAGACAGATTGCCTAAATTTAATTTTGGACAACGCATTAGGTTATTTTATACTTGAATGTATTGTGCAAACCCATAAAATGAATTCAGAATCACATTGTTTTGTTTGCACACAGCAAAGAAGGCTTTGGAATAATATGGATAAAGATTGGGCTCAGAGTGTTGATCAGTTGCTAAAGCATGATATATAACAAATAACACAGCCATCAATAAGCATTATCACTGCATAGTCTCATCTCTATACCCAGTTGCATGGCAAAGCCAAGTTTTGGCACTCTCTTGGGATAACTGAAAGAATTTTGCCCTGAATACTTCAGTCAGGGTGTAATGCAACATGTCCCATGAAACACGTTTAACCACTTCTTTAAATCAGTTTTAATTTGATAATAAACTAAGTTTTCCAGAAACAGTGGTACCTAGAAATTCCTATTCCCTCCTTACCACAAAGTGATTGACTTTACACAGGATGTCCCCATCAATTTCTCTACGAGTTGAAAATCACTACAGGGCAAAAGTAGCAATGTTCCTCAAGATGCCTCTTTCCCCCCCCCCCAAGAATTCAGTAGTAAAGACTTCCATAAGTAGACTCCCTCAAAGCTTAGTAAATTACATGAACACATCTGTATCATTTACGTTTTTGTCTGCCAGCAGTGTCAAAATCTCATTTCAAAAATCCCAATTTTTACCAGCCTATCCTACGACACTGGGTCTTCCTGCTGGTCTCAGCCATGTATAAAGAGGGAGTTACCGTAAATATATCCCATTTTCTCAACTATGTTTGTCCTCCGACGTCACAAATTGAAACTACAAAGGATGTCCCAAAGATGCATTTTCAAGAGGCAACTGGACTTTGTTTTTCTTTGAAGACATTTCGCTTCTCAACCAAGAAGCTTCTTCAGCTGACTAGATGGTACAGAATGGAAGGATTTACATCTGTCTGCAAAGAATATAAATCCTTCCATTCCCCACCATCGAGTCAGAGCTGAAGAAGCTTCTTGGACAAGAAGCGAAACGTCTTCAAAAACAAGAAAGTCCAGTTGTCTCTTAAAAAAGCACCTTTGGGACAACCATGACCTGGACGACTGAGAATCTCCATGGACATTTAATAACAAAGGATAATTATTTATTCCATTTCTATCGCTGCCCATCTCAGTCAATGATTCTGGGCAGCTTACAATTCAAAAAAATATATTACAAATATTAAAAACATTTTAAAACAATAAAAACAGTGAAACCAATAAAAACACTAAAAACATCCAACTTAAATATACATGGGAGCAAGATAGTTGCCCAGTTTGGCAATACAGCCTGGAAACGGGGCCCTCGACACATTCAGCGCCCCAGGCTTGGCAACACAAACTTTTTAGGGCTTTAGGAAAAGCTAACAAGGGCTGAGACCATTCTGATCTCCGACTGCAGTTTGCGCAAACTGTCACACCTGAGGTAAGTACCTTCCAGCAACAGTTGCTTTCAACTGCCAGGGAACGCCAAGTTTAACACGAGGAAGCATAAGCCCTTTTCCTCCGAGCCATGAGATGGCGCACCCCCAACCGCCAGGTTGGATTTTGTTCTATTTTTTGTGCCCGCGAGTGGTTTTACCATTGTCTCCTTCGTAGGGTTGAGAGAGAGTGACTGGCCCAAGGTTACCCATCTGGCTTCCTGCTGAAGGCAAGACTAGAACTTATCATCTCTACCCTGGTGCCTGAACCACTAGTCCGCCAAATTGACTCAGCCAGAAACCCCCTCCACAATTTCCAGCTGCTCTTCCCCCCTCCTCCCGCTCCTCGTCAGCTTTCAACTCTCACAGCACTGGCTTCCCATTGTTCCTTGCGCGGAGCAGCCGCTCTTCCTTCAGCTCAGGCTGTGGGCGGGAACGGAAAGTTTAGTCGGGAGCTTTGCGAGTGAAGAGGAAAAGGAGCGCGGGCCGGGTGTGTGCGCGCGCGCGCGCGCGCGCCTCCTTAGAACTCTGTCGCACCCGTCCCACTCTTTCCCCCCTCCTCCCTCCCCCACCTCCCGCTCGCGCTTGGGACAGGGAGACGTGGTGCGCGCGCTTGGCGGTCTGAGGGAAAGTGGCGAAGGCGGAGGGCGGCGATGGATCCTGACCGAGAAGGAGTCGCCCGGGGACGGCGGCGTTGGTGGCTCCTCCGGCGGCTGTGAAGGGGGCGGCGGAGGGGAAAGGGGGATGCTGTCCCGGAAGAAAACGCGCGCCGACCTCTCCAAACCGGGCGAGGTGCAGGGCAAGTACGTGATCAAGGAGACCAGCCCGTTGCTCCGCAGTGAGTTGAGACCTGCTCGGGGAAGGAGGGGAGCGACGAGGGAGGAAGGGAAAAGAGAGGAAAAGAAAAAGCATCCCCTCTCCTGAGGGGAAGGAATGGGCCGAGGGGGAGGGGACGGGGGAAATCTCAAAATCGCCGGGATGCTTCTTCCAAGGTGAAGGTTGACTTTTACACAATGGTGGGAGAAGAGACCCAACATTAAGTTTACATCCCAGATCTTCTTTCAAGCTTCGTGTAAGCCAGGTTAGCTTCTACATAGGGACAGCAGCTTCGAAAAGCAGTTTTGCTCTCCCAAATGAAAGCAAAAATAATAATAATTGAGATCTTTTGGAAGATCTTTAGATAATGTTAGATCAGTAGAGGGTGCTGGTTCTCACTTGTCTAATTATAACAACAAATACAAACTACTCCTTTTTAACCTCAATTTAAGTTCTTTTTTTAAACTACTCCTGGGGTGGGGGGAGAGAACCCAAAGTAGAATATTTTGTGAACTTAGTCCTGGTACTGCTGGCAAATAACAGATATGCTCACTGATACAATTTTTCTTAATTCTGAGCATATGTCTACTAGCCAGTGTTTCATATGTTTTGGAGCTCTGGGGGAAATAATGTATATTTGCCAAGCCTGAAATCTGTCCACCCCTGTCAGAACTTCAAAGGCACAGATAGGAAACAAATTGGACTTAAATCACCTGTAGTTGTTGCTGTCTCTGCTCATTTCTTTAAGGAGTGAAAGTGCTCTTGTTCGAAGGCCAAATGTGACCTTAGCTTGTCACCTTATTATAATCTTTAAAGGATTATGCATGGTTAACCTAAAGCTTTCTGGTTTGAAAAGAAAACAGCTGTGACTGATCTCATTTCATTTGCAGGGGGAGAACAATTTTCTTTTGAATAAATTGGGGGGGAGATGCTGGTGATGATTGGTTATATTTTTCTTATCTTGTTTATATATCTAAATCTGATAGGAGTTCTCATATTTATGGTCTATCACCTGGGAAGCTGAGCAGGACATATCTTGAACGGATCTGAAATGAGTTCTTTTTATAATACATAATTAAATTGCAAAAGCCTGCTTGAGTTGATAAAATGTTCTAGTTAAAACTGTGGTTTGAATTAAATTTTCGTGCCCAGAGATGATTCAGTTTTAATATTAGCATAAAACAAGGATGGCTTTTATCTCTTTTCCATAAACTTTTGGTTGCTTTGCATTAAGTAGAAATGGAATAAGGACCTGCTATCAAGGTAAACCGTTAAATAAACACTGTTTTTATTGAAATGAAGTTCTTTGATCAAAAGAACTCAGGTAGGGACCAGTAATTTTCCTTGATTTTCTGAGTCCTGAATACCCTGAAAAGAAGTTGGAAGTTATAATCTGAATTAGCCAAATGTTTTTATTTCAAAAATAAATACTATTCATTGGAAATGTTATTATAGTTTTCAAAAAGCCTACATGATGCTGGCTGTGGCAGGGATAATTAACAAGCAATTATTTTATTATTATAAATAATTAACATTCCAATAGCTGGCTTAAATATTTTTCTTTTATCTTATAAAATTAAGTTATATCTTGTCTCAGATTTTTAGGGGAAGTGGGAAAGGTTGAAGTATAGGTTTGGAATAAAGGTCAAGAAGTCTGATCAGAGTTTAAAGAACATGTAGCAGAAGAGATACAGTATCAAAATTTCACATTAATTACTACTCAGTACTATCTCTAACTGCCCTTAGAGTGGGATAAGATTGGTTGATATACAAACTTGGAATGTGGCTGTTTTTCTGTTGACAAATTAAAAAGAAGCAAAATGAATCACATTTAATATTAATAAAGCTAGAAATAGGTTTAGATCATGCATTATATAACAATATGTTCATGGCCGCATGTATTTGTAAGTCCCATTTTTGCAGCTCTCAGATTTTCTTCTGACCATCATTATCTGAAACTGATAGCATAATTTCCTATGATTTTGAGGGGAGAAATAGATGAAGATTGTAAGATATGCGTTAAAATGGGTAAAAATGAAACTCAACACTACCATCACTGGTTTTGCAGCCCTTAGTTGCCCCAACACAAATACTAATTGTGGCCCAAGGCTTTAAACAGTGTTCACCCTATAGAGTAAACAACCTATATCAAGCAATATTCATAAGACAACAGTACAATGCATTTATATTAAACACAAAATAGTTTGTATTGGTTGTTATCTCCTCCCACCTCATTGTTTCAAAATACACTAGCTTATACTGCATTATTTTGCTATATTGGAATAATAGGAAATAATTAACTAAATTTAGTAGAAATATCAATAATGTAATGTGTCACTGTTTCAGCAATGTTTTATGCAGCTTTAATTCCTTAATTTCAGAAATAGACATAGATGATTATCATTTGTTTTGCACATCATGATAAGCCAGCATTTGGTTTGTTTGATTTTTTTTTACCTGTCTTGGGAAAGTACCTGTAATTACTTACTGATGATGTGCAAAGCAGCTCACTATCTCAGGGGTGTCAAACTGCGGGCCCGCAGGCCGGATGCGTCACGTGGAAGCCACTCTCACCCCATTGCCAGCAATGGCAAAACCAGCCCGACACGTTGCGCGACATCACGTGACATCGCGAGTTTGACATGCCTGCATGCTTAGAAAGTGATGAATGTAAATGCAGTGTATGGGTAAACAATGTTTACAACCATGTTATATCGAACAGTGAATGTACATATATCAGGAAAACTCTACAATCTAGCTATCTAATGTCTAACTGGATCATGATTCCAGAAATATCAAAAGTATAGGTTCTATTTTAGAACACCCCACAAACTACCTGAACATAATTTGACATTCATGCTTATGATAGATTCATAAAATGGCAGTGGAATACTTTTGATCCTGGCCATGGTATTTATTCATGAAGAAGTGAAATTGACTAAGTTGTATAAAAACATGTAGAATTACCTTACTTTAAAGAAAATGCTGTTAAAAACATTAAAATGCTGCTAAAAACTTTGATTCCAACATTACCTTACAAGCTTGAAACAAAATTTAAATACCTTGAGATTTCTTCCTTAAATGTTGTTGGAATTGTGCAGCTTGGGTTTCATGTTCATATAAAGGGCCTCCTTGGGGGCTCTCTGTTTTACAGGGTTTAAATTTTAATGTATCTACTCTTCATTAACATTTGTAAATATACCAAGTTCTATGTATTTACTGTTATTATAACTTTCTGCTACAGATCTGATGCCTTCATTCATCCGTCATGGTCCAACTATTCCAAGGCGAACGGATATCTGTCTTCCAGATCCAGTGCCTTCTGCCTATTCAGCAGGTGGGGACGGAGCCCTTTCCAGACATCAGAGCTTTCTAAGGACTCCAGTGCAGAGGCCTCCTCATGAAATAGTACGGCGGGAAAGCAACAGACTATCTGCCCCTTCCTACCTTGCCAGGAGTTTAGCTGAGGTCCCTCGAGAATATGGCTTATCTTCACAGTCCTTTTTAACAGAGGCCAATTCGGTTACTGAAAATGGAGATGCTGGATCCCGTTACTATTTTGGTCACTTTTATAATGATCAGAGACGACATCAACTGGGGGATCATGTTCAGGAAGAATATAGATATTATGAACATAATACTGACCTCATCCAAAGGATGTCACAAAATCAGGGAAGACACAGTTCAGGCAAGTATCATGGGGATTTTTACACATAAATTCTATTTTTCTTTTTTGGTTCTATGTAAAAATATCTAAACAGTATTTTTTATGCTTTTACTAATAGAATTCAGGATTGATTGAACATACCAACACCCGAAGCTGCCTTGCATTGGGTCACATAAGAATTGTGACCATACCTTCATATTTTTATTGACATTACCGTGATACCCTTGGCTTAAGAATCAAATTATTATGGAAAAAGCAAAAAAACTTGGGTGACAGCTGTGAACAAGAACAATACCCTATTAGTGTGTAAGAGGATCTGAGCTGAAGGACTTTGGCATTTCCTCCACTAATTTGGATAAAGAGTTGATTTCAAATAACTAGTGTAATTAACATCATTTAGTGAGCCAGCCCATGGACCCTTTTAAGAGGTAAAAGTAAAGGTTTACTCTGTCTAGTTACGTCCGACTCTAGGGGCCGTGCTCATCTCCCTTTCTTAGCTGAGTGAGCCAGCATTGTCCAATGACATGTCCATGATCATGTGGCCAGCATGTCTGTATGCCGAGGGGCACAGAACAATGTTACCTTCCCACCAAAGTGGTATCTATTTATCTACTCACATTTGCAGGCTTTTGAACTGCTAGATGGGCAGGAGCTGGACCAAGTAACGAACTCACCCCTTTGCACAACACTAAGGTGTCAAATGTGGGCTCTCCAGTTGACAAGCTCAGTGTCTTTAACTGCTGAGCCATCACGCCCCTTTTAAGAGGACCCATATGGAATCTCAGCAAAAAAAAAAAAACAAACCCAGCTCTGAAGGGTTCTTTCTCTTAAGGTCCTTTGTGTTTTGCTTGTTGGTATTTGCTTGTTCAAAAAATGAGCTTTATCATTCTGATTTAAATTTGTTAAACTAGGAACTAATGTACAGTTTTATTCATTCCACTAGACATACTAGTAGTTTTATCCTGCTGCCTCCACAGCACATTTCTTTTTTAGCCTTTTAGTATGTTATATGTTTCAAGCTCAAACTGAGGAGTTAATTTTTATTTTCATGACTGACTTTCATAATTCTTAGCAGTACTTTCTACTCTGATTCCTATGGTGTGGCCTGGCCCTCATCTAAATCTAGTTATAAAAAGAGATTCTGGTTAAACAAACCATATTCCAAGCAGTGTATTGTTTCATATCCTTATTGAAAATATTGAACCAATGTTTGAGGGAAAGAGTTTTAATTTGAGGGAAAGCAACTAATATTTTTTAATTTTATATTTTGTTATATAGCATTTTAAAACATAAGGTGCATACAGATTTTTGTAAGTATTCACTCTCATTGGAAGCTTAGATTTAGTAACAGCATCTGCATTGGTATTAATTACTTCAACCAATAAAAATTCTCATTGATTGTTCCATCTACTGTAAAACATCGTTCCAGTAATTTGCTGAATTATTCAGGTGGACTTTTGCAAACTTGAGATGAGTGGCAATGTGCTTTCTGGAGACCACTAGTATTCTCCTCCCATACATACGATTCTTCTTCAGTGTTTTCATTATTATGGACTCATGAACCCTGACATCATACAATGCAAGAGTGACCTACAGATCCATTGCTTTCAACTTAGAGTTGAGTGCTACATTCTGAAGTATTATATTCTTTGATCTTGGAAGAGTAACATATTAGTTACTGTAATGTATATTGTTGTTGTTGTTAATTGGGAAGTCGTGTCCGACCCATGGACAATGTTCCTCCAGGCCTTCCTGTCCTCTGCCATCTTCTGGAGTCTATTTAAGCTCACGCCTACTGCTTCAGTGACTCCATCCAGCCACCTCATTCTCTGTCGTCCCATTCTTCTGTTGCCCTCAATCTTTCCCAGCATTAGGCCCTTCTCCAGTGAGTCCTTCCTTCTCATTAGGTGGCCAAAGTATTTGAGTTTCAACTTCAGGATTTGGCCTTCTAACGAGCAGTCGGGGTTGATTTCTTCTTGGACTGACCAGTTTGAACACTTTGCAATCCAAGGGACTCGCAGGAGTCTTCTCCAGCACCATAGTTCAAAGGCCTCAATTCTTTGTCGCTCAGTCTTTCTTATGGTCCAACTTTCACATCCATACATTGCAACTGGGAAAACCATGGCCTTGACTATATGCACTTTTGTTGGCAGGGTGATATCTCTGCTTTTTAGTATGTTGTCTAGATTTGTCATAGCTTTCCTCCCCAGGAGCAAGCGTCTTTTAATTTCTTGGCTGCAGTCCCAATTTTGAACCATTCAGTCGTTCTAATATATATTAATAGGACTTAAATGGATTTAAATGAAGGACTTAAATTAAGCTCTGATCACTTTATAGATCACATTGTTGCAGGATCATAGATCTGAAATAGGATTTTCAAGCTTTCCCCACTGTGAGGTCTATTCTACGGATGACTTATTTCACCAGATCAGAGACAGGCAACATTTAAGAAGCCACAAGTCAAATTCTGCTTCTGGACAGGCTATTGGAGGCCATAGTGCTACCAACAGGAAAATATGGATTGAACATCTTGATGCTTTTTATGTTTTAGAGAGGTTTTAAAGATGAGAATGAAGATTTTTGAGAAGGTAATTCTACTCTCAACTTTAACTAACCAAACATAAAAGAAAAAAAACCGCTATCACTTAAAAGTATATCATTTATTCTTTGCATCAAAACAAGTATATTTCAGCAGTCTGGTTTTGCTTCTCAGAGCCCTTTTACTTCCGTTATGATCTGAATCTTGGAAAAGAAAGAATTGAAAATTTGTTTCTTAAAAAGGGTCATTTTGTTGCCAAAAACAAAAGGTTTTATTGGAAGTGTAATCTTGAGGTTCTGGGAGATTGCACGCAAGCAACTTGTTGCCTACCCTAGCTTAGCAAGATTTATTTGTGCTTGTATATTGAAAAGTCAACTTTTATCAAAATACACTGAATATTAAGCTCAAAGCTGTTTTAGTGCCCAAGTAGACAGTTTAACAATTTAGGAACTGCTATTAAAGTGGTAAGGAATACCAAACTTTGAATCTGAGAAAAAGCTTGATAGTAAAAAATATTTTTGCTTAATAACATATCAGATTAAATTTTTAATGTGGTTTTGTGTTTATGGGATGCAATAAATATTTCAGTACCACTTGTAGAATCGTAGTCCTGGGAAACCCATAAAGAGTTCAGAGTACAGCACATACTATGTTGTAGTCAATGAGATATATAGATTAATTACTGCCAGTATGTATTCATCATATCTTACTGCAAATTGTCTGGAGTAGTTTGAAGAGAGAAAGGGATGAAATTGTCAATTTTCTTCCTCCTTTTCGCAAAATATGGTTTTATTTGAAGGATTTCTGAGCATCAACAAGGCAAATTGTTTATAGTTTTCCCTTATGTTATATATAATCTCATCTTCCTGTAAGATAACTAAGACATTCCTGTTCACTCCAGAGGCAGAGCTGGAAACCTGTTGGAAAGAGATGGCTCCTTTCCCAGTTCCTCCCTCACTCCAGAGATTATGGGCAATGTTGACTATCCTTATCAGTCATATATCTTTTTTTTTCCTTTGCTTTCTTTTGCTTTCTTTTCCTTTGTCCATTTTTCCCTGAGCAAAACCCAGGGCTAGCAAACTCACAGGTAGCAACATATCAGAGCACTTTTATAATAGCAGGGTGAGCAAGAGGGTCATCTTTCAATTTCACTTCAATCAAAGCTGCAGTTCCCAAGTCATCAGCCATGAGTCCCATTGTTACTCAATCCCCTCACCAGCCTTTGCAATAGTATAGTATTCTTGACTGCAATCCCCTTCCTCAGATCCCTCTCCTTGTTCCTGTTGTAGAAGACAAGAAGCAAGTGACTTAGATATGATTGTGACACTTCTCTTCAAACCCATTCAGATCAGAAAGAGGGTGAACAATCCTTAGATGAGGAAGGGAACCTACAAGGCAGTCTTTGAGTCTCCGATTTTCTAAAAAAGTAGATTATCATGATTGCTCCGGAGATCTTTATTATTTATTTTATTATTTATTTATTTATTTATTAATAAAATTTATATGCCGCCCAATCCCTAGGGACTCAGGGCGGCGTACAAAATTAAAACAATAAATAGAACAATAGAACAATAAAATAAGTGCATTCATTACAGCATGTCCCAATCGTATCCCGGCCCTCCCGGGGACATCAGCCCCAGGCCTGCTGGAACAGGAGAGTTTTAATGGCTTTCTTAAAGGCCAGCAAGGTGGGAGTAGTTCGAATCTCGGGGGGAAGTTGATTCCACCAGGTCGGAGCCACCACAGAAAAGGCCCTTCCCCGAGGGCCTGCCAGCCGACATTGTCTGGCCGACGGGACCTGAAGGAGGCCCAATCTATGGGACCTCACCGGTCTCTGGGAACTATGCGGCAATATGCGGTCCTGTAAGTAACCTGGTCCTAAGCCATGAAGGGCTTTAAAGGTGATAACCAACACCTTGAATTGCGTCCGAAGACCCACAGGAAGCCAGTGCAGCTCGCGGAGGATAGGTGACACGTGGGTATATCATGTGTACACCCACGTGTCACCTATCTGTAAATTCCTGGGCCTGGAAGATCGAGAACCTCATCTCTTTCCCAGATCTCTGATGGGTTTGCTGACAGTAAAGTCATTCCCATGTTTAGCAACCCATCACCTCTCTTTCAACAGAGCATAGTCCCTGGAGCGTAGCGTAAGCCCTCTAAACTGTATATTTTTCCTCATCCAATTCTACACCTGCTCAAATACTTCAGTGCATCTTTTTGTGGCAACCCTGATTTCAGGAGCTATCTTGAGTAAATATCCAAAGCCCAGAAAAATTGGGAACATGGACTGTAGAACACACGAGACAAGAGCTTTAGCTATAAGAGTTTCCATGGCCATCTCAAGCTTTTGCTAGTTCTTTTCCCTGCATGCTAACCCAGCCATCTGGAACAAAGGATGTTCAGGTCACATAGACCAATTAACCAAGGTGCCCACCTTCATAGCAAATACTAGTCTGGACAGTGCCCAATTCTCAGAGGCTGGTGGCTAATATAGCTACTATAAGCAACTATTACTGTTGCTACTCTAAGCAACTATTACTGATGAACAGGAGTAGATTCTAAATCCAGAACACAAGGTCCATTTGTCAGAAACTTCTGACCTTAGTTTTGATAGGGATTTGGCATGTCCCTTTTCAAAATGTTCTGGCTTCCCTGTAGGAAAACAGGACATAAAGGGTCTTTTTCTACATAAGAAACAGGACATCAAGCCCACTCAGAAATTATTAGCAAAAAAAGATGAAACATCTATGGGGAAGAACATTTAATTATAAGATTTTTATATTATGTCAATCCAAAAATATATAAATACAGAATTTATATATTTTTGAACTTTTCTCTGATCTCTCTTTCTGGATTATTTTGAAGCTGGGAAATTAGTTACCTCATTCCACAGGAAACAGCACCAGAAATTCTCCTAGTTCTATCTTTGAAGTGAGTGTAGGAAAATGTATTTGTAATAAATATTCAAAAAACATAATGTGAACCAGGGTAGAATGGGGAGATAGTAAGACGACACTCATGATTCCTCTCTAATTCACTGAGATATAAGAGGGAGAGGGGGAATAGCACAATTGGACTTTAAGATTTTGTTATTATAGCCTCTCTCCATAAATATAGTTTTGGTCTTCCTATGGAATGTGTTTCCTGATCTGGTCTACGTCAAAGGGCTGACAGTGGGATGGAAATTCCCACTTAGGACATCTATTGCTGTGGTAGAAAAAGGACTACTGTGGCAAGTTCAGTGTAGCATTTTGGTTTGTTTGGGAAAATACGCTTGGTATATATAGCATACTCAGATTGTCAGATCTTGAAAACCAATTATTCCCATCACTTTTATTGGACTCTGATAATCTCCTTCCCTGTTGCTTCATAGAGTATAAGTTTTAATGAGCATGGGCAAGTTTGGTATCACTGGTGTTTCTGTTGTGGGAATTTGGTGGTATGACTGGCCTGACAGTGGAAGCGAAATGAAAAATTGCTGGCCAGTCTGGTTGCCTTTGTTTAATTCTGAGGTTTGAAGGCAGTGACATTAAGACAGAGAAAAGGAAGGCGAAACCACAGCTAGTGCTTCAGTTTTCTCATGGTTCCTTCTTAAGGAATTGAAATAAGAGAAAATAAGATGTTTCAGTGAAATGGCAGGAAATTACTTTGAATTCTGTTCTAAGATTTTGTAAGAAAAGAAAAGAAAGTTTGCATCTTTGAGAGATTGGAAGTAGATTGTTTCTTTTACCATTGGCTAAGAAACAGTTAATATATGAGTGGACAGAACTAAAAATGTGGATTGTCTATTCTACAGAAATAAGAGGACAAAGTAGAAATATTAAAATGAGAAAGAATGGCAGACTTCATAATATCCTCAGGTATTACTCTGTGGCTTAGACCACCCCCAAAATATAATTCCATGCTGAATAGCTAAGCTTACATTCTTTTTCACATTTTGTAGACACAAAACTTCTAAAAGAGGGTTTTCACATTTGCTGAGTAATTATAGTAGAGAAGCATTTTTATCCAATTATTCTAGTCCTTATTTTGAAATTCTTCAAATTTAGGAGACATTTTAGTACTTCCAAGAACATACAATGGTAGATTCTATACATGTATATTTCTTAGAGTGCCCTGAAATGGATGGCATTTTAATGCTTCAGTCAAAATGAATCTCAGATTCTTTTGCTGTACAAGATACTTTCTGGTAAGAAAAAGATTGGAAAAAATAGGAAAGTGCTTGTAATAGGATAGGTTACAAGATGTAAGATGATGCAATTCCCCCACCATAACATTCCTTGAATGAAGTTTTTGCATACCAGAAGTCTTGTCTGGAAGCACTCTTGGAAATATCTCATTTAATAGAGTGAGATTGTTTTAAGTCAAATCAAACCAGATGCTCATATTTCTGTCTCCAGACCCTTGTATCACAATCTCTATCTACCAAGGAAGAAAAGAATGTGTCCATACATCCACCATGACTCTTAAAAAAAGCTGGAAAATCATACTAACCAAATTAATGGACCACTACTACCACACATCCCAAAAAGCATTACATCAGGCTGTTTATTCAAAGGCAGTACCAATCACCACAAAGAAGCATCTCATACAAAGCATATTCATCCCCACCCCTTTACCAGTGCCAAACATGGACACTTACAATAAAACCTAAATGAAAGTTAGTCACCACAGAAATGAGATGAGATGAGAAAAGTTGCTAGAGTGACCAGAAGAGATAAAATCAGAAATAAGAGCATAAGAGAAAGGATTGGCATAGAACCAATCCTAAACCACATTCAAAAATAGCAAATAAAGTTGTTTGCTCACCTGGAATGGATATCTTGGGATTCCATACTGTACAGGGCATATGCAAAAAGAGAAGGCAGAACACAAGGCAGACCCAGAAGAAGATGGTAAGACAACATCAATTAACAGTGGTTGAGACCACCAGAACAACAAGAACCAGGACTTTGTATCTCCTTTGACACCCGAAGAGGAAGTAAAGTAAAGAAGTGTGTCCAATGATGTGGAATGACATAGAGTTACAATATTATTGAGCTGTCTGGGTGCAAATGAGTGGATAACTGTTTCTTGGAAGCAGCAATTAATATTATACTTTTTATCCTCTTAGCGGTATGATGCAGTATCTGCAACATGGTTGCACTGTCCCTTCATGATGACTGTACTGTACTAATGGCTTGGATAAGTAACATTTTTAAAACATAAAATGATCTTCAGAAATTTTGTTGTTTTTTTTTTTCATCCCCCCTCTCCAAAATTAACCACTGATAGACTTTGATCAAAGTGTTAGCTGTCTTCTCTTTTCCTTCTAAATTGGTCAAAGAAGCTGAGAGGGTCTCATAATTCCTGCCTTAAAATAAGCCAATTTTTCCTTAAAATCAAATACTTGGGGAGAAGCTAACAAGGGAACCTGTGATCTTTATGGGTTGATCATGTGGTGTAGAAAGTAAGAGCAATGACCTTGACATGTATATGCAAAAATGTTACTTAGGCAAAAGGAGCTGAAGCAATCCTGAGAATAAGACTATAAGAAGGCAAAGGAGATAAAGCAAATCAGACTTGCACGATTCTATTATAGGCTACATTTAGACTTCCTGTGGAATTGATTTCCTGGTCTGGTCTACCTGGAGGAACTGACCAGTCTTGACATATCACTGATAAGAGTAGTAATTTGATCTACAATGCAGTAAACATCTCTTTCAGCCATCAATGTTTTCCTCTAGGAAACTTGAGCCAGTTAGTCCTCTTGTTTAAGAGCAATAGTGTAGTACAGTGGTTCTCAACCTTTTTAATGCCGTGACCCCCCCCCAACCGGTTGTAAGTCGAGGACTACTCAACCGGTCATAAGTCGAGGACTACTCAACTGGTACAGCACCGTTTGCAGAATGGGACTTTTGGCGGGCTCAGCAGGGCAGAGACAGCCTGGACAATTCCTATTGGCTTTTGAAAGCCAATAGAATTAGACTCGATTCAAGAGAGTCTATTCTATTGGCTTTCAAAAGCCAATAGAATAAAAGGGAGTAGCACAGCTAAGGAATGGGGGGAAAAATGGCGGACTGCATTGTTTGGCGACCCCCGTGAAATGTTCATTCGACCCCAAATGGGGTCCTGACCCACAGGTTGAGAACCGCTGGTGTAGTGCATCATTTCTGCAAGTTGCCAATATTATTTTCTTTGACTTCCATTATACCTTCATCCTTTCTCACAGAATGATAGAAGACCAACAAAGGCACAAAGTGATGAGATGGTAGATGAGAACCTACCTTCCCTATTAACTTAGAAAATTAACGCTGTTTAGAATGTATTAAATTACAGGAAGTTTAGTTAAGCCAATAATTAAACTTTTCTTAGATACTGGCTAATGGAAATATCTTTTCTGAGACTTCATGCCTAAAACCAAAAGAGACCCAACTTTCATTTTGCCTCTCTTAATTTCTTGGAAAACTTTGGTTCCAAGTTTTCTGACATCTTGGAAAACTAACTCCACAATAAAAACCCTTTTGTTTCCAGACATTCAGTTCTATATGACTTGTGACCTCAAGTATCTATTTCTTTTTGTTTTCCTTATTGGAAACCATTCGAACTGGAACATTTGAAAACTCCTTTTTAGCTGCTATTTATCTAGTTTAGAAGATTTTATATGTTTGACCATGTCTTTTACATTGTCCTCAGTGTTATTGAGTCTTCTTATGGGTAAAGGAAGGTTACCGTTTTTCTTCTAAGGGCAAGCTTGTACTAAAGCTTGCCCTTAGAAGAAAAACTCTGATCCACAATTAATTGGTCATATGGTTAGCCCCTGGCTTACATTGGACTTGGAAAGTATACCAATTTAGGCCTGGTTAGTACTTAGATTTGAGACTATCTGGGAAATACCTGGGATTTAAGCTAGACTGGAGAATCCTGGTCCGTGGAATTTATTGGAACTCAAAAAACATCCTGGAAGAAGACAGTAGCAAATGACAAATGTATTGTTACAAAAAATTTGCCTTTATTTGTCAGTAAAGTCCAAAATTGAACTGACTAAAATATACTTTTCATAGTTTGTTGATGAGTATATGTGAATTTCTGAAAGCAAAACGAGAATGAATCACAGATACATTCTCCAAATAGGAACATTTACATGAGGAAAAAGGATGCAAAGGTAATATATTAGGGAACTGATCACAACCTTCTGCTTTTCTGAGAAAAAAAATTACACTGTTAAATATTATTTGCTTTATTAATATTTCATTTCCAGGCATTGGAAGGGTTGCTGCAACATCATTAGGAAATTTAACAAATCACAGTTCAGAAGATTTACCTCTCCCTCCTGGTTGGTCAGTAGATTGGACTCTTAGAGGAAGAAAGTACTACATAGACCACAATACTAACACAACACATTGGAGCCATCCATTTGAGCGAGAAGGGCTGCCTCCAGGATGGGACCGTGTTGAATCAGCTGAATTTGGAGTGTATTATGTTGACCACATTAATAAAAGAGCACAATATAAACATCCTTGTGCTCCCAGGTAATATACTTGTGATCTTCACTATAGAATTTTTGAATAGAGATAACTGTGCTACAAGCTAATCAATTTCTTTATTGCTTTTATGTATTTTCTTACTTATTTTAACTTATAAAGACTATGAATAATCAGCAATTTTGGATTTTTTATGTTTGTTCACAAAACTTGTCAAACCTGTTTGGTATAAAGCTTCAGAAAATACTCCATTTTTAATATGAACAGTTTTCTAGCATTTTTGGAAACAACTGAAGCTTAAAACTCCTTCATGCAAAAAATGGAACATTTTCAAACTTTTTAATCAACTATAGGATATTGAATAGCCAACAGTTATTAATAAGGAGGTGTCTATTATCAATCCTCCCAACTCACTTGTAGTAGAAAAATTGACATTATATGCAATTACCTCTATCTCTGTTCTATACTCTGAAGAATATATTTAAAAATATTTATATTTATTTATTTTCTCTGGCAAAGAGCGTGAGTAGACCAATGCTCTTATTTTACAAACAGAAAATACTAAAATGGAAAGAGTTGTGGTATGCCAAACCTAGATTAGAAAACTTGAACTGAAATGGATGCAGAACTCCAGGTCTAGCATTGACTTCAAAAATTGTCTGTGTTGTAAGGTCAGAGCATCACTTTTGCATCCTTCTTGAGTTGGGGAAATCTAGTCATACTGGAAACTGTATAAATCCCCACAAATTTCTAAGAAGGGTCATAATGTTTAATTTTATAATTGGCTCAAAATGAAGTCTTTAAAAAACAGAGCACTCAAGTCAAAATGTTTAAATTCCTATTACATTAATACTCCTAGATTTGTGTGAATTTAAGTTCGATATTATTAGTAATTGGAGCTTTAACAAGAGGAATTGTTGATCACTGCTATCCAGAGTTGCTGGGAGTTGGGCTGCATGTACATTTTTATAAATTATTAGTATTATTATTAATAATTCTCCTTCTCAGATGTACTTGTGCGTCTTATAGAAATTCTGCAGATCTGACAGAATGTAGTAGATTGAATTCCCAGGAGGGAGAGGGTACATTCCTGAGGAATAAATGGCAGCTAAATCCAGATAAAGATCCAGTGTGAGAGAAAGAGGGTGAAGACAGGCACTTCCTAATAGTTCTTATAATATTTGATAGATGCAGATACTATCAGATAGATGCAGATAGCAGAGTGCTTCAGTTTGGCAAGATTCTGTCTATAGATGAGGAACAATAAAGAACTCAGCTTGGAAGAATCATCATGTATCTTTCTTGGTTTTGGTGGGCTGAGACTAATTGTTATAAATCCTCTTGGGCAGAAATATTGGACTACTGTATATGCTTGAATAATTTGTATGTAGGCAGAAGGGTAAATATGAGTTTACAGAAATTAACAGCAAATTTAAATTACAACTCAGTGGCAACACTTAGCCAATGTAGGCTGGTATTCCCCCCCCCCCAAAAAAAAAACCAAGAAGAGTCAGATTTCATTAGTATTCGAGTGAGAGATTCACCACCAAACATGAATGCTCTAAAAATAATTTGGAAGGCACTACTGGAAACCACTTTCATTGTTGCCCCAAACTATATGAATGTGTCACTGAATCACCAGGAGTCAGATTGATTTGAAAGCATGGTTTACCTTTTTTCTTCTTCTAAGAAACCACTTTCCACAGTCCCTAATCACTTGCTTAAGCCAGAAGATCTGTGATTGGTCTTTGGAAGAATCTAGATCAGAATTTAAAAGTCTCAGGAGCATCCGTCTAGCCACGTCTTGTTCAGTTTAATGTTTTCTTGGTCACATACATTGCTAGATTGTGATAAAAAAGATTTGCTGGTATGTTCCTTCGCAGCGTTCCCCGTTATGACCAACCACCTCCTGTGACATATCAACCACAGCCAGCTGACAGAAGTCAGCCTATCCTTGTACCTGCCAATCCATATCACACTGCAGAGATTCCAGACTGGCTGCAAGTCTACGCTAGGGCTCCTGTGAAGTGAGTATTGCTTAAATGTTTTTTTCCCTATGCCGGATGATAAATACATTTTATAACGCAACAAATCTGTTATGTTGGAAACTTAAAGATACCAAGTGTAAATTACCAAACATATTTCTTCTCCCTGAATCAATCAATTTTGTTGTAGTAGGAAGTGTTGAGAGTGTGCTTCAGTATAATGTTATTAATTAAAATGTGTCTGACATATTCAGTGACATTAGTTTTTTTTGTATGTTTGCTTTATATATTCCTGCATTTTCTCACAGATACGATCACATACTGAAATGGGAACTCTTCCAGTTGGCTGACCTGGATACCTATCAGGGAATGCTGAAACTGCTTTTCATGAAGGAACTGGAGCGGATTGTGAAGTTGTATGAAGCATATCGCCATGCCCTCCTCATGGAATTGGAGAATCGCAAGCAAAGGCAGCAGTGGTATGCGCAGCAGCACAGCAAAAATTTCTAAACTCCTTTTTTGCTATGGACGTTGATGAAGGTTATTAGAACTCTAAAGGACTTCTTGCTCTCCTTAAAAAAATTGTGAATGAATGCTTTGGTTAAAAAAGCAGCTTCTCCATGGATCTTGCACCTTTTATAATTAACTTCTTTGTGCATCATGGCTTTTGAATACGAAATGTTTGTTGTATAAAAAGCTAGTTTCCTATTCTTAAAGCCACTATTGAGGAAAAAAGCAAGAACTTTGTGATTATTTTGTCCTTCATGTTTTTCTAGCAAATAGTTCTACTTTGAAGAAGCAAAATTTCCTTTTTCAAATGGGAAATGTCATTGCACGTTTTTCTTGAAAGTAGGCACATTTTTAAGAAATCTTCATTCCTATTGCACAATTGGTGATTTCACAGGTGGTCTTGTATCAGGAGGATAAAGAGATTCTTCTGCTGCAGCAAATGAACTGTAAAGTTTATAGCTTTCATACACAAGGTAACCATATAGGGGTTTTTCCAGCGGTTGCCTTGCAGAATAATAGTTTTCTGTTTGAACCAAGCACTTAATAAATTACTGCCTTATTTTGTTCAACTTTGTTCTGATTTGCTACTGGGCATTTGAGGAAATGCCATACGTAGGCTGGCGGAAGCAGTTTGTAGCTTTGGAAGTATTCTAGGCAAATAAGGACTGAACCAGCATTCAAGTAACTGTAAACATGATGTTGGAGGACTGAGTTCTCTTGACCATATGCAGTAAATTTTATCATAATTAGAGTAGCAGTGAACAGTTTTTTAAAACCTTTATTTGGTGGCAAAGTAGTTTTACATTCACAACTTCAGAAATTGATTTTCATCTGTTTTCATTCTGAATTGTTGCTTATGACTCATCTGTGACATCTTTTTTTGTAAAATAAATGTTTTTGTTTAAAATTTGTAATGTATTCTATTTCTAAATTTCATACTTTTTTGCCTTGTCAACAAGAGGTGGGCTGTGGAATGGATTGGCCCAAATTGGATTGCGTTCATTATCCCATGTTGAAGAAATTTAACTTTAAATGCCTCTAGATGTGGTAATGTAGGACAAAACACCATTCATAGGCCTTGTGGGGATGTTTATGCAATATGCTTAGCCAGATTACTGAATTTATTCATTTTCTGGATTCATACAAGCCATGTCTCATAAGCTTGCCTCATAGTCTGTTTGTGTAACACACTGATCTGCAAAAACCTAACTAGAATTAATCCTAAATTCACCCTATAAAAATTGAACCCCACACAATCCAAGTTTGATTGTTCTTTAAAAGAATTTGTACAAACTTTTCCCCAAAAGAGGCTGCTATTAAGGAAAGCAGAATTACAACTATTGCAAGTGAAACAGGTCCAGTGTAAATTCTTGTATTTAGTGCAAGACAGGGAAGTTTCTGCATGAGTATTCAGGAATTAATAAAACAACAAATAGGTAATTGTCTTAGGAACAAACCTTTAATCAACAATAACATAATAAAAACTAGGAACACTATGCACTAAACAAATATATATATATATATACAGTGGAATTTTCAAAGACATGTTAAAAAAGGCTTTTCCGTCTCTTTAACATACCATAGCAAAAGAAATTTCTGCAGCTTCAGAGAAGGCAAGTGAATAAGCTGGATGAAGAAAAGTGCATATCAAAACCTTTATGTTTACATTGGACAATATTAGGATAACCCCACTTAAATAAGTGTACAGTTCACAGCCAGACCATTACTTTTATTCATGAGGTTTGCTCACAACATCCTCCAAGTACACATAAAGGATTAATTTGCATACTTCTCTTCATCAAACTGCATGGATGTGTCCATGAAGTTACCAGGATTTGAATTTGACTCCAAAGAGTCTTATTTTTTTCCCCTCTAGAAAGCCTTAAGGTGGTCTTAATGACTCAAGGGGCTTAGATTCAGAGAAGCCCACACAAGCAGTTGTGTATATGATCATCCACTGCACTGCTGCTATATCCCATTCTTGCTGTTTGGGATGACATGGCTCAGCTGTGAGAAAAAAATCTGGTGTGAAAGGAGAAAGAACACTCCCTCTGGCTCTGGCCTTCTTATGCTCTTAAAAAGATTTGAAAGTAACAGCATTTTCTAGAGAACCAAAAGAGTACTGAGTCTGCAGCAAAATTAAGTCACTGCCTCCTTTTTAAAAAGAAAATGACAGTCATGCTGATTCATCCACTCTCAAGCAGGGCATTCTCCAAATTAAAGCAGCCACACTTAAGCCATTGGTGCATGTGAATGAGTTATTTTTCTCCATCTTCCATTTTGAGGAGTACCAGAGACTGATACATGGATGCAGAAGTGATTAACATGTTTAATGATGTATTTCTTGCATCTGGATTACATACTCTTCTTCTCTGTCCCTTCCTTGGGTTCCACCTTCTGAGCTGTAGGGAAAGCATGATGGTACAAATGTCTGTGTGTGGCAGCTGCGCTGTAAAGTTTGTACAAAGCCTGAAAACCAAAACATAAAAAAAGAGGAAAAATGTTTTCAACTATTCTTCTCGTGGACTACTCCTACACAGACATGCTTCATGTACCAATCCTTTTCACTTTATCTCAAGCTTATGCCTTGTCTTTTCAATTACTGATAGAATTTATTGAAACATGAAAACACAGTGCAAATTCCTCCGTTCCACTACATGTATTCCACTGGCTGTAGAACTCTGCTTTTTGCCAGAGGAATTGATGATTTAAGTTATTTCAGGGATGGTATTCTCTAGAGAGCTGACCTTGCTTCCTCTAGCATAAGAGGCCTGGATCCTTTCCCAGCAAACATTACTGGGAAGAGCAGCAGATTTAATGGATACACAGGGCCCTTCTCCTACTTGTTCTGCTGTTACAATCTGGTTGTAACAATGGGCTGTGCAGTATGCCTGAGAGCCATATTAAGCAGGTTTTTGTTCTCTGATCTGAATTCCAAAATGAGGCAATCAGTCAAATTATGCAGCTGTCTTCAAAATTTCAGCCTATGATGGGAAAGATTTTAAAATTAGTATAAATACCCAAATGCACAGTCATTCATATATGTACACTGGTAGAGAAGGAATTGCTTTTGCATAACAATAAGTTGGCTTACCTCATTTGTGTTGCCCTGCAGAAAAGGCAGTTGCAAAAAGAAAGAAAAAAACCAAGGTGAGAGAAAGAACACAAGGCATCCTTGCATTTATATACCCGTTCCTATTGTATCTTGAAGCAATCTGGAGAAGGTTCATTCAATTTATTCTGCCTTCTCTTCTTCATGCTAACTGAACCTATAAAGTTGTCTCATTCATTTTTCCAGCCACAAGTTCATCCAGTCAAAAGCTATCTATTAGCAACACCGCCCTTCCGGATTTAAATTATGTATTGACTTAATTATTTTAATATCAATTTTATATATTTACAGTTCTATATATTTGCTGTTTATTCTTTTACTTCTTTTGCGGTCTCTTGAACCATCAATACAGGAGAAATTATTAAATTAGAGATTATTAAATACATGGTTTTCATAATTTTTGCCTGGAAAATAATATATAAACCATATAAACAGATAAACCTAAGATCTGAAGACAAGACTTCTAAAGTGCATTATGCATAGATATTTATGTAAGGACTAAAACCTAGAATGTCTAGTTCAACACAATAACATAATCTCCAGTGTTTCTCAACCTTGACAATTTTAAGGCATGTGGACTTCAACTCCCAGAATTCCACAGCCAGCATTGCTGGCTGTGGAATTCTGGGAGCTGAAGTCCACGTGTCTTAAAATTGTCAAGGTTGAGAAACATTGATTCTAATCTAAACAAACCTTCCTCAACCTGTTGGATTAGAACACCCTTTGCTATAGCCATCAAGTAACTGTGGGCACCCTCTGTCATCCTTGCTTATTTCTCCAGACACTCTTTAGCAGGATCATCTTAGGGATGAATTTGGACACAATCCAAATTCATGCATGTACTATACAATTGTTGTTTTTAATGATGTTCCATTATAATTCACCTTTCAATACCATCCAATTGGGAGTGATTTTTAAACCAACCTCAATTACTCACAATGCAACTTGGCCCATTCAGGTTACAGGGGAGGGCCCAGCTGAAAAACAGACACTATAACACTTGTCCTCACAAGAAGAAAATGTCAAAGCTTCCTGCCTTCTATTGATGTGCCTCTGCTTTAGTGCCATATGGAATTGGTTAAGGATTTTCTGATCAGATATGCATTTGCTTTTAAATCTCTTTTACCTTAATTTAATTACTGAAAAGATAACCAGAGCCTTCTAAGGCTGCCTTCTGTGTTCTCACATCTAGAACATAAATCCATTGGGGAACACTAACCCTCCCTCAAATTCTCTTCATATTGACTGATAGCCTCTCTAGGACAGTGTTTCTCAATGATGGCAACTTTAAGGTGGCTGGCTGAGGAATTCTGGGAGTTGAAGTCCACAAGTCTTAAAGTTGCCAAGGTTGAGAACCCCTGCTCCAGACCTTTCCAAATCTTATCTGGAGAAGTCAAGAAAGTAAACATTACTTGCCTTTGATCTTCTCATTACCATTAAGATGCCTACTAGTGATTTTCAGCCCTCTAAATCTCCTTCATAGATATATCTAACTTTTTTAAAGTAAGAAACTCTTCGTGCAACTATTTCCGGTGATGTAAAAGCCTACTTCCTTTTGCACAGCAAACCTTCTCTAAACTGAGAGGTCACTGAAAGCAAACTCCACTCCTTGCTAGCACTGATGATATACCTAGCTTGGGTGGTGAAACATTTGCAAGAAACCAACCAAGCTCAGAGAGCACCAAAGACCCCCTTATTTCAATCCTGAGCTACAAATATTTTCCTTTATTGGTTTCTCCAAACAGCTGTCCTCCCAGAATGTTCAATGTCAGTTTTCATCATTCCCATTTAGCGTGGCTAAGTAAGGGAACTGAAGGCCAGCAACACTTGAAGACTTCAGATCAGAAAAGATCAGTCACGTATTATTACTATTTGAAATATTAGTTCAAAGTTGCAGATTTTGGAGGCAGTAGGCAGCTTTGAGGTGGTGTTCTGCATGCCTAGTGTCATTGGGAGTTTGATGGCATACATTTAATGAATAAATAAATAAAATATTGCTTTGGACAAGAGAAAAATCATCCGTCTCTCTCTTCTCTCTCATTCCCCCTGATTTTGTAGAGAAGCTATTCATTGTTGCAGAGTTTTCAAACTTGTTAAGCCTTAACGGTTCATTTTGGACCCTCTTCTTACCTTCATCTAGGGACACGACTAGAGGCTTGATAGGAATGCCAGTGTAAGTTTCAAGAGCGGTTAGCGAGCTCTTACCTGGTCCCAGAGTGCTGCTGCCACTTGATCTATGACAGCCCCCAGCTCCCTGTACTCCCCGGAGTATCTGATGTATGCCCATGTGCAAAGGGTGATCAGAGTTAGCCCCATGATCATATTGCAGAGACTGGCTATGATGTCCAATCCAATGAAGCCTGTGACACCAGCAATGACGTAAGTGATGAAGATGACGACAAACAGGGTGGCTGGGGTGCGAGCAGCATGGAAGATGTTCTTGCTGTCATTGTGCTTGATATACTGGACATAGAGCTCGTCAATTTCTGCCTCCAATTGCTGGAGGTAGCGACGGCTGAATTCTTCACCCCCCATCTTTTTCACACCACGGAATTGCCGCACTGCCTCTTCCTTGAGCTCTAGATGTTTATTCTGAAGGTCACTGGGGGCAAGAAAAGGTTTGTCACCTCCACAAACCTGAAACAAGAAAGTAAAACATTTTAAGCCCCTGACCAAAGAAATGTGGCATCCACCAGATTTGTTAGATTTGCATTCCCAGAATTCCTAGACACTAGGAAAAAAGCTATACTAGTTGGGAATTTGAATTAAATTCATGAGGCTGAGAAAGCTGGCTTATTCACATGTAACTAGGCCATCATGCTCCTACTCAGGAATTGCAATTAAAAGATCCCCAATAAGTGGCTATTTAGTCTCTACTTGATTCCATCAAGTAAAGGGAAATTTTGGATAACTAGTTCCACTGTTGGCTCTTTAACATTTAAAGGGTAGGTCTTTCTCTGGGAACAAGTCTTGATGTGCTTGACATCCTTTTAGGTACAGTCCGTGGAATCTCTCTTTTTTTTTTTATTAAATTTTTAAATTTTATTTTATTCAACTACAAATAATACAAACATAACACATATAAATCTAAATAAAAAACAGTATAAAAATACAAATACTACAATGCACCTACACCCTGGAGACCATTTTTATTACCTATATTTCTTCTCATATAACTAACAATATACAATATATTTCAATTGTGCCTTTATCCCCTCCAAAACAGCATGTATTCTTGAGCACGTTTAATCCCTTTGCCTTCCACCAAGACTGTTTTTTTAAATCATCCCATATTTCATTATAATTATTTACTTTAATCATCCCTTTTTTAAATTTAATTTCTGTTGTTAATTTATTGTTTATTGCCATACTCCATATTTCATTATACCACTCATTTCTTTGAATATCCCAATTCCGTCTCCAATATTTAACCATCACTAATCTAGCTGCTATTATCAAATTTACAATCAATTCCTTTTTTGCTTCATTTATATCTTGTTTTTCCACCAGTAACAGTAATGCGATCCTAGGTGACATATCTCTCATTTTGGATGCTATCGTGATTTAACATCCCCAGCTCTTTAAATTTTTCTTCATAAGACTTAGTTTCTACTGCTCTCATCATCTTTTCTGTCTTTGTCTGACTTGTTCTACTATCTCTGAAACCTTCTTAAAATGCAGGATTTGAAAATGGATATAGTACTTCAAATAGGGTCTGACCAAAGCAGATTATCTAACGTGAAATGATTTGCAACAGGTTGTTCAACATTTTTAATGGGATAAAATATTTCAGTACAGTTAATCGCAGATTATCTGATTGTGTTTTCTTAAATCATATTAGTCATGTATGATATATCTTATAATACAAATCAGGAGTTAGTACTGCAGGGTCAGTGGTTCCTTATGCCAATTAAATTAAAATACATATTTTTAAAAAGAAAAGCATGATTGAAATGGTCAAAGTCTTGCAACAATATCATCAATTCAGCTGACTTTGGGGGCAGGGTGCAGCAATGTCGAATGTTGTCTGGGGGCAGAAAAACTGAAAGACGTTCCTCTGAGATCCAAAACACATATTTTTGGAACTACATTGCTCTTCAGAAGACACAGGACCACCCACGGCTTTACCTGGAGTGAAGGAGTTTGCGACTCCTTAGAAAGATGATGGACAGAATCTGAGACTTACCTCTTCCATTCGTTTGTTGTAAGTATCTTTTGCAGTGGCAACAGCTGCCAGATTGTTTGCTTCCGCAGTGGCCTGTAAAGGCAGAATGGGGAATGCATGAAGAGAAAAAAATGTTGCTGTGGAAACAGGAGACCGTTGACCATAACAGTTGGAGAATTCTGTGAGTTTATTAATTGCAAGCAAGGAGGCTTTTTTTGCTTAAAGCATCAGGGAAGCTCAAAGTCAGGAGCAAGCAAACCATGTCAATCAGTGGATGGTTTTGGATGAATCATTCTCACTCAGCACAATAAAAAAAAAGTTTTTGGAAGAAATGCTTTGCACATTGCCTTGAATTCTTGGGAGGAAATGAAGGGATATAAATCTAAATCTTATGTAAATAAGCCCCCAACAGAATAGTTCACAAATAGCTTCTCTATTACTTGTAAAAATTCCTTTGGGTTGACTCCAATCAGTTCTCTTTTTCCATCCACAACCTCTTTTTCTCTCCTAGTGAATGCACATTTAACCTGGGAAGAGGTTTAATTAAATACTTTCCACAAAATCTCTCCTCTAGTGCTCAATTAATCAGTAAGGAGCCGATGATCAGCAGAGACTGCTCTTTTCCTTACTGTTCAGCAATTTTGTTGGAAAGGGGAGAAAAACAGAGACAAGGGAAGCCATTTGGATTGAGAGCAACAGCCAGGCTTTTGCAAGTAAAGGAGGCTATATGGCAGTCAACAGATGCAATGGAGGAACATCAGGATCATCTACAGCCGTATTTCTCAACATAAGCAACATTAAGATGTGTGGAAGTCAACTCCCAGAATTCTCCAGCCAGCATGTTGCTGGGTTGAGAAATTGCTGAAGTTGAGAAACATTGATCTACAGCAGTGATGGCGAACCTTTTAGAGACCGAGTGCCCAAAAACCGCCCCCCCCCATCCCCGCTCTGCCGTGCCCACTGGGCTACCCACCACCTCCACGGCCCACCACAGATCACCCAGGTAGCCCCACAGCGCCATGTCCATGCCCTCCACCTGTGCCCTGCAATATCATCTGCGCACGACAGGGCGCAAGGGCGGAGTCTTGTCCCTGCTGCCCGGCTACCTTGTCCATGGCTGTGCTGCTTCATGTGGGCCATGCCCGGGGGTGACTCTCCTCTTCCGGGGGGCTGCTGGTGAGGAGGCCATGGGAGGAGGCAGAGCTGGGGCTCCGAGTGCCGCCTCTGGCACGCGTGCCATAGGTTCGCCACCACTGATCTACAGCATACAACTTTCAGTTCAAGGCTGTTATCCAATTAGTTTGGAACAGGAAGTCTCAAAGGCCTGTTTATAGAACTAAGAACTCTTTCCCAACCAAGCATCTCCCCAAAGTGTTGAATTACAATGCCTACAATTCTCAGCCATCATGGAGAAACTTCGTAAGCTAATATTTTGCACATCTGGAGGGTATTAGGGCAGGGAAAAGTGGTCTAGAGACATACTTAGGACTCCTTTCTACTTTCTGTCTTCTTAGGACCAAAGACAAACATGTAGCATAGACTTGGAAAAGGAAGGCATAATAAATTATTTTGGCCAAGATTCCTTGCTAAGCAATAAGTAGAAATACTTACTTTGTCCACTAAATATCTTTTAGTGACATTTATTTTTTATTCTTCGAAAGTAAACATTATTTTGCTATACTTTAACAAAATGAATACGTTTCAGTGTTTTTCAACCATGCAGGTACACCCGTATACATTAGCAAAGCATCAAAAAAACTGGTTTATAGTTTATTCTGAAAACAAGGCTGGCTTGAATTGTGAGTGTTTTTGCATATTTCTAACTAAAGAGAGATATCACTATGACCTCTTGGCCATTTGCACATAGTAGTGTGCTCTCAATTATGTTCTCTCATCACTATTCAATTCCATTAATTTGCTGCCCTTCCAAATTAATGGGAAGTGCAGGATCTGAGCATCTCAACACCTTTAAACAACTTGATTCGCTCTGTAAGTCATCTCTCATGATTGACAGGAATTGATAGAAAAAAATGCTTTCTGCTTCCGATAGAAACATATGTTCCCAACCCCCGAGAATGCAGTTAATTACCTGCAACATTGATTTTGGGTGAGGGAGCTCTTCTCCTTGGTAGATCTTAATATAGGCCTGGGAGGAAGACAAGTTAAAAAAAACTCTAAGTGATATGGAACATCATTTAAACCCTGCACATAAAATATTAGGTCCAAAAAATGTCAAAAGTGTTTCTAAGTTCTTATAGAGCTACAATATTAATTACTGTATTAACCCTACGACTTCTACTATGTCACTGATGCTATGCCTTTAATAGTGATTCCAAATATAGGATATCTTTAAAAAAAATGTAGTCTTTGTTTTTTTTCAGTTACTGAATGGGAAAGCTGTGACTTCTAAATATTATTTACAGTAAGTGCAACACCTAGCAATCCTCGTCATTAGGTATGCCACTGGAGATGGTAAAATTCTAGTTCAGCAACATCTGAAGGGGTTTACGCTCTAAACTGTTTCTGCAGAAATCTTCTCCCACAGAGGTTAATATCTGTTTCTATATGAGCCCAATATGGCAACGGGATCTTAGCCACTGATTCCTAACAAAAGGAGATTTCCAAGCCAGAAAGCCCTTTTATATTTGCAGCTTACCTTAAAATATTCCACAAGGCCTCGGCAGGTGATCTTATTCCCATTGATCTCCTTGACATCCAGGCTCTTGGGGCTCAATAGCCAGGGAATCAGGATTTTCAAGTTTTTGATGAAATCACCATCTATTTCTGTAAGGGGAACATGAACCCTGTTTATGAGTATGGCTTTTGTGATGCACACACTAGAAACCCCAAGAACTCAGGAGACTTCAGAGTGAACCAATGATTGAGTACCTAAATCAAAATAATGAACTTTATACCAAATTGTCCAAAATACTGCCTCCTAACTTATGACATGGATCTTTTGGACACTTTCTGTCAACATATTTTTAATTATGTAAGACATCAAGGCAGATATAACACAATATGATTTATATGAACTTTTCCATAGTATCAATAGGGGATGAAAAGCTCAGGATGGCAATAGAAGAGATTGTCTACTTCATTTGATCAAAGAAGATAAATTTTATCAGAGTAAGATGCTCAATGTAATAATAGAAGTTTGGAGAATCAGAAGACAAATTGCTCATTAATGTATTGGTGAGAATGGTTGGGTTCATACATTGTGCTAGATTTAAATTATAGTATGCTAAGAAGCTACAATGACTAGGCTCAAAATAAACCATAAACCGTGGTTTACAAACCAAAACTGCTAAACTGATTCAACAAGGAAAGCCAAAACCAAGCAGATCATATCATGGATTAACTAATTAATTAATTAGGAACCTGATGGTGCAGTGGTTAGAATGCAGTATTGCAGGCTAACTCTGACCACAGCCAGGAGTTCGATCCTGACCGGTCAAGGTTGACTTGAGCCTTCTATCCTTCCAAGGTAAGTAAAATGAGGACCCAGATTGTTGGGGGCAATATTCTGACACTGTAAACCTCCCAGAGAGTGCTGTAAAGCACTATGGGGCAGTATATAAGTCTAACTGCTATTGCTATTGCAATGGGTGAGCCCGGCCACCATGCTTTTTTTGCCTAGTCTGGATTGTCCTCACTAATGTGTTAATGGTGGACCATCTGACATGATCTACTATCTATTACATCTTCAGAACCTTTACCTGGAGATGGCCATCACTGTTAGGGTCACACAATTCTTGAAACCTGAGAGTTGGGACTATCTGATCCATGCTCATCTTAACATTCTACTGGGACTTAGGAGAGAACAATACCAGCAGTTTGTTCAACAGTAATGTGTGTGGGTGTGTATGTGTGTGTATGTATATTTGTATATATGTAAAATAAAACAAACATTTCAAATTCACTCTCACATAACTTTCCTCCAAAAACTGTTGAAATCCCTATCGCAATAATGTCATTTTATTACTAGACCAGCCCCTCTGCAACCCTTAGCTTGAAAAATATTTATCAACAAATGTGTCTCTTAGGCCAAAAGAGTTCACTGCCTTTGCAAAACCTGGCTTGATGCCCATGAGCCCAGAGGCCAACTAGAATGGCCCAATCAGAAACCTAATTCAATCACGAAATAAACCTTGTCCCTATATGATACTGCTGTGTTGTTCTCCTCTGTGTAGAGGTCATAGTTTTCCCTTAAGGAATAATCTCTAATAATGTTGAAGGTATCTGAATAGGTAAAGAAAAATTCTCTCAGAACAGCAATCAGAAGAATACAAATTATCTGAGGGACTGGCTCACCCCAATGGGATTGGCCCACCCACTTGCCCCTGCAGAAGAGGCCTCCTTTAGACCCCATTGGCCTTCTTTGCTGTGGCCCCACCTCTGGAACATCTTGCCACCAGAGGTAAAATCTGCCTCCTTTAAGTCCTTCCTGAAATGCCTTAAATCCTGGCTTTTCCGGTTGATTTGGGATGCTGATATGGGGGTGGTCTATGCTAGAAATGGTTGGTCAATTGAGACATTAAAAACCCACCCCCACACTTTTTCATCCTCTTGGTTTTTAGCCTTTACAGATAGTCCTCAACTTACAACTGTTCATTTAATGACCTTTTGAAGTTACAACAGCACTGAAAAGTGACCTATGATCATTTTTCATGCTTATGACTACTGCAGAATTTGGATGCTTAGCAACTGGCGTGTATTTATGACGGTTGCAGTGTCCCCAGAGTCATGTGATCATCTTTTGTGACCTTCTGACAAGACAGCTCGATTCGCTTAACAATCATGTTACTAACTTAACAACTGCAGTGATTCACTTAACAATTGTGGCAAGAAAGGTCGTAAAATGGAGCAAAACTCATTTAACAACCGTCTTACCTAGCAATAATAATTTTGGGCTTAATTGTGATTGTAAGTCAAGGACTACCTGTATTAATATCTCAGGGGCTGCCAAAAAGAAGAGGGAGTCAAGCTATTCTCCAACGCGCCTGAAGGCAGGACAAGAAGCAATGGATGTAAACTAATCAAAGAGAGAAGCAACCTAGAACTACGAAGAAACTTCCTATTTTGTTGTTGTTGTTTGTTAATTTTAATGTTTTTAAATATATGTTTTTATGGCAATATAAGGCTCCCAGAGTCATTTTGGCTAATGAGATGGGTAGCATATAAATTTAATATGTAAGTAAACAAACATTGCATAAATCTCATCTAAGAAAAAAGGCACATGGGTATAATTAATTAAGCAGAAAAAAACTGGAGACAGGCATATTTCCTTTCTGCAGAACATGAAGTCCCATCCAATCATAACTGATCAGTTTCTTTCTCGTTTGAAAATGAATGTTATCCCTAAAACAGGCCATAGACACACACACACTTCTGCAAAACCCTGCCTCAAAGTTGTCTGTGATACAGTTCCTCCAACTTGGTAGCCATGAATTCCATCTCAGTTTTTTGTGCTGCTTGGTTTCTTACTGATGCCAATGAACTCACCTCTGAGTTTCCCATCAAAATTGGGATTTGTAGCTACTTTCAAACCCGGATGAGGTAAAAGGAAACAGGAGATGTTGGTGAAACACGAATGTATATGCTTCCGCACATTCTGCAGCTCTTCATGCTGGTTTCCAGAAACCTGGGAACAAGCAGGCAATTACTCTCTTTTAAGGAGGACAAATATAAATCTGTTATTCATAACTGGTACAGGTAGTCCTCGACTTACGACCACAACTGAGCCCAAAATTTCTGTTAAGTGAATTTTGTTCCGTTTTATGACCTTTCTTGCCACAGCTGTTTTGAGTGAATCACTGCAGATGTTAAGTTAGTGACACCGTTGTTAAATGGATCTGGCTTCCCCATTGACTTTGCTTGTCAGAAGGTGGCAAAAGGTGATCACAGGACCCCAGGATACTGCAGCCATCATAAATATGAGTCAGTTGCCAAGCATCCGAATTTTGATCATGTGACCATGGGGATGCTGCAATGGTTGTAAGTGTGAAAAACGGTAAAAAATCATTTTTTTCAGTAGCCCTGTAACTTTGAACAGTCACTAAATGAACTGTTGTAAGTCAAGGAATATACAAAAATAATAGAGATTCAGAAGTTGCCAAGCCTATACATCAATCTTTTTCAAACTTGGCAACTTAGCCAGAATCCACACACCTTAATGTTGCCAAGTTTGAAAAGCACTACTGTAAACTGTGCCCTGGAAAACCATTCTTGAATCAATGCCAGCATCTTTATTTATCTTCAAGTAGAAGCCCAATTCCCTCTGGGTTCACCTCTTCTGCCACTGTTGAAATCCTGTGCCCAGCACTCAAGGCCAAAATTCCTCTAAGTTGGTTGAACAAGGCAGCTGCCACAAAGGAATCCTCAACTTATCACTAGGTAACTGAGGAAAGAACTTAAGTGTCCTTCTGTACAGTTGCATTTATGTTTTAAAAAACAGGTTCATTAATGTGGCTTCAGGTCACACTTTTACTGGCTCAAAGTCCTAAGGTTATCCATCTCTTATTTCAGGCGCCCTCAAAGCCTATTTTGCTCTCTCCAGACTGGGCCATAATATTTGATAGCAAAATTTCAGTTTTTAGGAGCTTGATTTTCTGTGTTTTAAGATTTCTTTGGCTTTAAAAAGTGCAAAATAAGTGCATTCAGTTATCACAAGACTTAATGCAGCTTTTTCATATTTTAACCATCCCAAACAAAACAATTCAGCCTCACCCACCTAACAAGATCATCACACACCAACCGATGCAACTTCTAGATTTCTTAGAGCAGAGGTCCCCAATCTTTTGGGCACCAGGGACCGGTTCCGTGGAGAGAGGTTTTTCCATGGTCCGGAAGGGGTGTGGTTTTGTGTGCTGCCTACATCCCATGGATGGGGCTTTTCTTGTTTGTGCAGCCCGGTTGCTGGCATGCTGCGGCCTGGTACTGGTCCATGGACTGGGGGTTGTGGACTCCTGTCTTAGAGGCCAAAACCATCACCATCCTTGTGTGACCCAGTTAAAGAAAACTGTCTACTCCTTCGCTACTCACTGTGGGCCACATACATAACTAGTATGGAGAAAATTAGTCTGGAATAGGCAAAGAGATGATGCACAGGCTGTATCAGGGGTATAATCTGTATCAGAGGGAAACGGGCTAGGATTTTCCAGTTTTATTCCTGTTGAGAGAAGCTGCATTTTTTCTTTTAAATGCAAGAAGCCTATTTTAGGCTTGCAAAAAAAGTTTTCATACCTTTCCATATCAGAAGAGCAGGAATTCACACTTTTTTTTTTCAGTGATGCCACCAAAATTGAGTGTATGTTAAAAGGCTGTAAACACCATACAAAGAGTGTGATGCACAGGTTCTCATTGGTCAACCAGGTGGCCTTTCCTTTCTGCTGCCCTCTGCATTAAATTTAACAACAGTACCTTAAGATCATGACTGATTTTTTTTTTCTGTAAGAATGACTCTAATTTGATTAAATCTTAACTAGATTTAGTTTAATTTGATGACCTTAATCTGTGAGGGTTATTTCATTATTGTCTGACCTGATTAACAAGTCTCCATTAAGCTGGAAAATAAAATAAGAGTATTTTCACTTAAACAAATACATCCATCTCTTAATACCAACCTTGAGACGTTTTTCCAAAAATTTGGCTCCACCTTCAGCCCCGTAAGCAAACTCATAGGGAAAGCTCCAGTCACGAACAAGGAAAATAAGAGACTATAAATGCGATAAAAACCAAGACCAAAGTGAATACAATGTGCAAGTGAGGAAAACATTGTGTTCATTTAAATGTATTGTTTGGAATGGAATAACAGAGTGTTTTATCTGTTTAATGTGAGGTTTAAATGAGTTGCTTTGAAGAAATTAGCTGATTTGTAGCTAATAGTTTCTTCCAAATTATAAATGTTTACAGTATTTATTAACTTTCTATCCATAAATTTTCCAATACTATCCAATCAAATTTCATTAGTGAAAGCAACCAAAATGGGATTTTGTAAAAACAAAAATTTAACCTCTTTGATGTCATATACTTCTAGAGTGAGCTTACTGAATGTATTCAAACAGAGGTTGGATAGACATCTGCCAGGGATACTCTAATTTGGATTTCTGCACTAAGCAATGAGTTGAATTTGTGGTGTGAAATGGTTTTTCCACATCCCAGATGCTGGAATGTATCTATACCTACAAAGATCAGAATCATGAAGGAAATGGGAGCATAGTCAACTGATGTGCTGGATGCGAACTGAGAAATCCAACATATCAGAATAATATCGGTGCATAATGCTGCAGCACCGAATACCAATTTGATGATACAGCTCTACCATAAGGCAATGGCAGTGGTCATCTTGAAGAACTGAGTTACCTCTTCAGATTTAGAGGTTTCCATTTCTCAAGATTATCTGTGCAGTAATAAAACATAATTTCTGCAGGTTGTACAGGAAATCTCTCAATTATCTTCTTACCTGAAATGGCTTCAGGAATGTTTCTTCCATGGCTAGCCTCCCATATTCTGTGAAGAGCTGAAATAAGAAGAAAGTCAGGAGAAATTTTTAAACAAGACCCATGTATTAACAAATAACTTTGCTTATATTGCAGTGATTCCAGTGCTTTATTTTTTCAGTTGAAGCTGCATTTTACATTGCTTCCATTGCTTTCAATTCAGAGTGTTCGTACCTTTTTTTCTAAAGAATTAGTTAAATCACTAAAACCACAAAGAGCACTCAGGGGAGCAGGTAAAAATTAGTCAATTTATTATGGCATCAGCTTTTGTTGATGATATTTCTTCTGATCAAATATATAAAATGTAAGTGCATTAATGGACTCCAGTCTGTAAATTTTTACAGCTAAGTGATCTGTTACCTTTAAGGTGCCACAAAAGCTATCACCTTTATGTGGACGACTTTAATCCATTCGACTGAAAACAGGGCTTTAAGTATGAAACCGAAGGTGAATAGATGGTGGAATCTTTTTAATGTAGTTTTTATTTTAAAATGAAGATACCACAATGCTGAACTTGGGATTTCTATGTTCTCCTTCCACAGCTCTAAAGGCATCTCTATAGCTTGCATATAAAATTAAAGGCATCAAACATTTGGTCGAAGTCTGCTTTAAAAGTACTAGTAACTTTCTGACATGTAAATATTCTTAAAACCTTTATGCTTGTGATGTTCCTATTCCCAGGCCTGATCACAAAGATTTGTTAGCAATAATAAGACTAATGTACTATATAAACATGAAACCATCAAAACTAAATACTAGATGAATAGAAGATAATAATGCTGAGTCACAATTGCATATCTTTGTAGCATAAAAACAAACAGTATTTCTGTACAAAATTACAGCACATAGAATTGTCCAACTCTAAGGGATGGAGCAGTGGATGGGTGGGCAGCATGGAATTACCTGCAAGTGCTGAAGATCATCTTCTTGTACATTTTGTGACAAGTTGTACACCTGAGTACAAAACAAAGCCAGAATTGTGTAAAAATGGCTATGAAAATCCTTGTCTTCTTGCATGCTCTGTGTGTATGCAATTCCTTTCCTGCTACCTATGTTGCACTCCCTATGGCCAAGAAGAGGTCTCTATTTTTAGAGAAGTGTATCTCAATTTCAATAACTTTAAGACATTTGGACTTCAATTTACAGAATTCTGGAAGTTAAAATCCACATATCTTAAAGTAGCAGAGTTTAGAATTGAGCTGGAAGGGACCTTGGAGGTCTTTTATCTAGACCAGTGGTTCTTAACCTTTTTGAACGAATCGCCCCCTTGAGCCAATGAGGAAGTTGTCATCGCCCCCCTCCCCCAACATAACCTCTCAATCACAACCTAGGAAATAATTCTTCAATTTATGCAAACCCTTTTTTTGTTTTCTTTAAAATTGTCATCAGGACATATCGATGCAAATAATTTATTTCCAGTCTTTTTTCCATATCTCCCATATTCTGGCCAATGGCGCACCACTGTATGGGTAGAGGCTGCTGCGCAACGTGCATGAAGATAAGCGATGCGTATTCACATATGTACGGCGTTCTGTACTGAAGCTAGCTGGAGGAATATTTGAAAACACAATTCAATCCGCTAATAGCGAGTGATCTGATGTTTTTATACGACAGATATAAAGCGATTCATTGTACGAAAAAGTCTCAAAAGTGTCCCCAAAACTTCTCGCTCCATCGCCCCCATATCGCCCCCTTTTCGTTCCTTCGCCCCCGTGTCGCCCCTTTTTGTTCCATTGCCCCCCTGAAAAATGAAATCGCCCCCTGGGGGGCAAGGTCGCCCAGGTTAAGAACCACTGATCTAGATCAATAATCTGCTCAAGCAGGAGACGCTATACAATTTGAGACAAGTGGCTGTCCAGTCTCTTCTTGGATCTCAAGCCAATGTCAATTTTTTAGGGCAACATGTAACGATTTTGTTTTCACCCCATCTATCATATAGTTTGGCTTACTCACATGAAATACCACAATTTAACAGTTCCATAGTCACTATTTTGCAGAATCACACATCCCTATGTCTCAGTTCAAATGCTAAAACACTGTATGCTCTGGCTCCTGCACTAAAAAAACCAATAGAATAGAATAGAATAGAATAGAATAGAATAGAATAGAATAGAATAGAATAGAATCTGGAAGGGACCTTGGAGGTCATCTAGTCCAACCCCCTGCTCAAGCAGGAGAACATGTACCATTTCAGACAAATGGTCCAGTTTCTTCTTAAGAACTTCCAGTGCTGGAGCATTCACAATTTCTGGATGCAGGTTATTCCACTGATTAATTGTTCTAACTGTCAGGAAATTTCTCCTTAGTTCTAGGTTGATCATTGGATCTTGCAAAAAGCAGGTCTTTAAGAAAATCATCAATGGTTTCATATTTAGTGAAACAATAGAGGGTGTGTAAGCTAGAAAGAACACCTTAACTTTCCCCCCTTACAATGTGAGCTGTCTGAGACCATGCAGAAAGTTGAAGAAAGTCTTATGCTAATGTACAACTGCCTGGAGAAGTCCCTGCAGTTTACCTTTGCAGAATTTTAGAAGCGATTTGCCATTTGACTGGTCATCCAGCTAGCTTTGTACCTAAGGCAGGACTAGAACTCACACTCTCCTGGTTTGTAGCCTGATGCCTTAACCACTACACCAAACTGAGTCTCTTATATGGCCTATATAGTGTCAACCTCCATCGCTGATACTACAGACAGCTCTGAGGGCCTGAAATGGTTGCCCTCTTCAACTGCCATTGACTATTTCTGCCATGTTAGTCAACTGAATGCAACCCCCCCCCCACTGATTTCCTTTCAGCAACCTGCTTCCCGCATTTGATCCTGCAAAGATACCACCTGGTACCTGGATGGAGCTGATCATGGTGCTCAGAGCAAAGACGGTGGCTGAATCCCGCAGTGTTGACTGGCTGTCGAAGGTGCCCTGAGTATCCATTAGCAATACAGCAACCTGTAGAAAACACGGAAGAGAAGCATACAATATGAAACCCTTATCGTTTTATTTGCTAAAAAAAAAATAACCAAAGCCTTCGGCATCAGTTGTGTTATGGCACTGGAAAACTTCAAATCTGTTATTTGGAGGCTAGGGATAGCCTATATCAACCAGGAATACAGGCTGAGGTACTCAGAAGGCATTTTGCTGCGAATTAATTACATTTCTTCCAAAGATGCTGCATTGATTACTCATATGCTATTGAGCTAAGTTCACAATACTGGTAATATAGGCAATATGGTACCCAAAACATGCCTTTTGGATAGCAATAGCAATAACAATAGCACTTAAACTTATATATTGCTTCATAATGCTTTACAGCCCTAAGTGGTTTACAGAGTCAGCATATTGTCCCCCACAATCTGTTGGTTTTTTTTAATTGATTTTGGTAGGATGGAAGTCTGATTCGACCTTGAGTTGGCGAGAACTGAACTGCTGAGTCGGCAGAAGCAGCCTGCAATACTGCACTCTCACCACTGTGCCACCACAACACCCTAGTGCCCTCTAGTGCCCGCTAGTTTTCTGGTCCATCTGACTTTAACAAAATTATTTTTAATGTTTAAAAATATAGACAGAAAGCTGATCTACTACACAGAACAAAGGACTTTGCACTTTTTCCACTTTTATTATATTGTAACCTTCCCAGAGTCACTGAATTACTGAAATGGGTGACAAAGAAATCCAATAAATAAACAATTTAGCCTCCAGCATCCTATTTATTTGCAAGCATAGTTTGGAATCCCACAAAATCCCAACAGAATGATAGAAAGCACTCATGTATGGGAGGGTTAATTTACCACCTGGTGTGTTGATGTTTTATGATTGGCCACCACAATCTTGCGCAGTCATTTTGTGAACAAGCAGATCACCTTTAGCAGTCATCAAATGTATCCAAAATTTTAAAGGAGCTCCAGACCAAGAAATGTTGCTATCCCCTTTTGCAAAAATATACAAAGATCTATTTAGCATAAAACTTGGATAGCTGATAGATTACCTCCCTTCTGAGCCTGCTTAGAAATTGTAGTCAAGACAAAAGGCTTTCTGGAAGGCGCTACACTTGCCAGATTTGCCGTGTGACAACTCGAGGGAGAATATTTTTTTGATACAGGAGTCTGAATGACAGAATTCCCTCTTGATTTATTACATCTGGTGCCACCCCAAGTCTTGTTAGCTTTCTGTGTCAATTAATCACCTCCTTATTCACCAAGCCCTCCGCTCACTTCACACTATGATATCATTTAATGTGTTGTCATTGTTGTTATGGTTCTCTCTTTTGCTTTTAACTCTTTCAGATCTTCTTTTTTAGAGATTTGCTTTGCGCTCTTAGGCTCTGGATATTTTTGTTTAAAAAAAGAGAAAACAACTATGTGAATAAAATAAACATACAGCCAATCAGTCTTAAGAGACCAGGGAAGTCTGCATGAGTGGTCACAAATGGCAAATATCTGGGCAATCAAAGCTCCACCCCCCTTTAATGTGCTCTGCATACCTCACATGCACATAGAAGGGGTGGGGCTTCACCTACCCAGTCACACCCACCACTTTGACCTTGCTGACTACTCTTGCAGATGCTCCTGTCTGATGCCACATATAAAGCCAGAAAAACTTCTAATGGCTCTCCAGGTCACGTTATCCATTCAGGCTAAACAGAGGCAATACTTCTCCCATTAGCAATGAGACCCTGTGAAGAAGGAAGGAGAGGCTTGCTCTTTCAACATTGTCTGGGCAGTGTAAAAAAAGAAAATAAAAGAGTTGCCAACCTTCATAAGGTGAGCCTATGAAGACATTACAGAATGGCCCCTGAGCCAGGAAAGATTTGTAACCGAAAAAAATGTCTAATACTGCAGGTTTATATGACACAATGTCTTCTAAATGCATCAAAGGCAAATTTCCATTGTGACTGCAACTTAACATTTCTGGAGAACCTATCAGAGAAAATAAATTTAGCCAGAGGGTGAACATATTTTTGAGTTTGTGACCGGTATAGTTAAGATGTTCCTGTTTTGTGCAGATTCTATGGCAATAGGCTGATATCTGTTCCGGAACTGCAGGCAAGCTGTTCTTAGAATTTTAATTTGTGTCCGGCTATCCCTTAAGCTTTTCTGCCTTCTTCCTCCCAGATTGACAGCTGGTTCCAATGTCAATGGCCAAGAACCTCTGGGTTCTGCTAGATCAGTGCTGGCGAACCTATGCACGTGTGCCAGAGGCGGCACTTGGAGCCCTTGCTGTTGCCCCAATCATGCCTCCCCCCGCAACCCCCTCACTAGCAGCCCCCCTGTAGGAGAGTTGCCCTCGAGCGTGGCCCACGCAGAGCAGGGCAGCCAAGGACATGGCAGCCAGGCAGCGTGGACAAGACTCTGGCTCATGCCCCATCACGCACAGTTGATGCTGTGGGGCGCGGGTAGAGGGCGTGCCCACCATTGGCGCTGCTGGGCTGCCTGGTCAATCTGCAGCGGGCCCTGGAGGCGGTGAGTGGCCCTGTGGGCAGGCAGGGCGGGGGACGGGGTGGGGGCAGAGCAGGGGCGGGGCAGAGGGTGGAGCACACTGACTGAGGAATTCTGGAAGTTGAAGTCCACAAGTCATAAAAGGGCCAAGTTTGAAGACCCCTGTGCTAAGCCATAATAAAATTTAGGTTTAATTTAGTGTGTTCTATGAAATGACCCACTGTGCTTTGCCTCGCTATGACTTAGTCTTATCTGTATAGTCGGCATTATAACTTATTCAATATGTCATGACTGGTTTGATACCAGCACTGATTATGAGTATCCACAACGAATCACCAACCTTGTTCCCATCTGGTTTGTCCACAAGGAAGACTTCGCTCCAAATCTGGATGCCAGTTGTCTCCCGTTCTGATCCACCTCTCCAAGAAAACCCTGTGAGTGGTTCATTAAAATCTCCAATCCAATCAACTAACTCCTGCAAAGCAATGGGCAAGCAAGTTATTATCCTTAGAAGCAGGCAAAGTGACGTTTCTTTATGCCAAAAGTTTATTTCTAGTATTAGTGGTCACCAAGCAGCTGGACATTTTCAGTGATTGTTCATGTGAATGGGAAGTAAGATGACCCATTCTAATTTGGGCAAAGCATTCTACTACAGAAGAATGTCTTTGGAGATTCTCAGTCATGGTTGTCCCAAAGGTCCAGTTGCCTTCTGAAAAAGCAGCTTTGGAAAAAGCACCTTACAGAGGAACTTAAATTTTATATTTCAAATAGGCAACCAAGAATTTAAATGGAATTTTCAGATTCCCCCATCATGCTGGTAAGGGAGTGATCTATCAGAATACAGAGGATTATCTCCACTTGTATGTGACATGATTGAAGAAATTTTCAGTTATGAAATCACAGATTCTAATCTCCAAAACCAAGTCACTGGGTACATCTAGGCAAGTTATTGTTCTCCCAATATTAACGTGCCAAATACTTGGGGTATACCTACAAATAGCCATATACAAGTAGTCCTCAACTTACAACAGTTTTTTTAGTGGCCGTTCAAAGTGACAACAGCACTGAAAAAAGGGACTTATGACAATTTTTCACACTTACAACCGTTGCAGCAACCCCATGGAGTCACGTGATCAAAATTCATATGCTTAGCAACTGACTCATATTTATAACGATTGCAGGGTCCAGGGGTCATGTGATCACCTTTTGCCATTTTTTTGACAAGCAAAGTCAATGGGGAAGCCAGAGTCACTTAACAACCATGTTATTAACTGAATAACTGCAACAATTCATTTAACAACTGTGGCAAGAAAGTTTGTAAAACTGGGCAAAATTCAACAAATGTCTCACTTAGCAAAATAAATTCTGGGAATTAATTGTGGTTGTAAATCAAGGACTATTTTTACAGCTGTGCTATATCCTGAACCCTATACAGTTGCACTAAATCTGGAATCCCAACATGAGGTTTTACTACCAGTTTTGGCAGATTCTGAAGATGAATCCCGCCTCCTATCTCAACCACACGTCTTGTGCCTTGTGACATTCTCATTATTCATCTCTCAAGTGTCAAATCTAGCTTCCAAGGGCTCTTTGCTTAATTGCATCTGCTTAACTGCACCAAGAGCAAATCTGATATATATTGCAACCTGCAGGTAAGCTCATGTACTAAGTTCCTGAGCATAAAGAATGAGGCCGCAACCTCTCCAACAGCCAGTGCAAACTTACCATGTTGTGCATGTATCTCAGCATAAAGTCCATCAAGAATGATTTCCCCTTCCGAAAAGCCCCAGCCACGGATACAGCCACCACTTCCCGATCACAGACAGCTTTGGACAGCAAAATGCGGTTGAGAGCAGCTTCATCCAGCTCAAAGGAGTGGTCATCCTTCACAATGAGCACTTGTACTGGATGGGCCTTCCCACCAGAGTCCTCCTCTTCCGAGCTCCATTCATAGCTTTTTTCTGAAAATCCACCTATGTTTAAGACAACCAATGTCTGATCAAGTCCCAATGAGGGTACAAAGAAGCTTAGGCTAACATTTTATATTGACTTACCAAACATGGTTTCTTACACATTAGGTCACAGGAATATTGGGGTCTGGGGGGGAGAGAGAAAGGATATAGCAGAGGGAAGGAAAAGATGCTTAGTCACTCTAATACTCTTTCCTCCAGACAGGTTTAAAGCCTTCCTAATAACTGGCTGCCTCAGGGGAAAGAGAAAATTCCCTCTGACAATTACAGAAATAGACTAGCAGCTGAAGTTTACTTTATTTATGAAACATATTCTATTACTGTCTAATAATACCTCTTGCTAGTTTTCAGTTAATCATATTCTCTGCTTATACCCAAAGACATTAGGGTAATTTAAAAGTTAGAAGGATGCTCAGAACTTTATGCTTCAAGATTTCACTTTCATTCTCTACCCGAATTCTACCACTGCAATAGCATCGCAATCTGTGTCACTGAAAGAGACCTTTGGATCTCAACTTTTTTGTTTCGGATGCAGGAAAGAAACCATTTAAATGGCCTGAAACCAATGGCTGCTAGGGAAAATTTGTAGCTAAATGAAGAGACAGCCACCCTCTTCCACCTCTGGATTCTCTTCTACAAAATCCACTGCCCCACATTTGTTTCAGAAGGCAAACAAAGTTCATAATATAATACTGCATCCTCTGATTTGCTCAGAAAGACAGCCTATACAATGGCAGGTCATACATAAAATAAAGAAGTATCATTGTCCTGGCAGGGGAATCATGCCAACCAAACAAGAGACTATCAAATGTTACCAGACAAGGAAAATTGGCAAATGCAGCCCAACTGTTTACACTGAAAGAATATATTCCAGGCATATACAGTAGATAAAAGGATAAAAAAAGCTCTGCACTAGGATTTTGTAGGACAAGACACATATATGCAGCTATATTAATAATGATTACTGTGTAATGAAAAACCATCTAAACACTGAATAGTTATCGTCCCATGTTCCAAGGAGGCACAGGGGCTCAGGGGCTTAATGACACTGAGATGGTCTCTGGAGATAGTCTCTGATCCATTGGTTCGAGCCCTAGCACTGCCTGTTGGGGTGAACTCTAATCACCCGTCCACATAACAGTTCAAAAGCATGTTCTATGCCAATAGATAAATAGGTACTACTTTGGTGGGGAGATGAGTTGGTGCTCTGTGCAGGCAGTCAAATTTCTGCCAGCTCTGAACCTTTCTGACTGCGGAACACGTTTGCAAGGCGGCTCCGGGGAGGGAGACGCCTTGGATGACGCTGCAGGAAGAGTCGCTCACCTTTCTTTCTGATGTGAAGCCAACTCACCCTCCTGTGGTACGCCTTGGGAAGTACCTTCTCATGTTCCAGTTGGCCAATGCAGTTGCCTCTAACTACAGCAAGGCTTTTCTGAGCTGGCAAACATAGCTTGAAGTCTTCGCCCATAAGGCTCTACAGGAAAATACATTTCTATACCATTCTAGTTCTGGAATACCCTTCCTATTATACTATAGAGTTTTGCCTTGGGTGGCTGCTTACTATAAGTATTTTTCATCCCCATACAAAATGGATTCTCTTTTCTATTCTTTCAGATTTTTCAATGTTCATATTTTAATTGCACATTTTCCAGCTGCTTAGTGGCAGTATTAACTGCTTATTTAAGCTATGTGAGGGTTACACTATTTGTTTTATTTTTATTTTTTGAGATAGAAGTCCTCAGTTCATGATTTAAAAGTATCAATCCAAAGGCTGGAACTCCAGATAAATGAGCAGGCAGAACCAAAGCAAATTGTCATTGGTGATGGCAATGTCAACTTTGAAAATGAGTTTGGCTGCAGCCATTTTCCCTACTCATTTTCGGTTGACACATAGCACGGAGGGAGAGGAGTTTACCGCTTGCTTTGATAGACAAAACAGACTTTCTCCCGTGGGAACCAAGGTCATCGGCTGCTCCCGGGATTGCAGACTGGGCATTTCATGAAAAGCCCGCCAAGAAGTTGGAGTTCTGCTTTATTTCTCTCTGTCTGTCGGAACCATGACAGGCAGATTGTTGAACAGAGTTTTTCAAACATGGCAATTTTAAGATGTTTGGATTTCAACTCTCAGAAAAACCTAAAATAAAGAAGCATACTTTTTCCTGGCTAGGGATTCTGGGAGTTGCAGTCCAGACATCTTAAACCTGCCAATTTGAGAAATATTGATCTAGCTAATTTTGATTTACTGGTTAAAAATATTGAGGCTAAGTAAGTTGTGGGAACCTAACTCAGGGTCCATCAAATCCCCAAAGGCAAAATAAATTCTAACTTGGATCACACCACATGCCAAATTACAGATTATCTATTAGTATTTTGGGTTTATGTCTTGATTGAAAGCAGACCAGTTTACAATTCAGTGTGTTTTGTGCAGAAAATTATTAGATGAGAATGTAGCAGGTAAGTTTGTCGTGCAAACAGTGCTTCTATTTCTTTCATAGGAAGATGAATATTGTTTTTATACCAGAATATTTGTCCAGCAATGCAAATTTGTCTAATTATACTAGCAGAAATTTTCTAAATGAGCCCCCAAATATTGGGGGGGGGAGAAACCTGGAGATTTTTGAGATTTAAACCTGTATGCAAAAACATGTCCTATTATTTAGCTACAGCCTTCTGTAATAATCATTAATTCCAATTACAAACTCACTCTGAAGGATCTGAATTTTTGCTGTTATTGTTCAGATGCTAAGTTGTGTCTGACTCTTTGTGACCCCATGGACCAGGGCTTCCTGTCCTTCACTGTCTCCATAGAGTTTGCCCCAATTCAGTGAATTGGACAGTGCTTTAAACTTGTTTCTACACTACAGGCAACAGGATGCTTCTGTTTCCTGATGTGGATATGTAGTGATGGTAAGTTTCAAGAATGTAGAAACCACACTACTGAATATGAGGATGAGCATTAACAAGATTGTACTAAGAATATTATGGGATACTATGAAATATTACATGGTACATATAAAGTTACTGAGCAAGAGTGCATATCCCAGATGAATCAAATGATGTTAACCTATGAAAAAAATCATTCCAAACTCAAATATGTTTGAATTGTATATAAAGTGGTTCTAAGTTGCTCCTCACATCTTTTCTATGAGGTGCCTGTCCTTACTTATGCATAAATAAACAGATATTAATCTATGTTTCCAGCCTGGATTTTTTTGGGGCAAGGCAAGATCTAGCCAATGTTTATGGCTAACAGTATTTTAGCTGCTTTTTCATACTATCTAACAGTGGGCACATTAGCTAGTTTGCATTTCAGAATTGCTTAAGAGAAAAACACTGATTGAAAATGGAACCTCTGTCTACAAAGCCAGTATAGCTAGAATACCATAACCTGGAAGTCATATTCCAATAAACCTCCTTTCTCTGAGGAAATGGATTCCTGTGGTTGGAAACAAAGCACTGGACTCAAGAGGTTTTTTCAGGTAATTCTTGACTTACAACAGTTCATTTAGTGTCCATTCAAAGTTACAAAGGCACTGAAAAAAGTAATGTATGACCTATTTTTCACACTTACGACTGTGTCTCTCCATGGTCATGTGATCAAAATTCAGATGCTTGGCAACTGACTCATATTTATGGCAGTTGCAGTGTCCCCAGGGTTATGTGATCAATTATTGTGACCTTCTGACAAGCAAAGTCAATGGGAACGCCAGATTCATTTAATAACCCTGTTACTAACTTAACATCTGCAGTGATTCACTTAACAACTGTGGCAAGTTCGTAAAATGGGCCAAAATTCATTTAATAAATGTCTCATTTACCAACAGAAATTTTGGGCTCAATTGTGGTCGTAAATCAAGGAATATCTGTATTCACGCTGTCCAACAAGGCAGGTCTTACATATTTCAATATTATGCTGCATTGTTACCTACAATCATACCATACTTGGGTTTTTTTCCCAGTTATACAGAATTTGTGCTGTTTAACTTCTATTTTCTCTCTCTGTCTCTCTCTCTTTCTTTTTGTTTAAGTGCAAGGCAAGCAAATCTTTCTCCCTTCACAGCTGCATGTTTAAGGGAGGGGAAGCAGAAGGAGGAATAAGAACTATGGGAAGAATTCTGTTAATCCTGACAACTGTTTCAAAGGAGTTAGCACTGGATGCCTGGTTAGAAAGACAAGAATTTTTTTCTTAGTGTTACAGCTGCTAGTATGCCATGTAAAAAGCATCCAAGATGGGGAAAGAGGCATGACAAGTTCCTCTTCCTAAACTACTTTACTTTCATTTGTTTTCTTCTTTGTTTGTAAAAAAGAAACCATTTCCTAATATTAAATAACAGAGCATATGATATTTACAAATCTAATCTTCAAACTATCATCAGCATGCTAAAGCAACATCAAAATTATATGTTACAGCTGCTGATTTTAGTTGCCGGCTATTACTTACAAAGTACTACTTACTAGTGGGGGTTAGTGCTACACTTATAAAGCCTCCCCAAGGCTGCATGACCAGATTATCTGAGGGACCGCTAACTCTGAATGTTTCTTTTCATTCAATATAATTTGGTAGAAGGGGTACATAGCAGGTCCCTTCAATTAGTCACTATCAACTATCATGACTTGGGAAACACAAGCTCTGTAAAGGTAGTCCTTTTCTAGTGACTGCCTCATTTAGCAACTGTTCACAGTTATGATGGTGATGGAAAAGTACCAATCCTTACATTTATTGTAAGCCCTTCATAGGTCTGTAAAGCAAAGGAAAATGGAAGTAAAATCACAAGCACAGTTGTGCTTTCACTTAGCTGACAGCCCCAATTGTGGTAGCTAAACAAGGACTGTGGTGCTGCCTTCCTCTGGAGTAGTATCCTCCCAGAAAAAGATGTGGCTCTCACCCTGATGACATTGCAAAAGTCTTTGAAGACCTGCTTGTTCTACCGAGACTTGGAGTCAGATGGAAACAGAAAATTATCAGACATTTCTTTAGTAGAATCCTTGGTGCTCTCTGAGTT